CACCCCTGAGGCTTCTCCAGTGGCCACCCTCTCATCATCGAATTACGAGGAGGAGGCCAAACCCCCCGGAGACGGAAACGATAAGTTAACCACCCCTGAGGCTTCTCCAGTGACCACCCTCTCATCATCGGACTATGAGGAGGAGGCGGAATCCCCCGGAGACGGAGACGATTTATCAACACCTGAGGCTTCTCCGTTACCCACACCATCGGCAACACCCACCCCTTCTTCATCGGCACCCTCATCACATATACCATCATCGTCAGACTCACTCTCACCCACCTCACGTGCAACATCATCACCCTCACCCTTACCGTCCTCAAGTGCAACACCACCACCATCGTCAGTACCCTCACCGTCGTTGTCACGTGCGCCTGCACCGTCATCACCACATTCACAGTCACAGTCACCTTCATCATCCCGTGTACCGGCGTCGCCATCAAGCACACCCTCGTCGTCACCACGTTCACCGTCCTCCGCCGCCGCACTATCATCATCACATGCAGTACCGTTACCATTGGTTGGGGCAGGGGATAGCCGCCACCTAAGTTTCGTCCTGGAGTCGCACATAGAAAAGGGTTGGGGCGATGCGGAGTCGGCCATAAACTTCATCAGCAAACGCATGGAAGAGTCTTCTTCTTCTTCTACGATATCAAAGGAGAAAAAAGAATGCCTGAAGCAGCGCGACGACTACTACAAATCAGTGGTTAACAATTTCAAGATAGCCAAAGATGATCTTAAGGCTACCCACTTGGACTTACTAACTGAAGATTTTAATACAGTTACACAAAAGCTCAACTCTTGCAAACAATGCTTTATGGATAAGTACTTGGAGCCTGGTGGTTCTAATTCTCTGTTAGACAAATTTTACAGTTCCATCACAAAGGCAGCTCGTGAGAGCCTAAACATTCTTCAACTACTTAGTTAATTAGATTAATTGCTAGCTATATATATATATATATATATATATATATATATATATATATATATATATATCATAAATTAATAACTATTGAGAACTAACTAGAAAAGAAGCAGTTTTGACATAACTTCCATCTGGTCGACTAATTTTTAATTCCAACTCTTCATGGTTATGTACGTGTGTTCTTTTTCTTTCTTTCCCATTTAATAATTATGATAGGTACATGGATTGTATTATTAATTGTAACTTGTAGAATTAACTACAATAATTCAAGTTGATAGTGTTCAAAAAGTTATACTCTTTTTGATCCTTTCCTTTTTCAGAAACTCGATAAGTCTATAGCAAAAGACGCAGCAATAAAAGCCCAAAAATTAGTAGCCACAACAAATTTACCAATAAAATAAAAATAAAAAGCAATAACACAATAATTTTAAATTGACAATGTAACAATTTTGAGTTAACGTGTTGCATTGATAATTAATATAGTGATTTTGAAAATTATGTACCATTAAAATGATTTATAATGATTGAAAATTACGTACCATTAAAGAGATGTTAAACTGCAATTTAATTTTAATGGTGTGTAATTTTCAAATTCTTTTTAAAATTTTAATTTTTTAAAAATTTAAAATGAAAAGAAAACCTAAAAAAAGATCATTTTGAAGAAAGTCTAGATTATCCTTAAAACTTTGTTTGGTTCGATGGAAACAACTAAAAAAGAAAGAGAAAATTTAAAGTTTGGATAGATAGAAAAAGAAAACTAGTGGAAAATTTAGTTTTCCTTAGCGTTCGTTTGGTTAGATAGAACTAGCAAGAAAGGAAAAAAATTGGAAAATATTTAAATTTTTTGTGCGTTTGTTTAGGATGAAACGGATAATTTTCCGTAACTAACTAATTTTCTCTAAAACGATTCCCGTATAAAACACGTGAAAATTTTTATTTCTAGGGAAAGTTGTTAAGTTATATTCTAAATTCCTATTATACCCATAATTATCAATTGTATAACTTGGGTTTCCTTTATCTTTTTCTCCTTTTTTGAGAGACATTTTTTTTTTTTCCAAACATAAATGAATTCATGAAATTGGAGAGATCTTATTTTTAGCATTTTTTTTTTAATCTATTTTATCACTTTATTCTTCTTTTTTTTTTCCTTTTTTTTTCCCTTCCAAAAATACGTATATACATATAACATATTATGGTAAGTATTTTTTAAGTGCATTATATTAATTTTCAATATGTATATATACATATTAACTAGGTTTTAGAATTTGGATACTAGAGTTATTATAAGTTTTAGGAAATATATATGTTCCTTGAAAAGAATAATACAAAATATTCTATAGTTATATAATTCTATTTGAATTCAAAAAGAAACCCCTCGTAAACTTGGTTGTTATATGTAAAATTCTATTGCTTTTGGTTATTCTAATATAAACAAACATCTAGTGGAAAAATTCTAATCTTATTCCATTTCGTCAAAGTCCTTACAATTACTATATAAATTGTAATGTCCAAATCATATATATATATATATATATATTTTTTGAGTAAATAAATTCAGGTGAGTTGGTGTCTCACACAAGTTCAAAATATTATTATCAACAACAAAATTTGATGCATGAATTAATTTTACTCAAATTTATTTATATTTTTAGTATTTAAAATTATAAGGGTAATATTGACAAGTAAAATCATTTTCTCTTCTCTTTCATTCTATCCAAACTAACAGCATAATATTTTTTCACAACTTTCATGAAAATTTTTTATGATATTCAAATGCACTATGGAAACTTAATTTTCTTTTCTTTCACTTCACTTTCTTTTATTTTCACTTTCCATCATCTATTTTCATCTAACCAAACAGACCCTTATCCCTTATTGAGTATTTTCCCTAAAAAAATTCCCCCAAAAGCGAAAATTTTATTTTTACATGAAAAAAGCGCTTATTTATTTGCAGTATTATGAGGTAAGTTCGCAAGACAAATTATACAATTATATATACAGAATATCAATGATAATTTGGGTAAAAATGACATCACCAATGACTTCAATGGGCCGGGGGGGGGTAAGGAGTTATATGCATTTTTTTTTCCTTCTAATAAGGGAGTTTTTTTACACATTTTTTTTATATTGGGAGAGAGTTTTTTTGTACTTAACCCTTTATTAAATAATCCTTAAAAATTGTCACTATTATTATCTCTTAAATTTATTTATATAATAGTTGAATATATACACAGTATGTATTTATTCAAGTGAGATTTTGATTGCATTTATAGGGACTCCGTAAAATAGAAAAATGAAAGAAAATATATAGGCACCTGAATTGATTTGACAATGTCTAGCCTAATTAATCTATATTAATTTATGACCTTATTTTATTATGTCCATAAAAGTAGTACATGTAATTAATATTGGTAATTAAGTAATTAAGGGAATGTATACTTGTGTAGTAGGTGGTCCTCAATCTTTAAGAGCTAAAAGTAATTTATCTAATAGGTGGTGTAACTTTTTTCTAGGCAAGCAATACTCTTCTCCCCATTTTCTGATTAGAGAGCAGAAGCAGAAGCAGAGCAGGAATGGTTGCATTAGGGGAATTAATCTGTCGATGATCCCCTAGCTAGTTAGCTACCTTCAACTCCATCTCTTCATTCATTCATCCATCCATCTATCCCCGTCCTCAATTAATTAACTTATCGAAAAAAGAAAAAAAAATTAAATAATATGGTACAAGTAGTACTGTTGGTCCTCTTGATCATCATCTCTAGTTGTATTGGGTTGTCAGGGAGCAAAGCACCCAAATGCCTCATGGATGAACTCTCGCTAGTGAAGGAAAGGGTGAAGACAGTCCCTGCAGGTTCTTCTTCACCGGAGATGATGAGTAATATGGAGAGGGAAGTAAAGTCATTTGCGTTGAAATTAAACCAAACAGTGGATTTCATCGAGGAACGTAAAGCAAATCCAAATACAGCAACTGTTGAAAAAGAATGCATCCACAAATGCGAAGAAAGATTTAAGCAATACCAGGACACCCGTAAGGAATCCAGCATGGGGAGTGGCGACTTGGGGAGGGACGTCATTGAATCCATTAAGACAATCTTGAAGTACCCCGAGTATTGCATGCTCTGTTTTCACAATCACAATCACAATCTTAATCATCATCATCATCAGCAGAACAACAACCCTAATGTTGCTTATAATTTGCCTCACATCAACAACAACGACGACGTCAATTCTGAAAACAAGGATTTGCTTAACATAGGCAACATCAATTTGCCTTACATAATGAGAGACAACAACCTACAAAGACTGTTTCCATGAAGAGCCACAAGCTAGCCTGCACTTTTCATGTCCACTAACAACGTCCAATTTGTAAATCCCAATTAATTTGTTCAACAAGCATATATTACTTGAATACCAGCTTTAATTAATTCATTCATTCATGGGGATATATATATATATATATATATATATATAAACAATTAATGAATGTATACCATTAAATACATTCATTAATTGTTTTATATAAAATTAAAGAAATATCCTGCATGCACGCTTAAAGGCAGCATTTAATTATTAATTTGTTTATTTATTACATCTTCTTCAATCTCAAATTATTTTCATTTAGCTCTTGAGATTTAATTAATTATATTTGCCAAATAATTTTGAATTGTTAATTTATAAGAGCATTTTGATTATTTAATGTAAAATAGTGTGTCAGATGAGAGGCACATAGAGGGAAAGGGGTAATTTGCAACAAAATGTGATAGGAGGTGTTTTTGCAAAATATATATATATATAGTTTAAGTGTTTTTTTTTTTTTTTTACTTTACCCTAATTACATAAATTGTAATGACAGAAATGAAATACTAATGTACCCAAACTGATGCTGCTATTATTATTAATGATATTAAAGGTTTTCTAGCACTGGATCCTAATATTCCTTAGTTTGAGTTGAAAGACAGTTCAATGAAGTGGCTTACTTTATTAGAAAATGGGTTCTTAAAGTTAAGTCCACTCATCTGGATTGAAGCAGCCGGCTTTCCTGGCTGTCTGTAGCCATTGAGAGTGATTTTTCTTTGCACTTCTTCGTTTCTGGTAATAATTAAAAAATAATGAAATACCCAAACTAGACTAACAATTTAAAAAATAAAAAAAAAATGTGGGAAGAAATCATGCGAAGGCTTCACACGTGGGGTACATTAGTACATTTCATTACACCTGCAATGGAAAAAGAATGGAGAAATTTGGGGTATAGGAGCTAACCTAAACTGAGGGGCGTACAGCGCACCTACTTGCAGCATAACCATATGTAGACGGAAAGACGTGGAAATTTAAAACGGCAGGGGATGCGTAGAGAGAGACAGAGAGAGAGACTGGGACTGAGTCGGGTGACCCAGACAAGGCTAGTCCAATAAATCACAGGCTGTGTTCGTGTGTGTGTGGGTGTGGGTGTGGGTGTGGGTGTGGAATAAGAAGCAAAATGGAGAAGAGCGCTGGTATCGTTTACCACTATACACACAGTGACCCCCAAAACTCTAATCCAAACCCAACTTCACCTTTCTCTCTCCCTATACACACCTGCCCATTCTCCTCTTCAATTATATCTTTTCTGTCTCTCCTCTTTCTCTCTTCTGAAGACCATTACATCCATCAAAAGGTTTCTGAATTCCATTCCATCAACAAGGTACCTCTCTCTCTCTCTCTCTCCATATATATATATATATACACACTCGCAGTATCTCTCTACATGTATATACAAATTGTGTTTCTGTTGATTCGCTGCAGGTTCTGTTCTGGATAGGTCTATTTAAGCTCCTTTGGAGGACTTGGTTTCTATATATGTGGGATGATCGATGAATTTGTGCGTTTAGGTATGTGCTTTCTTTTTGTTTGGGGTTTTCGATGTATATGTGTATGAGTGATTGCATTTATTTTATTACAGAGTTCTTATATTGTGAATCTTTGTTGATAGGGTTTGGTTTGTGTCCATTAATCATCTCAATATAATCCCTTTTTAAATAATTAATTTGGTTTTATGTTATATTATTTGAAGTAATAGGGTGATGTGAATTGTAATTTGGATAGTGGATTTTCATTTTTTTATTTCAATGTTTTTTGTCGAAGGGTCTGTTTTGATGAGCTATTCTCTTATAATTTTGTTTAATTCTTCTTATATTTCTATTTGAGTTTTATTTATTTATTTATGTTTTTAGTCATTGAATTCACGATTGACTGCTAATTTTCAATTTTGTTTTCGGTATCATGTTTTTCCCCTTGTGATCCTTTCATGGATTTGTGAACATTGTGGTGGTGGTGTTATTATTACTACTATTTTTTCAAGCTTCCCACAATTCTACACTTTTAATTGATATACAACAACCACCACCAAGCCTTTTCCCAGTTCTACACTTTTAGTATATATAAATTCAATGTTTCTTTCTGTTAATTCAATTTTGTCATACATCCCTACTTTGTTGCATCAGTCATTGGCAACAAATTTTTTGAATCATACTTCCTCTTCTGCTTGTACTTTCTATATCAGCCAATTCTGGGTCTAATCTTTTAATTGTTCTTGTTAACTTCTTGGGGACATACTTATTTGCTTATGAATGCTGTCCTTTCTTTTGGTATTTCTATACAAAAATGGGTTTTTTTTATTGAATTTAGTAGTTCTCAAGGATTTGTTGGATAGGTGCTTCCAAACTTGCGGAATCCGGTGGATTTTTTGACCTGCGCGCATCTCAATGTCTGGTTAGTTCTACCCTTGAAGGAATTGGGCTTTAAAATTCTTTCAGCGATGGAGGATTTTGGCAGTCCCCGGTTTGAAGGTAATGGAATAACTATAAGAAAGAAGAGAAGCCAAACTTCCCGCCGACCTAGACCTGAGTCACAGCCGTTACCAGAAAGTCATGATCATTCCCCCTTATCATCAACACCACCTTCGGATGATGTGAGCAAAGTCTCCAGTGATGAGAATACTGATTTTGATACTAATCATGGGAAGAAAGAGTTTAATCTTAATCATTGTGCTTTGAGAGTTTCTTCAACTAGCAGAGCTGAAGGGGAATATCCCCATAAAAAGATCAAGAAAGAGGATGGTGAATCCAGTTTGTTATATGCTAATGGAGGTCCGGGAGACCACACTGAGCAGGAGCGGAATGGGTTGAATCACAAATGCTGCAGTGAGGTTGTCCTTGCTCCTTCTATCTGGAAAGGCATGGACAAGTTCAAGGGATGCTCAGAATTGCAGTCTAGAAGTGCAGACATTGGCGGAAGGAATGATGAAAGTCACAGTTCAGGGCATTTGGAAGTGATCGGGAATCAAGTAGGAAATGAGAACAAGGTTAAAAAGGTTAATCTTAAGGTCGGTGATGTCACTTGTACGATGCAAACCAAATTCAACTCCCATGGATTGTTTAGCAGTGGGACTGCTAAAAAGACTACTCAGTCTTCAGATGCCCCTCGTCCACGGCCCAAGCTAATGCTCCAGGTTTATAACCGTTGCTCATGAGCTATAAATTCATTATGATCATATGTCTGTGTTGTACCATTCAAGCTTGAGTACTGTCACTTGTGTCTTGGTTTTTTGATAACTGGCGAAGAAATATGCTTGTGAAAAAGAAGATTAGTCAACGAAAATATCGGAATTAGATCAGAGAAATAGATAGGAAATTATTTAAAGATTGTTCTTTGTTGTTTTGGTTTCTAAAAAGGAAAAATCATATTTTTGTTTTGGACTCAGTCTAATGGAGGGTTTTGTTTTCTGGGCAACCAAACAATGCATTATGGTCTAATTTCAGTGGCCAAAAAGGAAGAAAAAGTTTATGTAATCAGAACTTATCCTTGATTATTTACATGATTTGTAGGATCACACATGGCATAAATTTTCTGACTGACGTACTTGGTATTCATTTATTGGACAGATATTTGATGTCTAATGCAACATGTATGGAAAATAAATTGTCATTTAAAACATTTTGTTACATTATAACATTTGGAATCCATGCAATCTTTAGTTTTTAACTATTTATTTTTATTTTTTTAGTTTCAGGACAATTCCGATCATAATTGTTCTCGTTCTTTAGATAAGAAGAGTGGTTTGCGAGGAATCCCATGTAAGGATTTCTCGAGACACAGTTTTAGTCTTGGGAAGGTGGAATCTTCGATGCGTAAGATGTCTGGAAAGAACAACTCTGGAAATCAAGGGGAGAACTTGGAGCCAGTTCGTAAGAGCAAAAGGGTGCCAAAGAGGCGTGCACTGGTTGGGGCATTAGATGAAGATGATGACGATGATGAGATCGAATACCTAGAGAAATTCAGAACTTCAAAGATCACTGCAGTATATAAAGATACTGAGGGAGAATCAAGCAAGAAACAGCGAAAACTCTCTAGGATTTCTAAGAGTGACAAGAATGACGACAATTTGGAAGATTTTGGCTCTTCAAGGCCAAGTAAAGATGGTACAAAGAAGTCCACATCAGAAAGACTGTCCGGAGACATGGATTATGGTGAGGAGGAAGATCTGATGTCTGATTGTGAGGCAGAAGATAAGAAGAAGAAGAAGAAATTGAAGAATAACTCTGTTGATTCATTAACGGAAAGTAAGAGGGAAACAACCCTCACAACGCGACAACGAGCTCTTTTATCTGTAAAAGATGCCCTGTCTGCATCTGTTGAGTTCCCTAATGGATTACCCCCAGTTCCACCTCGAAGTGAGTATCTGATGGCCTTGTACAACAAATTGTTTTTAGGGGCAATGTGTTTTGATTAATCTGTTGACATGTATTTGATAATTCAATCCATAACAGAGCAAAAGGAGAAACTTTCAGAAGTGGAGCAACAACTGAAGAAAGCCGAGGCTGCTCAGAGACGTAGACTACAAGTTGAAAAGGCGGCTCGGGAATCAGAGGTTTGCCCTTGTTTATGCTTTAACTACTGTTGCCTATTTTTATACATTTCTTAAATCTTATGAGGTGGAAACAAGCATGTTTGATTTATTCTGTAGGCCGAGGCAATTAGGAAAATACTTGGTCAAGATTCCAGTAGGAGGAAGCGAGAATCTAAGATAAAGAAGCGCCAGGAAGAATTAGCACAGGTGTTGTAACCTGCTCGGGTTATGTCTTTTTCTAAATGCTGTTATCGGATTGATTTATTTATTTATTTATATATTATTAATGGTATATGATGTAGGAGAAGGCTGGCAATGAGATGATGCTTGCATCAAACACCATTAGATTGGTCATGGGTCCTAATGGGACTGTTGTTTCATTCCCAAAGGATATGGGTTTGCCTAGTATCTTTGACTCCAAACCTTGCAGGTAGTGGTTTGTCCTTTACATTTATTTTCCTCTTTCCTCGCTTCACATTTTTGTTCCTTCGAAAAAAAAAAGAAGTGTCCAAGCACTCGCCCACCAACAAAATTGCATGTTAAAAGTTCAAATGATTTTGATGTTTGTTTGCTAATAGTTTGTGGATTCTTGATGTGGACTGTCAGTTACCCTCCTCCTCGTGAAAAATGTGCTAGCCCATCTTGTATTAACCTGTACAAATATCGAGATTCAGAGTCGAAGCTTCCTCTTTGTAGTCTCCGGTGCTACAAGGCAATTCATGAAAAGATGCAGGCTGAAGCTGCCCACTAATGTTGCTGGCACTCTTGGGCATGCAGGGTTTTATGAACGTTAATGTTAATATAGCTTGGTTAGTGAGTAGTGAAGAAACGTTTATATCACTATAATCCAGAGAGATCTACAAAAAATGGGATTGTTCACGTGCTGTATGCACAGCAGGAACTATCCATATTTTGAAATTCTGTTATTCAGTGGTAGATGATTTGCTATGCTTCTTATTTTCTGGGTTCCGGGACAGTGCAGGGATGTCAGTCATGGTTGTTATGTAGAAAGCTTGTAATTGTGCCGGTAGCTCTGCTCAGCCATTCATTCCACGGCATCCGTGACAGTATTGTGGAAATCAAATTTGTGTGTGTAATTGATTGAAACCCCCTCCCCTTTATTATTGTTAGGTTTAAATGGTTATGGTACATCCTAGGCTTTTATCTGTATGCATATCTTTCAGTAATAATATACCTTCGAGTGCAGCATCAAAGTTTCATAAAGCATGCTCTTCTAAGCTTCGGGCTTCTGTATTCATGGTTATGGTACTTGTTGGTTTCTTACAGTGAAGAAGTGTGAATCATGAATGATAGTTGGGTGCAGTGTGGAATAAGTTGTGTTGGTAAGGTTTTTGAACTATGATGACATGTTTGAGGCAGCTATTATGGCAGGAAGTTAAGTAACTAAATAATTGTTGTGGGTTTCCTAAGAAAGGGCCATTTTCAAGCTTCTAGGTGTTTGTTGATGAGGTGAGAATGGGTGAATGTAGATCAGAAATGTTACTTGAGTTGATGGATTGGCCGTATAGCATGCCTAATTCATTTGATTGCAAGTATATATATATATATATATATGGTGTTGATTGTGAGAACCATGTTGTGAGTCTTGTGACAAGCAAGTGGCATTCCAATTCCATGCAGTAGCGTATCAAGAAGTATTATGAAGTTGTGTGCTGTGATTTTTATTAACATAGGCCACCAAGCTGGCTGGCTATCATCATTCTTGTTCCCTAACCAGGTGGTCTTTGTTATGGAAAAAGGTCTACATTGTATCTGAAAAAAATATCAGAGGATGAAAGTTGCTAATTCTTTTTTCATTTCTGCTAGGCCAAATCCGGTTGCTGCTGCATTTTTCGCCAAACGAAATTCAAAATTTTCTCCAGCATGAATTGAGTTAAAGAAAAGTGGTGACAAAATTTCGCAGATGTTCCGAGTTTTATTAATTCTAGTCACATTAGTTAAGTACACAATTCTATACACACCATTAAAGGTAAAAATCATGTCACTCCTTTTGGTGCTTTCACATGAATCATGTATTATTCTGTAACCCAACTTATTTTAAAGAAATAAAGAATTGCGGGAGTGGGGTTCACCAATATATATATATATATGTATATATATATCCATTAATAAACCTGTGTATTCAAACAATCTGTGTAAGTTCACATGTTGAACCCCCCAACGGTATATAGAAATAGAATTGCCATATTGTTATGTGGAACAGTGGAATCTTATTGAATATATCCTCTCCTCGTCCACAAAAAGGACAAGTTTGTTGTGTTTGGCGTTTGTAGAGGGAATATTATGTAGTAAAATATATTTAAAAAAACAAAAGCAGCATAGGCTTTTTTATCAAATAGATTCCGGTGCCTATAAATGAAGCTAAAAGAAACTGCCAAAACTACAAAGACCCACTTCCACTAAATCAATCCACTCGAGAATAAAAGAAGCCAGAGACATATCTTTGGTCACTAACCTCGTGACTCTCGTGCATCTCTACGGAATATAGAAATAACAATATGTACTGTACATACATACACGCATATACATATAGATAAATAGATATGAAAAAATCAACACTCCCAACTTTTCCACTCCCCACCACTCCCCCCTTGGCATTTGTGTGTGTGTGTGTGTGTTTTTTTTTTTTTCACGTGTCTCCTATAACATTTCATCCACGCTTACACCCACTAATTAAAACTTTTGCTAATGCTAAATGCTAAAGTAATGCAACTTTTCTGAATGTGTGTCTGCCCCAAACATAGTGATACTCTCTACACACATAAGGACCACCATTGTTGTAAATAACAAACTCATACTATTAAGTCCGAGAAAGAGTTTTACATCTGGGAAAAAAAAAAAAATAAAATAAAATAAAATAAAACAAAACAAAAAATAATTATCCCACAGAATGCATAGAAGAGATACCAAGGAAATACCAGCTATGTATATATATATATATATGTACATTTAAAAGTACATGTTGGCCTACTAGCTAGCACTGAGATTAATACTTAAAAATTTAATCAAGAAGGGTAGACAAGAATTCTTTCATCAAAGAAATTGGTCCTGAGGAAGCTTGTGAAAGATGAAGATGTGCAGGGTAGTTCTTCAAGCTCATCAAAGAAGTCATTATTTTCATCGGATTTGGGTAGTGTTGAGAAAGTCATGAGATGAGGATAAGAGAGGGGCTGTTCATCTTGAAAGAGAATACTTGGTGAATCATAATAGATGGTGTGCTCTAGTTTTGCATCTGTAAATGGGTTTTCTTTTTGGTAATTGATTGTGATGTCATGGGAGCTATTGAATGGGGAATATTGGGAGTAGTAGAAATCATCTTCTTTATCTTTTCTGGTCATGTGTTCATCATCAGCGGCCACTGGGGGTGGTTGCTCTTGCTCTTGCTCTTGCAACACAACTTGTTCTTCTTCTCCTCCTCCTTTTGGGGTTGTGGGAAGGTTTTCTATGTGGTGGGTTTTCTTTGTTTTTTGAGTCAGGGAATTGGTACTGGTGGTGGTGGTGGGAAGATGAGACGGCCCTGGGTGATTATGGGTAGAGGTGTAAGTGATTATGAGCATTGAAGCATCTGTTTTGCATCTTTCTACTTGTTTCTTGGCTGAACAACCCTTAGATGTGCTGCACCTGTAATAACCCCTGCAGTTAAGAAAATTAACCAGTGAGGATACTCGTGTGTGTGTGTGTGTGTGTGTGTGTGTGTGACAGAGAGAGAGAGAGAGAGAGAGAGAGAGAGAGGGAGATGAAGAAAATAAAAACAATGTTAATTTGTATCACTTTAGATCAAAGTACTCAAAGATGAATAAAGCTTGTAGAATAATGGATCAACAAGAATAAAGCTTAATTGCATGAACCAACAGATGGAGATCAATTACTATATACCATAACGGAAGAAAGAAAGAATAGAGGGAGGGATGGGGAAAAATAAGGGAATTAATTAATTAAAAAGCTTTGATGGATGGGTATAAGGAATTAAAACCTTGGATAAGGAGATCCCTTGATGGGTTTTTGTCCATATTTCCTCCAAGACCAACAATCAGAAGGTGCTCCTTCATTCTTGTGTTTCCCATCATCATCATCATTTGCTTCTATCTTCACTGCCACCACCGTCTTCTCAACAACCTTCCTATATATACAACAAAAATTACATCTATAATTAACCAAATTAATAGGAACACATAGAAGATAAAAGGATCCATCTCTGTAATTAAGGAAATTAATATATATATATATATATAGAACCCACAAAATAGAGATCTAGGTTGAAAAATAACACAAGGAGCTTACCTTCTTTTGGATTCCTGTGTTTCTACTAGTTTAACTTGTTTCGAAACCTTTGAGTCCAATCTTCTCGAAGAATAATGAGAACCATCCATCACTCAGATCTCTCTCTAGCTTCCTCCTCTTTCTTTGTTATGTTAATCTAAAAAATCTTATCATCTATCAGAGACAGAAGACGGCAATAAAGGAAAAAGATGGATCGAAATCAGAGAGCTCTGAATTGATTGAGAGAGACAGAGAGAGAAAGAGGATAAGCCGATATGATGATAGACAAAATTAACCCCCAACTCCAAGTTGCTTTTTCTGTCTTTCTTTTCACTTATTATTAAAGCCAACTTAGGCGACGCACACAACTACCCACACATGTATCACTCACTTCCCTTTATGTATATAATAATTTAAAAGAATGAAAAATGTTAGCTCCGATTAGGGTCCATTCTTCATTCGTTATATATATATATAGAGTTGTAATCTAATTAAGTATCACGGTTCTCCGATTAGGGTCCATTCTTCTGCATTCATTACTATGAAAAATGTTAGCTCCGATTAGCTTGTACAACTTTGTTCTGAAAATTCTCCTAATGTTTATTATAGCGGCAAATAAAGACCTCTAGTCAATTGGTCGTTAATGAGTGATAAAAATATCATAATGTTTTTCTTACAATTAAATAAATAAATAAATAAAAATTTAATTAATATAAAATTATTATTATATTCTTTATTTTTTTGATTTATATACAAAAGGAAATGGCATTTTTGAAATCAATAAAGAATAATTTTAATATTACCAAACACATTTTTTTTTTAATAGTAATAGTCAAAAAGTTCATTTTTATAATATTTTTAAATTATTGATGAAGTTATGTACCTAAATTCTTGGTTCACAATATCGGTAACGATTGAAGTATAACGAACTCAGACAGAATTAGTATAAACTAGCTGATACGAATCGCGTCGCGTATATCTTTTCAATTTTATAAAAGTAGTTTTACCAAAAGTAACAACATAGTTTTTATAAACCAAAAGTGAGTTTTTAACGCTGTTTCTTCCGTTATTTATATTTTTTCATTTTAAATCTTTTTCGTTCATGGAGTTTTACCGTTTGAACGCGTTTGACATCATTCTCGAGATGGATTGGTTGTCATTCTTTCGGGTTACGATCGATTGCTTCCACGGGAGGGTGCCTTTGCGTTTTGTGTTTGTCTTGACTACGCGCTCAATATTGTTTAGCTTAAAACCGTTAGTCGATACGTCGCGTATCGAGCGATAAGGCGAACCATGACCAAAAAATAAAAGAAATACTCCTTTTGTCCCAATTTAGATGTCCTTTTTAGGAAGTAGTAGTTTTTAAAGGGACATGTGGGACATGACTTGTCTTATTATAAAATTACTAATTTGTCCTTCTAAGTTTTGAATATGTAAATTTAAAATTTTAAACTCCAAACACATATATAAAAATATGTAAAATATATTATTTAAAAAATAAAAGTGATAATTATTTTGAAATAGATAAAAAAATGACTCTTTTTTTTCTTCTTTTTCTTTTTCTTTTTCTTGTTTTTGAGAGAGAGAGATAGAGGGAGTGTGTCTTATTTACTCAAAAAGTAAATATCAGGTATTTTAGATACTTAGTCCAAAACTATATAAAAATAATTCATATAAAGGCAAACAGGAACACTGACAGATATTTCGGTGGTGGGAAATGGTAGCTAGCTAGGGGCTGTGGGCAGAGTAGGGCCCTATTTTGGTGCGTATGCCAATTTTCAACTAGTTTAATCCAAAATCTCTGAATCCAGACACAATTGAAATCTTCCAAACACCATAAGGGCATTTGTCATCACCATCTCTCCCTCTCGCACAACTGGATTTGGTGGGTATGACATGTCATGGGTGACAAATGTGTACATAATTTTCTTTCACTTTAGATGTAACTATATATGGTGATATATTAATTTTGAAGCTTCTTGTTTGACCTACAAGTAACAACTTCCACTTAACCACAGCCTCTCACAAATCATAAATTGAAAATCCGGTGATCGATGAAAATACCAATTTCTTTTAGAATTGTAAATCTCTTTTTTCATATTAGATTAAATTAATCCAATTTTAGTGTGCAATAAAGTTGATTCTGATACCCAGCCTTTATAATATAAGCTATCAAAATCAAATTAATTCGTTTTTCTAATCATATATATAATGTGTCTATGAAATGATGCCAACATGCATGCGCAACGAGTAACAGTTATAAAATTGAACCTCACACAATCACAAGAAACTAAAACCAAGTTGAGAGTAATTATAATATTGTAAACCAGTCACACAAAGACATATATATTATAGAATTCATTAACACTAATACTTACTGTATATATCTCAAGTAATTAACTAGTGGCACATCGAAGGCAGTGAACTACCAGAGCAGAGCAGTGATAATTTATTGGAAAATGAAAGATATTTTAAGTATGGGCAGGGTCCACAGTCACTTTGGGACGTGGTCAGTATATCCTTTCTTTCTAATTGGCTGGATTTGTTTAGCATCCCCAACATAATTTAATTATTTGTTTATTCATTTGGTAGGTGAGCCATGTCATTTAATGCATCCAGATTAATGTATTTAACTGACTAATTGCATTTGACGACCCTTTTATACCGACCGATTTTAACTCACAGATTAAATGTAATATTTTTTTTTAGCTTAAAATACTCTTTTAGTTTCTCATTTTCTTCGTCATACATATATATATATATATATATATATATATATATACAAAATTCTTTTTTCAGAGAGAGACACTAACCGAATTTTTTTTCTTCTCTGTCATCTGAAAAACCACTATATAAAAATAAAAAAAATTAAAAACATGAGAAACAAGAAGACATGATAATTAATATTAAACACATTTAATCATTGCGTATTCTTGATTATGTTTTAGGGAATATCGGAATTCATTATATTGTCTAGTTCTTTTCTTTGTATTGCCTGTTCAGAAAGTAATGTCGATGGTTGGTCGAAAATGAAATATTTTTGCAATTTCAGAGACGTTCCACGAGAGGACGTGGAGATAGGATACATTATTGCTTTATTTGGGTGGGGAGAGAAAAAGATTTCAACTTTTGTGGAAAGCATTTTTTTAATTTATGACAAGAAAAACATATATTTTACTACCATGTATCTTTTTGTCCATATCCCAGCTCAAACCCTGTTACACAGGCGGGTGTTTGCTTATTTAATCAAAAGTTCAATTTGTTGGGTAGTGTTGTATATATACCCACCCATTTATGCCCAATCACTTTCCCATCTGGATCCGATGTGGGACAAATGATCCTTGTTACATTTTCTCCCATCTAAACTCGTAACACTCTCGTTGCAGTTGGGTCATCCGGCCTACCCGGGTGAGTCACCTGGACGGCTTTCGGACTAGGCGCTTGGCATAGCATCAGATCAAGGACTGGGTTGGACTTTGATATCAACTATAACAGGTGAGCGCTTGTCCATTTATCCAAAAGCTCAAGTTATTGGATAGTATTGCATACCCACTCATTTATACCTAATCATTTTTTCATCCGGATCCTATGTGAGACAAATGACCCTTATTATAACGCGATACTATTAAACTAGATATTTATTGGTATCGTGACTAGTTGTGCTTACAGATAATATTCGAATTTTTAACCTAATCTTATAATTCTTTTTTAAAGAATATATTAGAAAGCTCTCAAAATATGACCTAACCTCATGCAGTTTGAGTGAAATTAACCCTATATATTGAGAAGGATTCACATGAAGTGAGTATGTGAATATAAAAATCCAAACTAGGGGGAAAAAAAAAAGAAAAAAAAAAAAAGTAATATAGAAATCCGAATATGTGAAAGTAATCTTACTAAAGCCTCGATCAATATGTGACTGCGGGTTTTATGTGTATGTTGTTCTCACCGGTGGAAATTAATTATTAGGAGAGTGGAGAGAATTGAGTAAGAAACTTGTGATTTTTGAATGCTAGCTTTAAAATGTAGTTCTTGAGTTAATGTATTTTGTCATTCTTTCATATTATAACTAGGGTAAATTATACTGACATTATTTTATGTTTGTCAAATATCATACTGAAATATTTTTTAAAAATAACTATTACTAATATTACAAATATTTAGTCAATTTTTCACTCACACTCTAAAAGTTACTTTTCAGATGTGTCAGACCATTTTTAGTCTTTTACATGTAAAAAGATATTATTATCCCTCTGACTTTGGTTTGACTGAGTGAAGTGTTGTTTGATAAAAATAATATTTCTGCACTTCATTGCTCCATATATGATACTGCGTCACATTATGCACATTTCATATTTTTGCAACTACATGCTTCATTGTAATACATAATATATTAAGCACCAGAACAGAAAGTTACATGTTTCAACGTAATACATAATATATTTAATTTGGGAAACTTTTTCTAATATTATACATATATATATAATACATAAAATTTATATATAATTTATTTAATTTTTAAATATATTTAATATTCACATGCATTTTTATTTAATGTTAATCTTATTATTTATGTAAATGAATAAATTTGAATTTAAATCTATAATTAAATTTAAAAACATGAAGTTGAATATTATAATTAAAAAATTCTTAACATATATATTTAAATAAACATTTATATATATATATATATATATATATATATATAAATTATTTAATGTTAACATTATTTGATGCATTTCATGTTTGAATACCACATTATCCACAGATAACAAAAAAAAACTCATTTTATTTGAAAATAGGAAAATGATTCTTGCACCGAATAGATGCAGTGAATTGCTTAAACCTATACTTTTAATTGGTCAATTATGCAATAAATAATGAAGTGGAGCCATCCACTTAATTATATTTAGTATGAATAGCTAATTAAAAATTATTCGCTTTGAAAATATTCAAGTAAGAACTAACAAATCTAAATTAAATCAAGCAAGAAATCTCATTTTATATGGGAAAAACAGAACAAAGTAAAGCAAATTAAATTATACGTACCAAAAAAAAGAACAAAGTAAAGTAAATTGAATTAGTAATGTATTATATATCCGAGCCATGCTCATGAGTGATATCAATTTCATCAGTTAATTAAGGAACTATGTAAATATGATGATATATATTGAGTATATAGATACCCGTTCTTTTTTTTCTTTTTTTTTTTGGTTAGTAAGAAACCCATTTTATGAGGAAGTGAAGGCATCAAAAGAAGAAGATGGACCGTGGGTGGTAAGAATTTTTCTTGAAAATATATATCTTTGATTCGTGAATTAGCCTACTATGAGTCTATTACATTTGTAAATGTATATAAATGAAACCTTGTATTTTAGAAGAGAGAGAGAAGGGAAAAATGGTAAAGGGAAATGTGAAAGGCAAGGCATCTAGCAGCCTGCTTGAGCAGATTGTCAAGAGAGGGAGAAAGAGAGGGCGAGTGCAGTTGACAGGTGTAATAACGAGGGTAAATTGGTTATTCAAGTTATATGATATTTTGAAATAAATGAAATTCAAAAATTGAGGGTAAAGTTATTTTTTTTTTGTACATTTTTAATGGTGTTAATGACGGAAAGGGGTGTTAATGTAATTAATCCTAATAACTACTGCGTACAGCTGGATGTATGTATTCATATATGCAATGTAATGTAAGGCCCATATATATCTATATAAGCTGATAGATACAGTAGTGATTCAACATGAATGCTGCGGGTGCAAAGAAAAATTAATGTAGAGTCGAGTACTCTTGTAAAAATTTAATTAGAAGATGACATGGGTTGTTGGACACTGAGCAGAGCATTGATAGCTAGGCCCAGTATGTATTCATGATTAGCTAGAAGATGACATTGCCCATTGGGCATGTACCATTGTCTTGATTTCTAGTTGTAATTAAGTGGACCTAATCAGCACAAAATTAAGAGCTTTGGGTTTTACTTCTCATAACTCCTAAATTAGTGTCCGATAATCCAATCCTCTTTCAAATAAAAAATATATATATCTTAGTAAGGTTTTTATTTTATTATTATTATTATTATTTTTTCCGCTTAACATAAAAACAACGGTTGCAAGTCAGAAAAATCTTCCGACATTACTCAACTAATGATTTTAAAATATTATAGCATTTTAATACTTCGGTTGTTTCACGATATACATATCTAACTGAACAGAATGTAAAGGTACGTCAATATAAAATGATATGCATGCTTAAAGTCTTAGCAATTACCATTATATTCAATATTCCTGCCGTCATTCTATTTATATGATTCTTTGGTTATATATTGCTGTGTGTGTGTGTGTGTGGAGTAATACACATAATTATCCAAGTATTGCAAGGCATAAATTTCCAACTTGAGTAAGTTGAATCCGCAGAAGTCTCTTTCAGAACTAGAGGTAGAAGAAGAGCTTGGGATTATATCATACTAATGTTATGTGGTGGACGGTATTTAATTATATATATACATACATATATACATTCATCCAGCAGACTTATAAAGTGGAAAACAAGAGGCTATTAATTATTATTATTATTATATAATTAATGTACGATTACTGTCATCTCATGCATTAACAAATACTAAATTCTTTTATTAGGTTACAAAGTAGCAACTTTCAATTGTAAAGTAGTTCAAACTTCAATCGCCAAATTTCGTTACAACGTTGTTTCACAGTTTATAAAGTGGCAAACAAAACCCGCCCTTTTTTTTTGGCAATACAACTTAATTAACAACTCTTGCAAATATATATATATATATATGTAGTAGGACTAAATGGCTTGCTTGTTTAGGACTAAGCTGCCTTAATGTCCACCACCACTGCCTCCGCCAGAACCACTACCGGATCCATGGCCAGCACCAGCACCAACTCCTACGCCAATGCCAATTCCAATTCCAAATCCTCCACCACCCCCGGCTCCATGACCACCTCCTCCACCTAAACCACCACCAGCTCCATGACCACCGCCAACACCACCTCCTGCACCTCCACCAAACCCACTCCCATGACCTGATCCCCCTCCTACACCCCCACCACCACCTCCTCCAAATCCTCCTCCACCTCCAACACCCCCACCAGCTCCACCTCCAACGCCACCACCTGCACCAAATCCACCACCATGGCCTGATCCTCCTCCTACTCCACCACCGCCGCCTCCTCCTCCTCCTCCTCCTCCTCCTCCACCACCACCTCCACCAGCACCTACTCCACCACCACCAACACCACCTCCAGCACCAAATCCTCCACCATGACCCGAGCCACCCCCAGCACCGCCACCACCGCCTCCACCACCTCCAGCACCACCACCTCCTCCAGCACCTCCTCCTACACCACCACCTACTCCTCCACCTGCTCCAAACCCACCACCGTGACCTGATCCACCTCCAACACCCCCACCACCACCACTACCCCCACCACCGCCGCCGCCAATACCTCCTCCTCCACCAGCGCCCCCACCTACACCACCTCCAGCTCCAAATCCTCCACCACTACCAGAACCACCACCAACACCTCCACCTCCGCCACCACCAAACCCTCCTCCTCCTCCAGCTCCTCCACCACGACCCCTACCACCACCAAAACGGCCACCACCACCACAGCCTCGTCGACCTCCAAATCGACAACCATCATCACGACCAAATCTCTCTTTCTCTACCTTGTTATCTTCCCCAAGAGCGACTGCACTCAAATGGAAGACAATGCTGAAAAGAAGAAAAATCACACAAAGCCATTTTTGAGTGACACCACCACCCATTCCCATGGCTACTAATGATTAAGGGTTGTTCAATGATCTCCGGCCGGATAAAAACTCACTTGAGCTTGCTTCAATATATGCATCCGGAAAGCCTCATTATATAACCCTCTACTACCAGTCACACAAGCTAAATTTTACTTTAAATGCTCCACTATGCACCCCCATTAATGCGTACCAGCGTGGTTATGGCCGGGACGCGTTCGGTAATTGGAACCGTTGGGGATATGGCGGGAACATTAAATGACAAATTCATAGTCAAACATGCAGTCTCTCTCTCTATATATATACTATTGCAGTAGATCAATTGAAGTTGATCAACTGATCGAGCTAGCTACCGACACTAGATCACATAATGCAATGGTAATGTTTCATAACCATATATATTGCCCATCCTCAGTGCATGATAAAATAATTCCATTTTTATGCTTGGGTGCCTCTCTTATAAACTGTACATCTATTCCATTTTAATTCATTGGTTTAATTGGGATTTATTTTAATTAATCCCTCCTGGCCTCCTCTAGTTATGATCGAGATCAAGCTTGAGTTTATTTAGGAGCTGTGTGATTTCAACCAAAATAAATAAATGTATATATATGTATATATTTTTGGGTGCGCACTGGACCGGTTGCAATAGTTCTATTATTTTCGGAACCGATTAGATAGATGGATCCACAGTTTTGACTTTTGAATGACCCAATGGAGACCCAACCAATCCGCGTTAATGGGCTTCATTTTAATGGTATGCAAGTTGGCATTCTTGTCCGGTCAGAGTAGGGCCCCCATTGTGGTAGGCTTGTCGATTCTCGACTTCTTTAACCAAATCCAATCTATATATTTATATATATATATATATATATATAATCATGAAAAGAAATTGAAAGAAAGTAATGAGAGAACACATGGGTAGTTGTTCTTAGGCCCGTATGGCTGCATGGGCCAAAACCATAAACGTGTGAGCGACGTGGTCTTGAAGTGGACTGATTAAATTACGTGGGCTCATTCTGAATTCACTGGGGTGCTAAGCCCAATATCAGGTCATGCTAGCCCAAAATCACCACCAGTCCACCCTATTCAAAAAACAATACTTAGATCTTCACTAGCGAGGATTTACACCATACTCACCGTTGATATAAACCAATAATATGTCATCTTTAATTACCAAATTTAATATGGTTGGGTAGAGAGTTTTTACATACTGAATCTAATATCTTTGATAAGTATAATAACAGTATTATTAGGCGTTACTTTAGCTCTTGCTCAACTTTAGAAAGTTATGCAAGAGCATCCTGTATTGTTGAATAGAGCACCTACTCTACATAGATTAGGCATACAGGCTTACCAGTAATTAAAAATAAAATGTATCAATTTATTATTAGTTCACATCAACAGTGATTATGGTATTTTTAATTACCAAATTCAATATGGTGGATAGATACCCTCTTGCCAAATCAGAGATGATGATTTGATCACCATCGGTAATTAAAATAGAATATATTCATTTATTATTAGTCCACATCAATGGTCAGTGTGGTGTAGATATAGTGATGACTTAGTATTCACTAGTGCGGATTTACACTATACTTACTGTTAATGTGAACCAATAATAAATGGATATGTCATCTTTAATTACCAAATTCAATATGGTGGAGGTAGATACCCACCTACCAAATTAGAGATGGTGATTTGATAGCCATTCATGATTTGGTAATTAAAATAGATTATATCCATTTATTATTGGTCCACACCAACAGTTAGTATGATGTGAACCAATAATAAATGGATATGTCATCTTTAATTACCAAATTCAATATGGTGGGGGTAAATACCCACCTATCAAATTAGGAAGTTTTGGTTTGGTTCACGCTCTCACAAGCCAACATCCAAACCAATTACTATTAAAGTAAGGACAATATTTGTCTATTCATTGGTGAGTAGGAACAACATGTTCACCATTGATTTGGCGCAAAAATAAAATGACAAATGTCTTACAATATAAAATAACAAGAAATAAAAGATTTGAGAGATTATCGGTCAATCCTAATCTAATCCTCTCTTTCTTTAATCTTTATAGCCCTAATCTGACTTTCTCTCTCACACACACCTGTTGCTCTGTTTTTCTCCATCACCATAGATGCTTATAGTTGGTGACCCATGGAACATTAGGACAATCAGTATCCTAGCAAATCGAAAACATCTCTAGTAGTATTATTCTTATCATAGACCATTTTTTTTGGTTGGATAATAATGTTTTATATATTGTTGGAACATCACTAATTGATTTTTGAAGAATTATTGTAAGTGGGGTGGTGTTGAATGACTGAGGGAGGATCATATTAGGGCTCTTGACATAAGAACAGCGTGAGAGAATTAGGTTAGGATTTAATTGGGTCTAATCCGAATAGCTTCTCAAATATTTTAGGACATTTGTTACTTTATTTTTGCGCCACATCAATAGTAAGTCTGTGGTTCCTACTCACCGGTGAGTAGGCACGTATTGTTTTTAAAATAATATGCTAAAATTGTTTTTCTTTATGGATTAAGTGGAGAAAACATCCCTATAATATATATATATATATATATATATATATATATATACACACACTCCGCGTAATACTTTCACCCGTATTTGAAGATGTATGTTAATGTCTCTTTTATTTTTTTTTTTAAATTATGTTGAAATACCTTTCAAACAAAATTTGACATAAAATAATGTTATAATGCTCGTTTTACCTTTTTACTCTTTCGAAAATGACCAAGGGGTTTGTATGCTAATAACCTCATAGCATTAGAGTGTTATGTGCACATTTAACCCACTTTTAAGGATTTTTCTCTCAACTTTACAAAAAAAAAAATTATCTCTATATATTTCTCCTAACAGTGTCTTATCTGTCTCTTAGTTGAGAGTTATACATTTCTTAAGACTTAATGTCACTCATTAGTTAAAAAGTTCTAATATATGTATTTACTGGTCAAATAAAGATTAAAAAATATCCCAAAAATATATATATATGTCCTCACAATTGTCAGATTAATGGATTATTATATGCGATGAAAATCTCAGTTCTTTTTGTAATTATAAAAAAAAAAAAATTATTCTCAATTAAAATTTAATATATTTATCATTTTTCATTAAATATATAATTAAAAAATTAATCAAAGATCGATTATATAATATATATATATTTTTTCCTAATTGGTACTCACACACACATATCTCTATTAAGACTTGAACTTCTGACCTCCCTTTGAGAAGTAAGAGGCTAATACCGCTAGACCACTGGCCTGTTGATTATAATTTGTACTCTCACACACATGACGGCGTGAAAGATTCTATAATATACATTTAATTTTTAAAACTTTACAATTTGTAATAAATTTTCACAAATATATATACATATACATGGAATTGAAGTCGGTGATATTTGACAAAATTTTGGTTCAATTTTCTTAGTTGTTTTTATGAAATTTCACCAATTCCAAAGCTCAAATTCCATGCAATTATTGAACACACCCTTATGGTTCGTGGAGATTGGAATTGGACCGTGCTGAATTCTGCAGAACTTCATCCTCTAAAAAACTTTCTGCAGGGTATCCCAATTTCTGCTAGAAATGATAGTTGGCTCTGGGATAGGGCAAAATTCAGCTTTAAGAGGGTTTGGATGACAAGTAGGACTCAATGTCCTACTGTTTCTTGGGCAGCTGTGTGCTGGAGTGGGGGTTGGCCTCGTTGTTCAGTTACTACTTGCTTGGTTAAGTTGGATATAATTCTCGCTTATATATAGCAGCAATTTGCAGAGAAGAGGTTTCCATTTGACATCTCTGTTTGATTTGCATGTATACCTCTGATGAGGTTGATCACTTGTTTTTTGAATGTTGTTTTGCTTCTGAGGCCTGGAGATGGTTTGGGCAACTTCTTCATTGGAACTTGCTTCAATTCAACAATAATAGAGGTGTCCTTTTTCAGTTTGCAAGCTAGTTTCAACAATGTTCACTCTCCTTTGCCAAGGCAGTTGTTTGCTGCAATTATTTGGGGTATTTGGCAGGAGAGGAATTAAAGACTTCACCAGTCATTAGAGTCCTCTCCTACAGTGTCGGCTAGGTCTATATGGTTTAATGTGCCTGATGCAAATGCTGCTTCTGTTCATGCAGCCTTGTTTTAGTTTTCTTACTTGTATTGCGTGGTTTTGTCTATTTCCTTCTTACTGGAAATGGATGTACTCTTCTGTGTCTTGGTGTGGGTATGCCCTCTTCTTTTCAGTGTACTCTATTGATCAGTCTTTTGAATACAATTACCATACCATTCAGAATATATATATATATATATATATATATATATATATGGAGAGGCTCTCAGGCGGTCCGAAAAAGCGGACTCTTGAACGGTCTTCAAGTGAAGTCTATTTTTAAGACTTAAAATCTAAATTGGTGGGACCAAAGAAACGGCTGAGTAGACCAGACCCAATTCTTGACGTAGACTAAGTCTGTTGTTTGCCTTGTCACTCTCCTTGCATTGCCGGTTAGAACAGAAACGCCGGTGTGATTCATCCTTGGCTACCGGTAGTTCGGGTTGTTCGGCTCTTATAGTTGCTGTCTTTGTCGGACTCTATGCTTGCCAGTAAGAATACTTCATGCCGCTGTTACCATCCGTCCACTACCTGCGGGCTCGTTGCAGAAATTTCATTGTCATCGCCGTCGTTCAAATCTAATCTACGCAAATTATAATTGTATGAAATTTTGATTTTCACAATGCAATGGCCACTTTAAATATACATAAGCACCCTTGAAATAAAAATATACATGTGTGCCACCAAAGGCATTGCAGTGTGATTGGTACTTCCTCATCTTTCAACGTGAAAGGTCTGAGTTGAAGTCCCTAAAATGATACACTTGCACCTTGATTATAAATATAAACTATAAAGTAATGTTGAGATATACTAAATAAAATATTTATATTCTATTTCATATGTATGCTTGCACGACTTATTTTTAAGAATTAAATTATTTTTATGATATAAAAAAAGAAGGAAATCATTATTTTATCTAAAATATTTTACATTGAAAATATATTTCAAAATAAAACATTTTACAATCCACACTAATCCTGTAGAAATGTTATATTAAAATTGAAGCAGAGTCTCAACCATTTCAAGATCAAACAAAAAGAATAGTCTCTCATTTCCTACTTTTCAAAAAATAAAATAAAAAATGGCAACCTTGACAGGGCACAATGTGAAAGAACAGAGAGCAGATATGATAAGACCATTTCAACTATCATCATTCATTACTATGATATACAGTACTTTTTTGTGGATAATCATGTTCACTTACATATGTGTATAAATATATATATGTGTGTGTGTGTGCGTGTGTGTATAGCCGCGTGTTTCTAATAGTAATATATAAGCAGCTTTCTTAGTCAATTACCGTGTATTCATTTTCTCGGTAAACTATAAGCTCACCTAACTTAACAGGCTAATCACCTCTCTTACTCTTTCTCTCTCTCTTTTTTCTTGAAAGAAATAAATTATAGGATTCATAGTTATATATAAATAATTCAATTTAAAATGACTTATCTCAGACCCAGAACTAATGTTTGATGGTTTGAAATTTAATTACATAGTTATATATAAATCATTCAATAAAAAATATAACTTTTTGATGAGCAGTTGTTATGCTTAATTTCTTCCCTTACATGTATTGGTCCCAGTGCATTGCAGCAGCACGCATGTCCCAAATGGTTTTGTTGACAGGAGACATCAGTTTCTATGGACCTGCCATCTGTTGTTGTACATATGCCACAAAATAGCCGTCCTGCAGCTTATAAACAACTATCCTTCATAATAAATATTTTTTTTATTTGCCACTCAAACAATAACAACAACTATAAATTAAATTAAATTAAATTAATACTTAACCCCCAAAAAAACATATACTCCTTAATGGATCTAATAGTTTAATTAATGAAAAATATTAGATAGTCTCCCCAATCGGTAGGTAATTAAATAGAAAATGACGAGGGCTTGGATTGAGACCATTTCCTATGTCAACTGCGTGGTCGTGGCAACCACAATTTATATTCCACTCTTTCCCGGTCAGATGTTATATAATTGATATATAGCATATATATATAGCCCTCATATTATCTTCTTTTTTGCTCTGCAAACAAATTCAATAATTTTCAAGAGTTGTTGTTGTTTTTGTGTTAATTGGGAGGTTGGAATATTTGGCAAGATGATGAGTGGGAAGAAGCAGGTGGTTAGTTGTGGGAACTTGTTACAACCATTTCACCTCCTCACAATCACCCTCCTCAGTCTCCTCCTCCCCCTCTCATTTCTGCTTCTAGCCAGGCTCTCTACTGCCCAATATCTCTTAACTTTCACTACTTCTCAAACTACACCACAACCCCTCTCTCTCTTATTCTCTCTTTTCCTCTACACAAATCCAACTATTCTACATGTTCTGGTTTCCCTTGTTTGTGTTGCCACTCTCATTCATGGCTTGACCTGTCGGATTACGCTTTTTATAATTAATTATGAGGAGTCATCGTGGTCGTCGTCTTCAACACCTACAGTGCGACCACCTCGTCTGTACACTGCATGGATTTTGCTTTGCACGTTACAAGTTTGTGTGGGTTTGGGCATAGAAGGAAGCATAGCCGCTGGAATTGATGGTTATACAGGAGGACTGGTACAGGTGGGTCATGAGAGAAATTTGGTAAGTAGAATTGTTTTCTTTCTCGGGTTACACGAGACCATGCTTCATTGGTCCCAGTTGGTTGTGAAGCCCGTGGTTGACGACACAGTTTATGGGTTCGCCAGGGAATTAGAGGTCGGGTGGTTAGAAAGGATGGCCATGGCTGCTAGCTTTGGTAGCTTGTGGTGGTGGAGATTGAGAGATGAGGTCGAGTCTCTGGTTGTTGTTGCTGAGGTCAAGAGAGAGCTGTCCATGGGTGTTGGCGTCACCGACTTTGTCGGTTGGTGGTTGTATTACCTTACTGTCACAATTGGTATGGTTAGAGTTGTGAAGGCCCTTATTTGGCTTGGAATCATTTTGTTTTGTAAGAAAAGGCCGACTCCTCCTCTACAGGCCGACTCCCAGTCCCACTGGTTTCATATTATGGAAGAAAAGGTCTGAACCTTGAGTTGTTGTAGTCTTTAATTTGACCTTTTCTCTTCATTTGACTTTTACTTTTCTTTTTATTTTTTCCCTGGTGAAAATATTATATCCAATCAATATTGTTTTCCTTCTTTTTTTTTTTCTTCTTCTTTATATTGCAATCTAGTTACTCCAAGTTATAACCCGCTATTATATTCATCTCATTATTAAATGGTATTAATTCTTAGATAAACCATCACGCAATCTTAAACCATAGCCAATCCTTCACAATTAGATAATTTATATGGAAGACGTTTAAATGTTAAGAAAACAACATACCAATATCAAATAAGAAAAAAAAGGTCAACAACATTGACATCAAATTAACAAGAATTGAACATAAATTAATGTAGTTTGGTTGCTATCAAACTCAATTACAATATCATGTTTAAATCTGGACAACACATTAATTAATGTTTCTGACAATCGGTAACAAATCAATATTGATCAATGAGTCCTGCTATTTAGCCCGGTAAATAAAAACTTATTATTTTACTTTGTCTATGTGGCTATCTATGTGTCAAATATAATGGGACCTATTTTAAAATATAAAGTAATTAACCATCTAGAAAGTTGTCTAAGTCAACAACAATGGCATCAAATTAACAAAATGGAAGAATAAATTGAACATAACCTAAAGTAATCTGGTTGCTATAAGCCTGCTTGGTTTGTAACCATAAAAACAGTATTCTGTTTAAAAATAACTGTACAAATAACTCTGTTTGGTTCAGTTTTTTAAAAACTATTTTTTAAAAACTCAGTTATAAAAATATCTATTTTTTAGAAAAATATTAAAGATTATTATTTGAAAATATTTTTTTATTTTCTTAATTTTTAAAAATTATTTTTAGAGTTAAGACCTATAAAACTCAATTACAATTTCATATTGTATTTAATATCTCTACAACATATCAAGTATAGCTTCTAACAATTGGTATCATTACAACATTGATACTGTACATTAAATCACCGTCTATGAATACAAGGATTCGAACAACATTCCTCCAAGAAAAATCCCAAACATATTACCAACTAAGCTATTATAGACTTGTGAAATAACATAATTTTTAAATAAATATATCTTTTTTGAGCTCGGGCTGGGCTTCGGGCTTTGTATATAATATCAACCCAAGCCCAGCCCGAATTTAGTTCGGGTTCAGAATATCTAGCCCAAGCCCAGCCCGAATTTAGTTCGGACTTAGAATATCTAGCTCAAGCCCAAACCTAAAATAAAAAAACACTGCCCAAGCCCTGAAAATTTTGAGCTAAGCTTGGATAAATTCGGTTTGGCCCAGTCTGGCCCTAATTTAAAATTCTTTTATATGTACAAACAAAAAAGTAAACACCTACACCATATCCACTAAACAACGTGCTGCCTGTCAGTGGAACCTTATTTAGTAAAATAATAAGTGAGAATAGCAATGGCATTAGTCTAACTGCTTGAAAATTACCTCAGTTAGGATTTACGAGTGCAACTAGCGCAGACTCAGCTTGAAATTTATGTGCATTTAAGATACAAATTAAGATTCGGTTCAAACGTAAATTAAAAAGTAACAATCATACTCATTTTGAGCCAAAATCAAGTTATTGTGTCAAAAAACTCATAATTCAATTCGAACTAGTCCTAAATTATAAAACTTGACAAATTCAATTTATGAACCCAGCATATTTAATATGTATTATATATGTATATATATTTGTGTTGGTTGGATGTGTTTAGTTATTTAATTTTTTTAAATAGTTAGGATTATTTTACGTAGTATTTATTTTATAGCAACTCGAATTCTAATTTGGAATAAAAACAACTCCAAATTCAATCCGAGTTTTAAAAAAAAAAAAAAAATTCAAAAACAAAATAAATTTAAATTGAATTAGATTAAGGTTAAAGATTTGGTACATCAAGTTTGAGTCTCCAATCCGCGGGGTTGCACCAGTTGGTTGGTAGTGGGGTTCAGAGTCGGATCAACTGACGGAGGACGAGCGCCATCTTTGCAGACTTTTGCCGTTAACTTTTCGATTTTCACAATTAACCGCTATAAAAATCGAACGATCCAAGATCAACATAGTACAGAGTAATAAGTGAATCTTCCGTTAGGATTTTGCCACGTGCCAAACTATCACTGCGGGACTCACATTTTTCTTTTCCCCACCGACTATAAAGAGCACCAGATTTTTATCCTCCTTTCCAGTCTCTCTGCGTTTCGGCCACGTCCGACGACTCCTTCCCTTTCCCCCTCTCTCTCAAGAATAGGAACAGAGCGTCTCAAGAGTAGGAACAGAGCGCCCATGGTCTCGAAATCAAGCGACTCTGCATCTAAACTCAGAGTCAGTTTCTCTCTCTTTCTCTGGATCTATGAGTTCTTTATGCTACTACTGAATTGGTTAACCAACCATTCATCACTGTTGGAATCGAAGAAATTTCGATTATTTTTTAATGGAATCATCCTAGGTTTACTATCTCTGTCATAATACAACATATGGTTGAAAGACTAAACATTCTTTGCATTGGATCAAAGATTTTCAGCTACAGACTGAAAATTATTAGAATTCGACAGTCCATCGTTTTGTCAACTGTTTGGGCGGGGAAAAATAGAAATTTATCTTTAAATCTATAATTCACCTCAACTAAGAACCCGTTATGACTGAGTGGGAGAGAGGTTTGTTTTCTTGACTAAAAAATATTTTTTTATCGTTAGCGATAAAAATGAAACCTTAAATCCCATTCCTCCCCACATATAATCACCAATGAAACAGAGGTTGATTGATAAATTATTTGACCATCGTATGTATTCCTTCTTTTATTTATTTATTTTCGTGATTCGTTTGAAATGAATTTCTTAATTCTTTATTAAGTACCTCATCGGACATTGCAGAAATAACCCTTTATCTTGTAATTCCAGTTCAAGGAAATTGATACACTTTATTTCTTTTCTTTTCTTTTTCACACATGCTATCACCAATATAACATTTCTTCAAAGAAAATTGTCTGACCCTGAAGTATATGTTTTTTCCCTAATTTCGATGATTGTTTTGAAGTGAATACATTTTCCACTTGAGATGCATGGGTTTTTTTTATTATTATTATTTGTCATTGTATTGACATAAGTCATATGGAGAACAGGCGAGTGATGCTTTTGGAACCTTAACTTGTAAGATGCATCAGCTGATAAAGCAGATTCAAGCAGACAGAGTTGTTTCAGTTAGAGTAAGTTCCTTACATCTTTTATTATTATTATTATTATTAAATTTCTTTTTTTTTTTTTTAGTTCTGCCATTATAAGTCCAATATATTGAATTTTCATACTGCTCCTGTCTTGTACTTCAAAGCGGACATGAAAACGTAATTTATTACTTTATGAGAAGGCCAAAGGGGTTGCACTTATTGTTTGTTAAAAACACATTTTTTATGATTTCGGTTCACTAACATAATTGTGTGATTTGGCCAATATACTTCTAAATTGATCCACAAAATCCATGCAAGTACTATAGCAAGTGTGTGATTAATTTACAAATCAGCTACTCTTTTCATAAAATTGCAATAAACCATTGTTTCCTTGGCAGATTTTTGTCTAGCATTTTGCAGGTTTGATTTGATACATCCAGCTTACTAGTGATACACATGCCTTCAAGAATTTAGTAAAGAAATTAAAGATTATATGGGTAGTAACTTGAATGTGGCTTTTAAGTTTTAATGCATAAGTTAACATTTGTTTTGCTCCATAACAATGAAAAATATATACTGCAGTAAATATATACTAATGGGGTTATTTTCTTTGAAATCACAGATTTCCTTATATATATATATATATAGGTTTTTTATTTGGAATGCCCATTGAAAAGAGGAGAAGCATTTATTGTATTCCTGATTCTAGTATGTTTGCACCTTGTGCTTATTTGTTTCACAGGAGAAACTTAAGGAGAACGGGAGGAAGCTAGAAGGTCGTGTTTCTCAGCTTTTGTTGGCGGTTACATCAAGAAATTGTGTATCAGGTACGGAGAACAATGGTTCAGGTAAAATGCTTTCTTCAAGAGTTGAAAATCCTCTCTGCAAGTTTAGTGGAATTGCTCAAGGATCAGCATCTGGTGATAAAGACTATATTAACATTCAAGAAGTTGTATTCTCACCAAGTGCCAAGCTTCCATATATGGAGAAGATACCTCCTTACACGACTTGGATTTTTTTGGATAGGTATGAAAAGAATTCAGTTCTCTTCCTCTATGACCGTAGTTCAACTCAATTGGTGATATATACCTATATCTTTAAAGACTTTTTTCTTATATTTTGTTTTATATTATTATTGACTTCATAGACGAAAAAGAATTTACAGATTACAGCAGTTTCCACATGATGCATGGACATGAATTTAGAAGAATAATGTATTTTTGACGCAATTAAGTTATGCTACCTTCTGAGATAAGGTTGATATAAAATACATTTATTTTGTAGTGGCTAAATTTTGTACCCTCAACAATATGGCATTGCTGGACAAACTTGGTGACTCTTTGATTTAAAAATTGATTCCCACCATAGGAAAAATGTGCAAAATGCCCGACTGACATTTACATTTTGAAAAAAGGTTGATTTGGCTTGTTCTGGATACAAAATGGTTATGCCTTGAAGCATAGCAAGTCAAGGTCGGAGGCACCGTTGCCCTAAGTCACGCAAAGCGGGAGTAGGAGTGGGAGTGAGAAGTTGAATATTACATTCTAAAATTTGTGGAGAGCAAGAGCAGTCCTAGAGCGTGTGTATATATATTTTCTCACATATTTTATGTTCATAATTATATATAATTTTTATTTCAATTTTCTTTAATTATTTTGCAAATGTTGAGATGGATGTGCTATAAAGACTAGAAAGGATAGAATTAGAAATGATCACATTCGGGAGATGGTTAGAGAGTAGCACAAGTTGGAGATAAAATGAGAGAATCAATTAAGATGGTTTGGGTCATATGCAAAGAACACCTGTAACTACGCCAGTTAGGAAGAGTGATGTAGTCCACATTGAGGGTAATACTAGGGGGAGGGGAAGTTCAAAGTTAACGTAGGTAGAGTTAATAAATAAGGATAAGATAGCATATGATTTGACCGAGGATTCATGTAGCTGACCCCAAAGTAGTTAGGAAAAGGCTGCTTCTTGTTATATTGGTTAAATGTACTCAAGTATTGCAGAGGTTAAATAAGCTGATTGGCATCAACTATACACAAACATTGAGTAGTTCAGTGGCAGATGCACTGATCTTATATGTGGTCCCCAGTCATTGGTTAGAATAAGAATTAGGTTGGGATCAGCAAATCAGTTCATGAATTATCAACTCTTGACTCGTCAATCTGCGAGTTGAACTACTTGGAGGCTCAAATTTTTTGCAAAATCCTAAAAAAAAAAAAAAAAAAAAAAACATGGTCTCTATGAATGGTGAGCTTCAAAATACTGAAAAAATTTAATATGTTGCTCCCCCCAAACCATAAAGAATATCAATTTGAGTCCTTTTAGGACTTTTGTATTTGAAAGTTCACATTTCAAAGGAAATGTCAAAAATTTCAAATATAACCCCTATCTATCGGTGTTTCTGCTACATGTATTAGCACCGGTTGAGTCAGATGATCCCCTGTGGTATGACATTGGATAGCAATATGGAATACATCTCATGTCCATAGGCTATAAGGCATCCACCCCCTTATCACTTTGTTGATATGGTGTTGTGTCAACATGTCCACCCACCCAGTGGTATGACAAGAAACAATGCACGTTTGCAGCAAGTGCTCGTTGATGGGAATGCATAGTGCCAGTAGCAAAGACTGGATAATCAAAGCCAAGGGCGCTGTGGAAGGAAGGAGCTTTAAGTCTGGTTATTTTAATCGCTATACTTTGAGAAAAAGATTAAGAGGTTAGGGGAGAGCATGTGCCTCCATGTTCTTTTGTTTCATTTTTGGATTACTTGATTTTTCTTTTTTGTGGTTTTTCTGCATGATCCCCAGAAATGAGAACAGTGAGACAATTGCCCAGTGACACCAACTAAGAAGGCCCAATGAGCATGCTCTATCCATGATTTGATGCACATTCAAAGTGGGAGGACAGTCCTTCAAATTTGATCTCTTTGCCAAATAACTCGTCTAACATTTGGCTGTATATAATGACAAATTGGATCATTCTCGTATGTTAATAGGGTTTTTTAATGGATTAATGTAAATTAAATAGTTTCAGCTGTAACCCACTTATGTATGCCTTCCTAAAAAAATGTTACCTTTGTTTTTTCTTTAATTATTTTTCACTTTAGCATTATATTGTTTATGTCTTCTTAATTTTTGCTTGAGTTGGAAGCATGCACTTCATATGGATGGTAAGCTTAGAATAAATATCCAGATATAAGTTATCGTCTCTTGTTCCAATGAAGATTTTATTTTTGCTTTGTTTTCTCAAATTTTCTTTTTGCAGCACAGAAATCAGAGAATGGCTGAAGACCAGTCAGTGGTTGGGAGAAGACGTATTTACTATGATCCTCATGGCAGTGAAGCACTGATCTGTAGTGACAGCGAGGAAGAGACTGTGGAACCAGAGGAAGATAAACGTGAATTTTCAGAGGGGGAAGATTATATTTTATGGTAAATTTAAAGATGATGCTTTTACTTATTTGTTGGGAAAAATATAAAACAGATTTTGTGTCTTGGCTGTTACCAAAAAGATTTTGGTGCTTGATATATAAAAAGTGGATTTCCATGTGTTTTTAACATGTGCATTATTGTAATCTTTCAATTTCCATACTTTCCCTGGTGCTCTTAACACTAATTTCCAGCTTGCTTTGGAGAAATTAAAGTAATACGAGTCCAGATTTGATGATACTTATTTTCATAAAGGTCAATGGTACATTTTTTAAGAAAATTTAAAGGTGTAACTATATGTTGTTCCTTCTTAAAGAAGGCCTGATGCCAAATGAGTGTAGGAAAAGTACAACAGTACAATTTATAAAATAAAGGATAGATACATAATTGTAGCAATTATAGAGGAGTTAAATTAATGTGTCATACAATGAAATTATTATAAAAGGTGATAGAATAAAGATTAAGGAATAAATCTACAGTATCTGATAACCAATTTGGTATTAGGCCAAGGAGATCATTGCTTCCATTTTTTATTTCAGATTAACAATGGAAGCTATTGTCTTAATAAGACAATTAGTTGAAGAGTGTAGAAGTAATAAAATGGTTTATATAGACTTAGATAAAGCATATGATAGGGTCCCAAGAGATATAATTTGGTGGGTCTTACAAAGAAACAAATTTCCGTACAGATGATAAAGCTTATCTTGGATATGTATATGAACACAAAAATTAGAGTTCATTGTATATTTGGTGAGACTAATGAATTTTCTATAAATGTAGGATTGCACCAAGGATCAGTAGTATGTATATATTTATCTGCAATACCTTTAGATGAAATAACAAGACACTTTTAAGGAGACATTTCATTGTGCATGTTGTTTGCCGACAACTACTTCTAAAGAAATTTGGCAATAAAATTAGAAATGCATTACAATCAAATGGATTGAAAATTAATAGAACCAAGACAAAATATATGGAATTTAAGTTTAATAAAGATTCGGATGTTAATAATGTAATGATCACATTTCAAAACCAAAGAATTGTCCAAAATATCCACTTTGATATTTAGGATCAATAATACAAAAGAATGGAGAGATAAATAGTAAGTAGTGATATAACTAGCAGAATTGTATAAGGGTGGACAAAACGGAGGCAGGCTAGTGGCGTTCTATGCGATTTAAAAAGAAAAAATTATTTAAAAGGAAAATTCTACAAAACAGTTTTTAGACCAACTATTTTATATGGCACAAGTGTTGGGCTTAAAAAAATTAAGGATAAAACATTCATTAATGAGGATGTTAAGATGGATGGTCACTGTGACAAGCGATAAGGGTTACTAATGAAAGTGTGAGGGAAGAATTGGGAGTGATGCCCAAGGGCGACCAAAATTGAATGGAATGAAGTTATTAAAAATGAGGGCGAGCCTTGGTGCAATGGTAGATTGCTCCATTGTGTCTGGAGGTCACAGGTTTAAAACAAGGAAATAGTCTTTCCGCATCTCAAGAAAAGGCTACGTACATCTGACCCTCCCCAGAACTTGCAACAGCGGGAGCCTCGTGCTTTGGGTTCCCCCCCTCCCTCTTTAAGTTATTAAAAATGATTTTAATAGTTAAATATAATAGGTGAGCTTGTAATAAAAAAGAATGGAAAAAGATAATTCATGTGTGGGTTTAAAGGCAAGAATGATGATGACAATGATATGTTGTTCCTTGAAAATTGAAATAACAAGGTTTAGTACATACATTAAATATGTATATTCTAGAGGAGGCAAATGTTCTAGTTTTATTATATGACTTGAAAATTGTGTTATGTATGGTGTTCATAAATATAGTTTGTACGATAAACCATTAAACCAAGCCGCTCGATCTTGGCTCATGACCAGCTCAGTTGGAGGCTCACTCAAGACTGACTTGTGAGATAAGGGAGTGAAGCTTTATCACATTCAAACTCATCAATTTATTGAGCTCCACTTAAACTTGTTTTGATAAGCTAATAAGTATCTTTAAACTATCAGGTAACAGCTTGGGATTAGATATGCTTTGTTAGAGGCTCACTCAGGATTGGCTTGCAAGATAAACAAGCCAATCTTGATCACATTTTATTGAGCTCCACTAAAACTTGTCTTGATAAGCTAAACTACCATGTAATGAAGTACTGGAGCTTGGAATTAGATATGCTTGGTTAGAGGCTTGCTTAGGATTTGCTTGCAAGATAAACAAGCCAACATTTTGGAGCTTGTTTTAAGTGAAGTTTGAGCAACCTGCTACTTGGGTCGACCTTAATTGTTTACAGTCCTAAAAAAATAAGTAAATATAAGAACATTATTCATGGAATTTTTGTGCAGAATTCTGTTCTTATCAATATTACATTAGCTAGAGAAGTGCATAGTTGAAATTGATTGGAAAAGATGAAGCCTTTGGTTGAGGGAATGATTCGAGTAAAAGAAATCGAACGACGACTGTTGCAAGGCTAAGCAGTTGTAATAATGATATAATTTTTCTTATGGATCTCAAAAAATTTACTTTCCCAGAGTGTGATTATGCCTGCACTTTCTTTTCTTTTCTTTTTTATCCAATCCAATATTTCCCAAAATGCTGTGTCTTCTCTATCTGAAAAATATGTATCTGGATGGAAAATCTTAACTAGTTTTTTTTTTTTTAAAAAAATAAAAAATAAAAAATGAAGAAATTGTTAAAGCATTCTACTACCCATTCCATGAATTTTACAGGACAGCGTTACAAGAGCATGGGCTAGGTGAGGAAGTACTCAATATTGTGAGCCAATTTGTTGGAGTTACACCTTCAGAAGTCCAGGTACTCTATATTAACAAATAGAAGATAGTTATTTTCTCTGGGACGATACTCAGTTTAAGCATTTCTTTATTTGAAATTCCATCATGCATGTTTTACTTCTTTTGTGTTGCAAGTATCATACCTATTCCTGGAGATTTACTTCTCTTTTGAGATATGCAGGAGCGCTACAACATTCTCAAGAAAAAGAATCCGGAGAAACTTGACCAAAACCTTAAAGGTTCTGGAGAGATTGGGTCAGAGAGGAGCATATTTCTGGAGAAAAGCCTTAGTGCTGCCTTAGATTCTTTTGATAATCTGTTTTGTCGTCGTTGTTTGGTACTTGATCAACTGTTATTGGCCTTAATACTATGTTTAAAAGTGTATATATGAATTGTCTCAATGGAAATATGCTTATCTGCCTTAATCATTTTTGCAGGTCTTTGACTGTCGTCTGCATGGCTGTTCTCAAAGTCTAATTAATCCTGTGAGTAAGTCCATTTCAGTTCTTTCAAACTAGAACTGGAGTTTGTTCCCTTTGTTGATTTTTGAAGACACTTTGTTTAACAGAGCGAAAAGCAGTCCTATTCTTCTGAATCCGAAGAGGATGGGAAACCTTGCAGTGATCAATGTTATCTTCGGGTATGGCTTTCCTTTGTATGCTAAGATCCACAACTATAGAGTTCTAATTTATCTGGATTTTTCTTTTCCATATGTATTCAAACTTCCAGGAGTAAGAGGAAAAAATTAAGAAAGGAGACTTTTATGTGCAATCCTTGAACACTTTATTTCGGGACCGAATGAGTTTTCTTGGTCCACTTATATTTTAATCTCCTTGTGTAAACTCTGAACCTTTGTCAGTGAATCTGCTGCGTATTGTGCCCTTGCTGGGATTACCTATTTTGAATGATATGTGGACGCTGCAGTGATTTCAGACTTATAAGGGAGTTTAATGTAGTATTAAGTGAAATTGGTTTTCTAAAATCATATTTTTACAATCTTGAAAAGTCTCTTTTTCATCTAAACCATAATGATGGATAGTTGTTTGCAATTCTAACTCAAACAAAGTCCCAATCTCAAGTCTTTAGGGCTTGTCTTTATTTGCCACGACGCCATAAGATCACAAACTTCCGGGAAATGCGTTTATAAAAGATTAACTAAATGCTGTTTGCCAGTTGTCTTCAGAACACTGTAATACATTACATTTCTTTGCTTTGGGCACAGGACTGGCTATGTTTTGTGATGAGCAATCATACTGTCTGACACAGAACTTGCAAAGAATTGCTTGTGATACTAAAATATACTGGAAAATGTTTTTTTTTATTAATATAAGGGAGATTATCTATCAGAAATAGTAACTTGCAAGTTACTGTTGTAATGTAATGTTTATTGATTTTTCTGTTGTCATCGCCCTCTTCTTCATTACTACCACCACAACCACTGTCACCACTCTCCACATAATTTTTTTTGGCTAACTTGGCTTTCTGCCAATTTTAATGGCAAATTTCACTTCAATTGTTTTCAGTTAAGAGGTGCTAGAGACTTGCAAGAAGGTTCTACTATTAGTGCCTTGTGTAGGATTGAATGTAAAACTTCAGAAGAGGAGAATGGGACTTTGGTGTCCCCTAATGCTAAACAGCCAGTTGATAATTTCAAAGAAGTGTCTTTTGACGGATGCATTGCTAAAGGTTGATGCTTTTACTTCATAATCTCTTTGTGGTTCAAAAGTTTTCTGCAGAATCTATAAATTTGATATGTTTTGTCATTTCAGTACCCCATTCAGAAAGTACCGGAAAGCACAGGGTTCCAAAACGAACAAATACTGTGCCAGAAGACTCAACACTGGTTTCTGATGACATCCAGTGTTCTTCCAGTAAGAAACAGAAGAAATTATCAGATTTGAATTCACTTAGTCAGGCTAGTCAAGGCATTATAGCTTTGGATAGTGATTCTAGTCCCAAAAGCAGGGAATTGGAATTCGAGCCCAATAAAAATGAACCTGATATGAGCACCAAAGATGCAATAAATATATTGACTGAAAATGCTTCAGACAAGTTTAGTTGTCCTCTTAGTGTTTCCAAGGACGAGATTGAGGACAATATCAGAGATGCAGCAAAAGGCATTAGCCACATTGCTGAAGTTCCTGTTCTCAAACGGTCATCTAATTCCATTGAAGGACAAGTAAAGGGGGTCTTAGGAAGTTGTGAGTGGAAACCTCTTGAGAAAGATCTATATCTGAAGGGCATAGAGATATTTGGGAGAAACAGGTACAAAGATGTCAGTTATGATCCTTTCCTTAGATTAATTTCTTTGAATATGTTACTGATAATATGGAACAGGGTCATAATCATTTATTACATGTTTAAGCATCTGCGTTATGAGCAAGAAATTGTTGATGAACAAGGTGCCTAGGTGCACCTTATTATTACATGTTTTATGTTGTGACTTCTTTTCGTGTCAAGATTAAATCAGTGTCTCTCTTGTTACCACGGTTACCATTGAAATGTCTGTTTATGTCTTCAATTATTCAAGCATTGTATTCCTATAAGTTTTTGGTGACAAATAAACTTTAGAATATAACATGATGGAGAATGATGGATAATTTAGATAGCACCTTATCACTAACCTTTACAGCATTAAATGGTGAGCATTACATATCATTCACTAAATAATGCATTACATATACGTTGTGTCCCATCTTATACTATTCTTTGTCTGATTATATGTGATGCTGTTTTTGTTCGTTTGAGCAGGAAGTGCTTTTTAGGATTTCTAAGTTAAAAAGATGCCACGTCTCTTAACATGGTGCTGTTAAGAATTTCTTATCTATTTTCTTCACATAGAACAGGAATAAGAGAGGGGGAGATGGAGGGAGGGAGGGAGGTTTGTGTATAAAATTTTTTGGTTGTAGCAGATAAGGGATAGTGACTTTTGAAATTTTCATTTATGACAAGCTCTGTAATCTTGAAAGTTTTTTAGAACAAAATTGATACAATTTACCAAGGCGTTGTAGCCTATTGGTATCTCCTCTACCTCCTAAAGTGGATGGTGAGGTGAGGGTTCAAGTTCCCATAGGGGCAATGGGTGCGTGAGTTTCTTGCCAAGGAAAAAAGAAAAAATTGATCCGATTTTTATGTTCCGCACAGAGAAACTTCTAAACTTAGTTATGTATACTGCATTTCCGTTTTTTAATCTCAATATGTATATGCTGCAGAAGTTTTTAAATAGTATGTTACTGCTGTTGAAAATATTGATTTTTACAAGTGTGAACTATAAAAAAGAAAAAGAAAAATAATACTAATAAAATCTAATATAATTCATAACCAAATATTCTGCACTGTGGATTTAGTTTTATTTGCAGTTTAAAGATTTTTTCGAATATTTGTACATTAAATATTATGTCATTGCTTATTACACTGAGCTTAATGTTCGTCTCATGCTTTGCAGTTGCCTCATAGCCAGGAACTTACTTTCTGGCTTAAAGACTTGCATAGAGGTATCACGTTACATGCTTGATTATGAAGCATCGATGCCTCATGGATCTATTGTTATACCAAGTTCATTTTCAGAAGACAGTGGGAAAGCTGATTCAGATTATGTGGTTTGTGTTACTTTCTCTGTGTATGTTTTACAATTTTTGACAGGCAAGTGGGTGAGGAGCTGTTCTACTTTAGGTGATAATGTGAAACCAGCAATAGAGTTTTCCTTGTAAGCTAGTTGACATCTCTTTTTCATATCTGATAAAAAAAAAGGGGAGGGGAGGGGGTCTACTGATTTAGCGGGGGGAGAAAAAGTTAGGGGTACTGTGTGAGAGGTTGAATAATTCTCAATCTTGTATTTTTATATATGTATATAGCTTAATGTTTGTTGTGTTGAGCAAGAATATTATGTACTAACAATTAATTATCTTTTTACTTGTTGAAGCACAACTACACAAAAAGGATTTGCAAAATTGCAAGTAAACCTGTGAGGGTTCAGCCACACAGAATTTCGTGTTTATCCTTCTTTTTAAATCTTTTTTAGGGGTTGTCATCTTTCTCATAGAAAGATTGGACTAACTGTAAAGGTAGTCTATGTCCTTCAATGGACTGTAGTGCTAGGGTAAATTCGGTGTAGCTCCATTGGTGGGATAGCAAATCTTGGTGAACAAGTGTATGCACCTTGTAAAGAGTTAAGTCTATACATCTTTTAGGAAGTTATTATTTTGCTTCAATATCTAAAAAGTAGAATGAAACAAGCTGACATGATATTTGCAGGTTACCACTTGATATTCAAAACAATAATGTAAATGTTTGTAAATCTGTTGTTTTTTTATAGTAGCTACGTCTACGATTGAGCATATGTATGCAGAGCAGATCAATTTGATGTCATTGTTCGGTTGTGTTAGGAGCGAGAAATACCCGCAAGATCACGGTTACTTCGTAGAAGGGGCAGAACACGGAAGCTAAAATATTCTTGGAAGTCTGCTGGCCATCCAGCAATCTGGAAAAGAATTGCAGATGGGAAAAACCAGTCTTGTAAGCAATATATTCCATGCGGATGTCAGTCTATGTGTGGAAAGCAATGCCCTTGTCTACATAATGGAACATGCTGTGAAAAATATTGTGGGTATGTTGTTATATTTTATTTAGGTGAGTGCTCGAAGTTTATAAATTGCGTTGTGGAGAATTTTTAAGATTTTCATGGTAATCTTGATCAAAGATCTGATAATTGGCATGTGAAATATATGCCTTAAAAGTGCTGATAATAGACTTCCTACAGCCATCTCAAGTATTTGGGATAAGGTTTAATTGATTTAAAATTTGAAACAATTGTGTGCTAATAAAAAATGTCATTGGTTGCAGTTAATTTAAGAAATTAGGTGAGTGCATTAATTGTTTGATATTTCCCTTTATGGCAAATGGAAATTTTATTAGTTGCATTTCAATGACGCAGAACAGAAATAAAGTTTGACTCGTCTAAATATCTATTGAATTTCAGGTGCTCCAAAAGCTGCAAAAACCGATTCAGGGGATGCCACTGTGCAAAGAGTCAATGCAGAAGTCGACAATGCCCATGCTTTGCTGCTGGACGAGAATGTGACCCAGATGTTTGCCGGAATTGCTGGGTTAGGTATTATGTCTCCATATGCATATATTAAATACCAGTATATGCTTATTGTTAGCAAATTGGATAACCCTCATTTTTCTGTTAGGAGTATTTGAGGGCAATGACCTCTCTATTGTTCCGACATTTTTGGGTAAAATTTAATAGTTGTTCTATGGATCAAATTAAGTTAAATCACTTTTATCAAGGACCTGTAGAATGTTTTATTATCTTACAGTGGCTATTTTGAGCACATTTTTAGAAGAACTCCTGATGGACCTTTTTGATTCATGCATTCTGTTAGTTGTATCTTTGGTCTTGCCTTGTTTATGAAAGAACTTCCTTGTTTAGTGGCCGTCATTTATTAAGTTTTGACAAGGAACCATTTATCTCTAATGTTTATGCACTGCGCTGTTTTTGTTGAGAAATGTAATGTGTGTGTTTTTATTGAGGCTTTGAAAATAAATTCTGAGATAGTAGTAATAGAAATTGATCATTAAAAAAACATGCACTTTCGTCCTGATGCTGCTTCACCTGTTCCGTACAAGTGCTAAATTGCTAATGTTTTTGCATCAATTCATGGATAATTATAATTGAGATAGGTGGTGATATAACTAGTAGAATTGGAATATGTTGGGCTAATTGGAGACAAGCTAGTGGAATTTTATATGATAAAAGAGTAACAAATAAATTATTAGGAAAATTTTATCAAACAATTATTAGGCCAACTATATTATATGGTTTAGAGTGTTGGGTCTTAGGAAAGGAAACATGAACAATGAATTCATGAAAAGGAAATGAGGATGTTAAAGTGGATGATAGGGGTGGGTGGAAGAAACAAGGTTACTAATTAAAAATTACTTGAAATTAGGAGTGGCGCCTATTAAGAGAAAATAACATGGGATTAATCATTAGAAATGTTTTTTAAGAGTAAAATATTATAGGAGAGATTGCTTATAATAAAAAAGAATGGAAATGATCAACCCTGTTCATATGGAATTAAGGCAAGGATGATGATGATGATGATGAATAATTATAGTTAAATAGACATGAAGAGGTCTTGTGATTACAATTGACTGCCTAATCACTAATGTTCGATAAATTATTATTCTAATAATTGATAATATTTTTAGCAGCCAATTTGGAGCCAAGGTGGATAATTAATAAGTCTTCTGCTTAATTAATGAATTTTAAATGAGATTATGTTATTAATTATTAGAATATAATTACTCACACGTGTATATTACAAAATTATTGATATAAAAACCTATGTTATGTCTTAGCCAATGAAATTCTTCGACCCGCCAAATTTGTTAGTTCAAATGCCTATTTTGTAATCCTTAAGAATCGGCCAAAGGACATTAAGAGGTTCTTATGCCATTTGGTACACGTAATATTTATATCCCTTAAAAAAGTTTAAGTATCACAATAAGAGGTAGAAAGAGGTTTTCTTTCTGTGTGAAATATTGTATACTGGTAAAGAAATTTTGGTTTAGTAAAAAGTTTGATATTGAAGAATTCTACCAATTAATAAATTTTGCTTAGCTCACAATTATCAAGCATTAGAGAGGTTGGCTGTATTTAATTTTTAGACATATTGTTTTTAACTATTTGAGGGAAAGATGGTGAGTTAGAATTTTGGAGACATACTATAGGAGTAAAAGGTTTTAAGCTAAACGGTGCTAATATTTTTATATGAGGAATGTGGGATTTTATTCTAATAATGTAGAAGTTGTTAAAATTGATGAACTAAGAGTGAGGAGAAAGGAAGGAGGGGGAGGTGGATTAGGGGATGTTACTAGGGGTCACAGACAAAAATTGGATGGCATGGACTGGTCTTTAAGCTAAACGGTGCTAATATTTTATATGAGGAATGTGGTATTTTATTCTAATAATGTAGAAGTAGTTAAAATTGATGAACCAAGAGTGAGTAGAAAGGAAGGAGGCGGAGAAGGTGGATTAGGGGATGTTGCTAGGGGTTACATACAAAAATTGGATGGCATGGACTGATCTTGAGTTTTATGTGTGAAGCATTACAGTAAAAAACCTAAATGAAAATTTGTAAGACAATATTATGACGTCCTTGCTTTAGTCTACTGACGACATACCACAGCAAAGCATCATGGTTTTATGGGTTTTTTTGAGGTCCAGCTCTTGGAAGAGTCCTGGTGGTCTATAAGATACTTTAGTTTTCCTTTTTTTTTAATTTTTTCTTTTTTGCCAGCATGCTACTGTCCAATCCATATACCAGACTTCTTTCCAATTTTAGCTCCAATCCAGGACCAAATACGTTGATTCATTGTATCTAGTTGTCACATTTGGGGATGCGCTTTTCATTTCTTCTCATTGTAGAATCCTGCCATATATGGGAGTTTTTTTATATACTTCTATACTTTGTGCAGTTGTGGGGACGGTTCATTTGGTGAGCCACCCAGACAAGGAGATGGTCAATGTGGAAACATGAGACTTCTTCTAAGGCAACAACAAAGGGTGAGTGATACAGGAGTTAAAATTATCAAGTTAGCACTATATGTATGATTCTCAAGAAATATGTTTGTTTTACACCCTTTTTCCTTACTTTCAGATCCTCTTGGCAAAATCTGATGTTGCTGGATGGGGAGCCTTTTTAAAGGTAGGAAGACAAGGTATCCTTTAGTTTCTCTACAGTTACTTGTTCCTTCTTCTTAGAAACTCTTTTTATATGATTTCAGAACCCTGTCAACAAAAATGATTATCTTGGAGAGTATACCGGTGAATTGATCTCACATCGAGAAGCAGATAAGCGTGGGAAAATTTATGATCGTGCAAATTCGTCATTCCTTTTTGACTTGAACGATCAGGCAAGCGATATTTATTGTTCAAAATTTTCATAATTCTGAAATTATGCCTTGTATTTGAAACCAGATCTTTTTTGGGATTTTCTCATCTTCAGCAATAGGCTTGGCACTCAATTTTCTCTATTTATTACTTTTATTTTGAACTTGAGCACCAATTGGCGATCAAGTGAGAAAAACGTTTAAGATGATTTGTCATGTGCAAAGAATATTACTAAGTCTACCAGTTAGTAAGAGTGACATGGTCCCTGCATTGAGCGTAATGCTAGGGGAAGGGGAATACCGACGTCAACTTGTGCAGAGCTAGTAAGGCAAGATATGATGCTAACATGTGGTTGATTAAGAGTATGACCTTGAATAGAGCGGAATGGAAAAATAGAATTAGGGATGTAAATGATTCGAGCTGTTAACGAATAGCTCAACCTCGATTCGTGTTCGTTTGTTTTATAAACGAACTAAGCTCGAACAAAATTCTTAGAATCGTTTATTAAAGGAGCTAGGGTCAAACACCTCTCTTCTCGACTCATTTGTTCATGAATAGGCTCGTTTTGACCTCAAGAAATATATATTCTTTTTTCAATCCATGTGATATTATATTAGCCCACATACAAGAAAACCACTTAAGTATATAACCATCGTTCATATACTTGTAAATCCCAGTCCAACACAATCCATTACATGACCTTTTAAAAAAGTAAAATCCAAGCCCATTATCATTTCTATGGACCCAAGCCCATCTACCATTTAAATAACAACCCTAATCTCTTCTTCTTCTTTTTCATTCTTTTCACGATGAAGAGAACCCTATGCCACAGCCAACAGCCATAGCTACCCAACGGTGGTAAGCTCCAACTGGCCAAGGATCAAGAAGGTTCTCTCTCCCTCTTTTGTCCTAATAATATAGACCTTCCGAAAAAAAAAAAAAAAAAAAAAGAAAAAAAAGAAGATATTAGATGTAGAATTTTGATTTCTTTTTTATTGAGTGAAAGATGTTGAAAATGGTGGAGATCGGAAATCTACTGGAGTTCAGTGGTTATTTTTTCCACACTTAAATGATCAAGTACCTCTGTGTGTTTGTGTTTGTGTTTGTGTGTTACATAAGGGTGACAATTTGTGTTTCTGTTTCTTGTTATATGGGTTGACACGAACACGACACAATTATTATTAAACAGATATCATGACACGCCCATATAACATGTTTAATAAATGGGTCAAGACGGCCCAACAAGACAAGTTTAATAAAAATTTCTTACTAAGAGTCTAACACGACATATTTAGTTTAATGGGTCGTTTTTAACACGAACATGACTTGTTTAGTTAAATGGGTCTAATCGGATAGTTAACGGGTGACTAGTCAAATACGAAGACGACAAGTTTAATTAGCATGTCAATTTGGATCGACATGATTATGACTTGGACACAATTAAGCCAAACCTAAACCCACTTATCTTCTTTTTTTATATATGTAAGATTTGTAATATAAAGCGTTCAAACGGGGAATGCGGCCCATATATCATGTTCGAGTCATGTTAGCTCTTCGTGTCAGGTATTTCCACCCTTATACATATAGGAACACAAATTGTGTTGCCACCCTTATATGTGTGTGTGTGTGTGAACAAAGATTGCATGGATTGATCTATATACCAATAGGCGCAAACAAGCTCACCAAGCCAAGCTTGATCTTGGCTAAGCCATGCTCCATTAGCCGAACTTGAACACCTATCTAGATATGTTGAGCCGAGCCCGATCACCTATCTAAATATGCACCTTGAACTTAGCACTTCCTTGTTTCATGCATCCTACTTTCCTGGCAATTCGTTCCTAACTTTTTATTACGGATAATCTATCTAAGACAGGAAAGCAGAGCTGGACCGCCTTTAATCAAGAGACTGGTTATGCTTTTGTATCTCTTGGCCTTTCAGTGTTCACCATAGGATGGATAATAGATCCAAGCTCTTGGCCTTCAGTATTCACCATAGGATGGATAATAAATCCAAGATATAGGAAATGGGTCACTAAAGTATCTCTTGGCCATAAATATTTATTACGCAACCATGTCAACCTCTAGTTAACTAGAATTATGTTCTGTATGTAGTCTCATGGGGTTGTTGCTTGGTGCTATAAAAATTTGGCCTGAGTGAGTCACATTCTGTAAATAGTTAGTCGAAATTCAGGTTTGAATCCAATTTATTACTCTTGTGATCCTGCATTAGCTTGTCCATCACAATGGTCTTAATCTAGTAAATGTTGTCAGTTTTTCTTAACTCAATTTTTAAATCCTAAAGTATCTCTTAAACCAAATTAGTTTCTCCTTTTGTTCTCTTAGATATTATTTTATTAACGTTTTTTTTTTTTTTTATAAGTTCTTTTATTAACCTTTTAAATTAATTTCTATCATCATTGCCTTTATCCCATATGAATGGGATCGGCCGCTTGAATTTTCTTATTTCTTATTTCTTTCTTTCTTTTTTTCCCCTATTACATGTCATGTCTCCTATTAGGTTAGGACAGCCTCTTTATCTGAATTAATTACTATTATTATTTAGTATTATTTGTTGAAAAGTAAAACCGAGATGAATGATTGACAAGACAAAAAGTATTAGATTAGAATTGATTTCATTCATAAGTAGCTAGGAGCAGCTTCAATTTAGGATCAGTCGGTGCATATGCAACGAGTCAGTCGTCGTGCGGCAGTGCAAGGAAATGATTTTTTGATTCAGACATGGGTTGCGTGTAGTTCTTCAAACGACAAGCAAAAGGGAAACATGGTTTAGTTATAGTTATTCAATTAGTTTTCACTGGTAACAATATATTAATCATATATTAAAAAGCTTAACATACATCCTGTTCTCAAACCAATAATAAAATAACATATTTATATGTAAAATTGGAAGTCTTGTAATAAATAATAATTTTATGCCCCTGCTGACACTTTAAAAATGCTGTCATCCTTGCACAGAATGCTCATCTTTTATGTTGGTAATGTAACATAATATAGGCAACCCACAACCATCCCTGCTACAACCCGTTACCTATTGCATAGCCATGAACCTTTCGGAGGTGATACCTGGTTACTCTATGTATAGTAGACACGTACAATGCATAGGAAATTATTAGCTGTAAGTTGATAAAAGTTTCCATTTTAAATAGAAGGACAATAAAGCAAAATAAAAGAAAATCAAGAGGCGACAATGCAAAGCAGATCCAAAGCACATTAATTAATGGTTGATCTATGTATAGTAGACCCATCCAATGCATATGAAATTATTAGCTATATGTTGTAAAAAGTTCCCATCTTAAATAGAAGAAAAATAAAGCAAAATCTAAAAGCGACAATGCAAAGCACAGATCATCATCACCGTCATCATCTTTGTCTTTTTCCCATATGAATGAGGTCGGTCACATGAATTCTTTCTCTCCATTCCTTTCTATTGCCCGCTATATCACCTACTATGTTTAACGTCTTAAAGTCATTTCTAATAACTTCATCCGACGTTATTGTTGGTCTCCAATTAATTAATGGATGCCAGTGGATCTGATTGGTGATTATGGTATGAATCATTCTTTGTTTCTTCCTATTCAGTTTTCAGGTGAAGGCATCATTATCTGTGTATCACCCCCTGATTCCTACCTTTTCTTTTCTTTTTCTTCTATCTATTAGATAAATGCTCACACACACGCCCCACAAATGCCCACTATGGAGATCTGTTTATGTTTGCTCTATATGGGCCAGTGGTCCTACCTGTTTCTGTTATATATATTTCTTCTTTTAAACTGATAATATTGCATAGCTAATATCAGATGAACTTTCCAAACCGGGGAAGGAAAGAGGAAAGGAAATTGTAGCTTCATATTCTGGTACTATAATATCAGAACTCTGAAAACATCTCTTTCATTGCAGTATGTCCTTGATGCTTACCGGAAAGGAGACAAACTGAAATTTGCAAACCACTCATCAAACCCCAACTGTTATGCAAAGGTGTGTGTTTTTTAGGTTTGAAGTTGAATAAGTTGTCTTGTGATTGAGCAAATATGATGATTGTTACAGGTAATGCTGGTGGCCGGAGATCATCGAGTTGGCATTTTTGCCAAGGAGCATATTGAAGCTAGTGAGGAACTCTTCTATGATTATCGTTATGGACCTGATCAAGCACCTGCATGGGCTCGAAAACCTGAGGGTTCCAAGGGAGATGATTTGTCAATCTCTCAAGGTCGAGCAAAAAAACACCAATCTCATTAAAGAACCATCTCTGCTGTCTTCAATGTATATAGTTGTTTGCACGTTTGCCTGTTAATTCCAGATGTTTATCTGTTAGGACCTATTGACGGTTATTTTTCTCGTTAGCCAACCCATACAAAGTGCATCATAAAGGTATGTATACGAGCGTGCATAGCTTAAAATATTGTTGAGGTCAAACCAAAAAAATTGTTTGGCAATAATAGGCTAGAAAATTGTCTAGCAACTCTCGATAATATACACGAGAAATAAGTGTGATGCTGCTGGAGGGGCATACATCACAATTATATTGTTAATGACGGAAATTTTTTTGTAATACTATTACATTGTTTGCTATTATTTATTAAAGTGTTGTAATGAGATATAAGCTACAATGCTTAACGGCGTAAGACTTCAAGGGCAATATAACAGCATGCATATCATAGCTATCTTGTGATTTAAGCATGGAGCATATTACAAGATAGCTTGGAATAAGGATTTTCTGTTTGCAGAAGGAAACTGCTCTGCTCGTCCATTGTGAAAGCATATGGGGGCGGAGTTAGTAACGGGTGGACGCTTGTTCATTTACTCAAAAGCTCGAGTTGTTGGGTAGTGTTGTATATTCACTAATTTATGCCCAATCACTTTCCCATCCGGATCCCGTTGCGGTCGGACCACCCTGCCTACTCGAGGTGGCTCACCTGGACGCCTTTCGGGCCGGCACTTGGTGTGGCACCAGATTAAGAACTAGGTCTTACTCTGATACCAACGGAAATGGATGGGCACTTGCCCATTTACTCAAAAGTTCAAGCTGTTGGGTAGTGTTGCTTACCCTCCATTTATATCCAATCACTTTTTCATCCTGATCCGATGTGAGACAAATAGTCTCTTAGGCGTTTGGTGTGATGGAATGAAATGAGACAAGAATGGAATGCAAGTGGGAATGGAATGGGAATGATGTAGGAATGGAATGATCATTCTCATTCCACTATTTGGATACAAACAGAGAATGAAATAACCATTCTAATTTTTTTTTTTCCTTCTTTAGTCAATTCCTCCATTTCCTTTTCTTTTCCCGTGTATAGAATCTTTTTTTTTTTCTTTAATAAATTCCTCTATTTCCTTTTCTTTTCCCGTGTATACATATATGAAGATCTATAGTTGGAAATAAAGAGAGGAAGAAGGATTCTTGTACGGGCAAAAGAATCTTTTTTTTCCTTTAATCAATTCCTCTCTTTCCTTTTCTTTTCCCCAACCAGCGAATATATGATATACATATTTTATAAATATATATATATATATATATATATATAGATATTGACATGCAGAAAGTATATAATATGCATCTTATATATATATAATACGTATAAAACAAATTGTAGAGCACAAACTACAAATAGAGAGATATATATATATATATATATATATATATATTCCATAGTATGCCATGCGTGAAGAGACAAAGAGGAAAGAGTGAGGGTGTACGGTGACATAGCGAGAGAGGAGAGAGAATCTGTCAGATGTGTAGAGAAGAATACGTATGGTTTTTGTCCTTGGCATTTTTTTATTCTAATTTATTGGGGATGGAATGGCCATTCCACAAGTCCAAAAATGAATGGTCATTCTATCTAAAAGCTGGAATGAGCATTCCAAGGGAATGGCCATTCCACTTTTAAAGTGACACACCAAACAAGAGAAATGAATGAGTTTTAAATGATATGAAGTTTATGCGTCAGAGTCCAGCTAGGGGAAGAAGTAACTGAGCATTTTAGGTGTTATTGAAGCGTCCAGTGTAAACTTTGTTCTGCGTTTATAAAATAAAAAATTGTCATCACCAATGCTTGGACATTATTTAATGAATCCGAGGTTTTAGGAGCCACAATGCCAAGCAGTTAGAATACTTGATGACTGGAAAGGTTGCACGAGCAATAACCCCCTTCTAGCCCAACAGGGAAAAACAAATGAAAAAAAATGTGCTAGTTGAGAGATACAAATCACTTCATAAAAAATATATAAGAAAAATAAATAAAAATCACTTCACTCTGCAAAACTCTCCCTGCTTTTCAATTGCAAATGAAAATACAACAACTCGTTCCAAATATCTGGAACACCTGGGAGGCACCAATGACTACAATCCTGAATGCTTGAAGAGTAGCTGTTTCGGGACTTTCTTCCATATACAGATGGATGACCGTCTATCCTGTATTCTGACAGTCTAGTTATATTCAAGTAGGTTACAGGAGTTTTCATCTTCCTTAACACCTCCTCAACAATAATATTCTTTTCGGGGTAATTGACAAATAAAGTTTCATTCAAGGGCTGGGTAGCTTCTCTGCAGTGACCACCAGAATTCCATAGACCTCCTCTGTTCAAACATGTCAACGCTTAGTCAGCAAGTGTTACGAGGAAGAAAACAATATATGTTTTCGTTTCAGGGGAAACCTTAGCAAGCACAAACCTGAAATGGGAAGGTGATGAACTTCGAAAGAAAACTCTGGTTTTTCTTGGGTTGATATACTTGTCAACCCATAACGCCCAAGTTGTTAAAGCTCTTTGAAAAGCTGTCAAAACATCAAGACGAGGATGAACTTGGTCCCTCTCCTGGTAGTAATTGATCCTGTCATGAGGCAAAGTAGAGATTAAAAAGATTCATGGAGTATGAAAGGGTACTAATGAAGTAATACAATTTTCCCATGTCTGTAGACCATCCTTTGCCTGAATTTATATCCTCCTATTATGGCACATTATGGAGAGAATCCAGTACAGTGGACGGCCTTGATCATTTCACGCACTCACCTCCATCCAATACAGTACAACAAGCGTGATTTACTGCAGAGGATGCAAGGTAAAGGCATGCTTGACATAAACCATTCACACAGACATGCACAAGCAACAGAACTATGAAGCTCATAAATCCAATCAAGACATATTATGGAGAGAATCCAGTAAAAACACCTTATTCAAACTTGGTCGGTCAGGTCGGTCAACCCTAAACTATAAAGATCACAATAGATCGCATCAAGATCCCTGATAAACGTTCACAGGGAGTTGAGATCCTTTGCAGTACAGTGGATGGCCATGATCATTTCAAGCACTCATGTCCATCCAATACAGTACAACACGCATGATTTACTGCAGAGGATGCTTGCTCCCCCAGGGTAAAGGCATGCTTGACATAAACCATTCACACAGAGACATGCACAAACAACAGAACTATGAAGCTCATAAATCCAATCAAGGCATATTATGGAGATAATCCAGTAAAAACACCTTATTCAAACTTGGTCGGTCAGGTCAGTCAACCCTAAACTATAAAGCTCATAATAGATCGAATCAAGATCCCTGATAAACGTTCACCGGGAGTTGAGATCCTTTGCAGTACAATGGACGGACATGATCATTTCAAGCATTCACGTCCATCCAATACAGTACAACACCAGTACAATGGACAGCCATGATCATTTCAAGCACTCACGTCCATCCAATACAGTACAACACGCATGATTTACTGTAGAGGATGCTTGCTCCCAGGGTAAAGGCATAAACCATTTACACACACACATGCACAAACAACAGAACTATGAAGCTCGTAAATCCAATCAAGACATATCCCAATTGACACAGATGCAGGCGTGAAAAACTTAGATGATGGATATCAGGCCAGGCCTTGGAAGCATATAGTTTGAGAAGGGTACTCACCCAGCTTTGGTTTTATAATGTGTCCACCAGTGTGCAGTGTTGAAGACCAGAATATCAGCTCCTCTCCATCTTGATGAGCCCCTATCAATAGCATCAATTCGTAATGTCTGCACCCGTTTCTTGCCAACCCTTGCCTTACTCTCATGAACCAAGAAATGGGTCACATAGTATTCAACTGTACATTGATAATCCTGAAGAATTAAGCAAAATTCAGCATATTCCCACCCAAGAACAAAGCAAAATAAAAAAAAGGTAGAAAATCAGTTATTGCATAATTACCACAAACTTGAAACTATAGTTTCCCTTCTCTTTGGTGATTCTCCGCCCATGTGTCTCGTATACTCTTTTTGGATCTTTGATGGCTCCCATTAATAAACATAACATGGATTCCCATTGATTTCTGTTAATGGAATCGCCCACAAATACTATCCTCTTCCCTCTCATCAACTCCAGCATTTTTGTTGCATTGAACCTATAGTAAAACCCCATCCCATCATAACTACCTTCTTTAACAATAGTAATCATATAGCCAATTTCTTCAAAATTTGGTCCTGATTGTTCTTGGAAAATTGAGTTTGAATAAAAATTAAAAAAAAAAAAAAAAAAGATTAGTAAAGTCTAAGCTTTTACTACTCATGCATAATGGATCTTAATTATTCAGTTGAAAATGGAGTTTGAAATTCATAAAAGATGAAAAAGAAAAAGTAAATGAGGGATTATGTACCTTGGAATGGTACAGTCTTGTGGTTGCCACCTCCACTTGATGTAGCCTTGATCCAATCTCCCATTACCTTGACAATTAAAGCCTTCGTCAATAAAGGGGCATGAACCATTTGTGTATAAAGGATAGGAGTTATCATCAAAAACCCACTTCCCCTTTGCAACATCACAATTTCTTTTATTTCTCTCATGACTTGAAACCTCGGATGCATTATGTTGCCTGATTCTGAAATTACTACCAATTACTGAAACTTGAGACGACGACGACTCACTTTGTTTTCTTTGAAGCCCCTTGAAAATTGAATCAGTACTGGTACTGTTAAACTCAGAAGAAGCATTTTCAGGATTTATGAGATGGGTCCCGGCCAGAGTGGTAATTTTCCCACCATCGTTGGCTGTAGATAATTTCGCACTAAAACCTGTAAAATTACCTCTTTGAACAGTTTCATCATCTGAAACTTGAGACGTCCCACTTTGAAATCTTGAATTATTTTCAGGACTAGTGAAATGGGCATCCAACAGAATTGAATTTGACACTTGGTTTGCTGAAAAATCTCTACCCACACCAGTGAAAGAAGTCTGAACAGTAGTAGTTGAGGGTTTGAGATCTGTAATGGTGGTAAGAGATGAGGGTTTGTTGAACTGAAAATGGGTTTCTTGATGGAGTGAAGGGGCAGTGTTGATGAGCCAGATGGAGAGACCGGCAAGAAAGATTAGAGAGGAGGAGATGGTGAAAGAAAACACCAAGAATCTAGTGTGTTTCATCAAGGAGAAACTTCTCTGCCTCTCCATCATATCATGGGAGGAGTATTTCTTTGGTGATGATGGAGACACAGAGTGGAGTAAGATCCAAGGTGGGTTTAACTAAAATCAGTCAAAGATGGCTTTGTTTGGAATCAAATTCTTTTGGATTTGAAAGTGGAATGGAAAAAGAAATTGAATTTTAATTAAAATGAAATTCTATTTTTATGTTTGGAATAAATAGAAATTTAAATGAATTAAATAATTTTTAAACAGGTGAATAGCAATTAAAACGTAGTTTTTAAATAGGCGAGATGTAAAAAGACCAATAAATAACCTAGAGCTAGGCAGGAGATATGTAAAAAGGAAGGATAACTTTGATAAATTCATAAATTAATGCGGGTAATTATCAAATCTCCTCAAATTCTTATAATTTTTATTTTAAAAAATTAAAAAATTTATCGTCAAATCCAATAAAATAGCATCCCTTGTTAAAATTATACCCATTCCAAGTATATCTAAAATATCTTTCCCCTAGAAACCTGTCTTTCCAAGGACAGCGTATCTAGCCTCTAGGTAGCATTAAGGAGGAGGAGGAGGAGGAGGAGGTAACAAAGATTTACTACTAGAAAGACAAGTAAATCCATCATCATCATCAAGATAAGCGAGCAGGTAAGGCAAGGCCTTGGAGTAGATCATACTTGGATTCTTCAAGTGGTGGACAGAGTGCGTGGCACATTATGAGGGTGTGGTCAGTTACCAAAAAGGCCCCACGTGTTTTGTTGGAAACCAATTTTTTAACTGTCCACTGAAATGACACTTATGCCCTCTCTCTCTCTCTCCCTCTCCACAAACTCACACGATCGAACCATCTTTTGTTAACATCTTTCTGCACAAGATAATAAATACTAGGTCACGTACCGAAATGCTAATAATTGTGAGATTTCTTTCTGAAAATGAGGTCCAAAATCCTGCGGAGAAATAAATGTTATTTCTCTCGTGATTGGATGGGACTAAATTTGGTACAAACACAATTTTATGGTTTCGTTTGAAAAAATAATAATAATAATAATAATAATAATAATAGTTTTAATTATAAAAGAATAAAAAAGAAAAAAAATTATAGTAATAAACTTTATTCATGTTTGGATAAATTATGAGAAAAAGAAATGAAATGATAATATTATTGTTTGAAAAACATAATGAAACAAAAAAAAAAAAAAAAAGGTTAGGAATTAAATTATTGTCATAACCCTTCTATAAAATATTACTCTTTATGTTTCAAAAATAATGTCTCTTTTAAGAATTGTGACTCACAACAATTTCCAAAAAAAAAATATTTATTTTGAGACGGGTGGTATAAGATATGAGTCTAATGTGATAAAAATGGTAATTTTGGTATTATGAAAATATTACTTAACTCACTATTCTTTTCCTCCAATCTTTTTATTTTTGAGAGGATAGTACATAAGAAATTTTGAGATACAATTATCTCTCCAAATTTTTTTTATTTTTCTTTTCATTAAAAGCTATCCAAATATGATTTTGAGAATCTTTTATTTTATTTTATTTTCTTTCCAAATCCTCCCAAATTACTCAATCCAAAGAAGCCCAAGTCATGTAATAGAGGAGATTAATTGGACTCTTGTAAAATCAATTTCAACATGATTCTTCTAAACTAATCTTTTTACAAGCGGTTGGAGGGTTGTGCATATGTCCATGAATGACAAGGGTGATGTTTCATATTGTATAAGAAACTTATTTTAAAGCCTATTAAAATGAATTGTTATACAAAATAATTTTAATTGATTATATATGTAAAATATAAGAAAATGATTTTCTTCTATGTTACAAAGTTACCGATAAAAATTTGACACAAGTATCTGTCATAAATTAAAAATTGGCGTTTAGTAAAGAAATTGTTGGCATTTACGAGGGAATTAAGGTGTCTTCTATCTTTGTAGACCAACTTTAAAAATTGTAAATTTTTGGGTACGGCACAAAGGACAATATCTGCAAAAGACCCTTATAATAAGTGCAGGTAATAGGAAATCTAACCTAAAGGAGTGAGGACTGAGGAGGCTATGCTCGTTGCCTTTTAGCAATAGAAAAAGAGAGTAATTATCTTTTATAAAGAGTGATCCTCGATTAAAGTCACACTACAACGGGGGAGTTCATAAAATAATTTTCAGAAACGGTCCTTTAAAGCAAGTTTTATACATATTTTTTATTTTTAATTTCCAAAGTACAAATTATGAGAAAAAAAAATTTCAAAGAAGAGAAATACGGGGTCCTAGTGTGGTTTATCATTTTGGGGGACTGTGTAACCCAAAGCCAAAGGTAAAGAATGTACAAACCCAAAATGGGATGGATGATCCTAGTACTAGCGGGATGGTCAAGCCATCCAAACGGGCACAGCCCATAACATGAGGGGCATGTTTGGACTCTCAAATCAAACAAGACGTCAATTAATTCATATAAATTCAAATGCTAGCAATCTTTTTAATTGACACATTACCGCGAAAAGTAACATATATTGATGCATATTGGATTTAAACCCCAAAAGTTTGATACACATTAAAAATAAAATACCCAACTAGAATATGATTGTGCCTCACTCACTCACTCACTCTCAAATTTAAAAAACTGCCTCAACAAGGACATGCTTCTTCCTAGGGTACCCCAAGCCGATCAAATGGTTCAAGTACACTTTTCCATCCTTCACAGTTGCTGCAGTGGCCAACCTGTGTGGTGGCCCTTTGAACTTACCCACAACCGCAGCGGTTTCCCAATCATCGGAGCTTTCCACCAACCTGGAGGGGTTTCCGGCAACCACGAGCTTAGTAGGAGATAATAGCTCAACGCCATCCCCAAATGACAATGGACCCCCATCCACCTCAATCAACTTAACTTCATCTCCCTTCCCTATATCTATCTTAAATAGATTGCCGGTGAAAGTGTGAATAACTATTAAGTAGCCATTCGGATGGTAAGCGATTCCATTAAGCGCTACCAGGTTTTTGTACCACTCTTTTGGAGTGAAGAGTGGGCTTCTAATGATTGACAGGAAATCTCCATTCACCCCCACCTTCCAAATCTTGCTTGCTTTCGCATCCGTCACATATGCATTACCTTCACCATCGATTGCTACATCATCTGCAAATGATTTCTCATCTCCTATATATATATATAAGTGTGTGCGCGCGCGCGCAATATTCAAGAAGGAAAAAAAAAAAAACAGAGAATTAGAATACAATTAATAATGAAGGTATACATAAACCATGTTTTTGGCTTTTTTGAAAAAGATGATTACCAAATTAAATTTACCAATAAAAAAAAGAAAACAATTAATAATTTACCAAGAAACTGAACTAGTTCCAATATAGCACACCTGCGAACCAGTAATTTGATTGTCTGATGTGAATGACATGTTTTAATGTGACAACAATTAGTTGACATGATTAACAAGAAAACGCAAGTTCAATGAAAAACACGTACACTTTTGTAAACACATTTAATAATGAAATTAATTTATTAATTGGCATGATTTATTTTGTTGTGCTAACTTGTCATGATGGTGTATTGGTGTGTAAAAAATAATAGAGTGAAGATGCGAGGATTTCAAAGCATATGCAGGACCTAATAATGAAAATGGATGAATAATTGAAGGGTTAGAACTTAGAATACATGGTGCTGACTAGCATTTTGATTGGTGGGGTAGGGTGGACCATTGCCAACCATTTCTTGAATAAGTCAGTCCCTCCAATAACTTAAAGTCATACAACCAGTCATTTATATACATTACAACAAAGTGAATTGAGCTCATATTGGCAGTCGCCGTGAGAGACTGGAGACTTTAATATTGGCATTGGCAACCGAGCTTTGGGTCAAATTTAGACGCCCATAAAATCTCACTATCTTTAAACTAATGTATCCTAATATTCCTTCCTCGGGACTTAAAATTCTCCTTTTCATATTATTGGTTTCTAATACGTTTTCACTCATTTAAATTACTACTAATATTTTATTAATTTTGACCCTTAGGCACACACATCCACTATACCATGGTTTTGTATTTCTCTGCTATGAAGCTGGATAGCCTGAATGCCAAATGAAATAAAATAAAATAAAAAGGACCAAAAATAAAAATGAGTTTGAGAATTTTTAACAATAAAGAAAGTAACACGCGAAACATCAATCCCATTTTTTAATGCCATTGAGAAGATGGAGTTGAAATTGAGTAAATGATTTAATGGGTGGACAGTGTGTTTGGTAAGCCAACCAAGGAGGACTATGAAAAGGACGCGGTGCAAGATATCTTTTACGAAAGGAAAAAACAATAAAAGCTCTCTAATTTAGTTGAAAATGCCCCCACTCAACCCAACCCAACTACTTTTATTCACATCAACTTAAACTCAAAACCCAAGTAATAATAATTATTACTATTTTTGTCCTAAATTAAATAACCTTCCTTTTACAAAAATCCTGACTCTGTTCTCGGAAAATCTAATTTAGAACAGAAGGAATATTATTATTGTTATATTTCATATATGTAGTATACTAGTTAATCTAAGGCTGTGCGTTCGTTTCCAAATACTGCTCTGAGTCAAACCCATGAAGCATACTAGTGTTTTCTATTACACTACCTTGTTTTTTTGTTTTCTAAACTTGATGGCATAAATTGATATTTGATGTCACCCTCCAAATTAATATCAATTTTATTGGAATTTTTCAAACTTCCATTTCAACTTTCAACTAATGTTATTTAAGCTCAAAAAGTATCTGGCTAATCAATGTGTCCATCTCATTCATATCTATTAATTTATTGTCAAAATCGCTAGCTTTTTCACTTGGAAAAGCTTGTTTTTCTCCTTATTTTTATTTTTGGAGTAAAATATATTAACCTTTACAAGATCCTCTTATGATTTCAAAATTATATTGATACTTCTAAAAACAAAAACTAATGTATTTGTCAATGTTATAAAAATGTAATCATTTCAATATAACCTTCATTTCTATTTATAAATTATTTATACGTACGATAATGTTTTACTAAAACAATACCAAACACGTCACTGACAAGAATTAGGCGTAATGCTTAATTTTGTCACATCTCCGGCCGGTGTAATTTAGTGTATCTTCTGTGTTTTTTTTCTTTTCCGATCAAATTAATAAGCTTGGCTAAAGTAAAGGGCCAACTATGAACAATCTGTATACTTCACTCACACAATATCAAATGAAGTGATTGGGTTCGTACCTGGGCCACTGAGCGGAGTGAGGAACACCCGTTTCCACGAGGTTAAATCGTACGCCGCCAGTGCGCTGTAGCGATTTCCGAACACGTCGGCGATGGCAACCAGAAGACGATTCCTGGGACGGTCGATGACGATGCCGAAAGAGCCGTTTCCGGCCAGGTCAGCGTCTTTGATGACCGGAATTTCATCTAAGACGGCGGACGGAGAGTGGTCGTCCGGCACCTGGATCTGACCCACACCGCCCTCGAGGAAGGAGACGAGGAAGCGACGGTTGAGATCGTCCCACTTGCTGGACTCTCTGAGCCATCCGGTGCTGTGGTAGCTGTAGACATGGGTGAGTGGTTTGGCTGTTTCGAGTGATATGAGGAAGGCGATGGGGACGGCGGAGATGATAAAGAGGAGGAAGAAGAATTTCATGGAGCAGAAAAAGGACGCCATGATCGATCACTGAGACAACTGTTGGGGTGGGTGTTGTGTTGCCTTACTTAATTGTGAATTCGTTATACCTGAAGGGGGGTTTCTTTATAGGAGGGGGGCTACTTCTTTAAATATATATATATATATATATATATATTGAATTCGTGCTGTGTAGTGTGTGACTCTGTGTGCCTATATATATATATATTATATATATTGGCATTTGGCGATGTCACTTAATTATAAATTATTGTGTACTCTTACAGTAAATACTCATCATTTTCATTGTTAATATAGATTTTTTTCTTTCTTTCTTTGACAATAAAATAATCAATAGTGATGATGGATCTCGTGATATAATATACGTAATGATCTTGCAATTGATTATATTATTTTTTTTTGCTTTGAAATGGATTTAAGGAAGATTAACTGGAAATAGTAGTTTGACAGATACAGGTGAGAAATGGGGGAGAAGAATCCGAGAGGATGGGTGTTGGACTTTTGTATTTGATTTTTTGTGGTGGTAGATTTTAGGCAGCGGCATCATTTGACCGTTGAGCACGCAAAGACTCTCGTGTACATGTGAAATTAAACGTCTTCCCCCTTTTTATTTTTATTTTTACCTTCTTTATTATTTTAAAATTTACATTAAATACGAATTTATTTATGTTCAGTTTATTCTGAGGTAAAATATTTTTTTCATAAAATACTTCTTTTATTTAAGTAAAATATTTTTTTATTTTATTTTTTGGGTGTTTGACAAAGGTTTAAATCGAGATTGAGGTCAAGTCTATTAAGTTGGGCATATAAAATAACTCGTCAATAATTAATGGGTAAGTTATTTTTGTTAGATTTTATTTATTTTTTCTTCATAGATAGTTTACAACAATCAAAAATTAGAAAATTAAAAAAAAATTAAAAAATTGAAAATTATTTTACATCCAAACAAATGATGCTTAAATGTAAAATATTTTTTATTATTATTTTTTATGGTTGTTCAAAATTTTAGTAAAATAATTAGTGAATAAAATATTTTACCAAAACTTAACAAAATAACCTGTGTTTCTATTCTGATTTTTTTTTTAGAACAGTTGCCAAACATTAAAAAATAAATAAATAAATAAATTTTTGTATAAAAATATTATTCGAAGGAGTTATTTTACGTTGAAAATATTTTATATCAAAAAATTTTAAGTTGTCTTTCAAGTTTAAATATTTATATTGTGGATAGAAGTTTTTTAACTTAAAAGGATAATTATTGAAAGATTGCATTTATTTTTTCTTTGACTTTTCATATAAGATTAGTAAATTAGAATAATTCAAAAAAGAAAGAGGAAGTATTAAATAGGTCAAAGTATAGAAAACCCCTCATCTATTTTTTTTACCAAAAAACCTTCATTAACTTGTAGCATTTTTCCAACAAATCCCCTTTGCCTAATTTTTTATCAAAGAACCCCCTCAACTATCCGAAAAAGGTAAAATAGTTGATATTTGAATCAAAATACCTTTTAATTTATATCTTAATTCTCCCGAACTTCAAAAAATCATATTTCACAAATCATACATTTAAAAATTGTAAATAATATATGCACGGAAAGCTTATAAAATAAGGATTCTAAAAATATAAGATTTGTATAACAAACATTTATAAATAACTTATCAATAGTTGATAGGTAAGTTATTTTTGTTATATTTTAATATATTTTTTCTTCATAAATGGTTTACGACAACCAAAACATCAAAAAATAAAAAAATATTTTTTAAAAATTATCTTACATCCAAACAAACGGTGCCTAAATGTAATATATATATATATATATATATATATATATATATATATATATATATATATATATTTTATGGTTGTTCAAATTTTTAGTAAAATAATTACTGAGTAAAATATTTTACCAAAACTTAACAAAATAACTTGTGTTTCTGTTCTGAATTTTTTCTTAGAACATTTGCCAACGTTAAAAAATAATAAATAAATTTTACCTGAAAGTTTTTTATATAAAAAATATTATTCGAAAAAGTTATTTTACATTGAAATTATTTTATATAAAAAAATATTAAGTTGCCTTTCAAGTTTAAATATTTATACTGTGGATAGAAGTTTTTTAACTTAAAGGGATAATTATTGAAAGATTGCATTTATTTTTTCTTTGACTTTTCAAATAAGAGTAGTATTTTACTATTTTAGAACAACTCAAAAAAGAAAGAGGAAGTAATCACACATTTTGTATTCTTAGTTTGAGTCTTTCTTTCTTTTTTTTTTTTTTCTATTTTTTATTAGTAGGTACTCATACACTTTTATGAAGGCTTAATTCACCTCTCTCTCTCAAAAATAGCGGTATGATACGGTCACTGACTTGTTTAATTTTTTTTTCCTTTTCACTATTTAATTACAAAGTTGAGGGAAAATGGGAAAAAAAATAATTAATTTTTAATACTTAAAAAATAAAATTCATAATTATGATTGTTAATAAATTTTTATAATTATATTTTTATATAATAATTATAATTGTTAAGTAATTGTCTAAAATTAGATTGTAGTTTTAAAGCCCATTTTAGGTGTATCCGCAATAAATATCATTTTGGCATTACAGGATGCTGTTGGGAAATTTAGAAGAGCGGGTTGCTAAGAGTGCATGAATGAAAAGAATTATGGGTTCTGATATTTAATCACTAAATTATAATTATTTTTTGAGATATTTAGAAAATCAATTGAATTATTTAATATATCTTCTAATTTAGCGGTTATATGTGAAAAGTTTTTGACTGAATTTTTTTTTTTATTTTATTTTTTTAATAGTACTTTCAATTAGAAATTATACATACCGCAATATGGCGCGAGCAATTTTACTCAGTAGTAAATAAATAGTTGTCACGTCAAGTGCACAACTGTGATCTTGATGATAGATTGAGATTAAATCTTCTTCATATAAGTGTTATTTTTATTTTTATTTGACATTTAATTAAATGATTAAGAATACCACACACCATCCAAAATTAATTCGAAAGATTGCAAAATTTTCCTTTGAACAGCCATTAAACTAATAACTCAGCCAAATACAAAGAGTTATATATATACACACACACACATATATATATACACACACACACACACATACAAAGAGTTACAAGGCCTTTTCCTAATGTGAATTTCATTAATTAAAAAAAAAAGAAGAAGGTAAATTTCGTTAATTAAGGTAGGAGAGACCGCTTTAGATAATAATGTGAATCATGGCATTTGTCCTACCTTCTGTTTATCTTAGGTAAATTACAATCACATTCTTAAAGTTTGGCAAAAGAATACACAGGTGAAATTTACTTCTTTTTTTAACAAAGACACCCCCTTATACGAAACTCTAGTTAAACGAAGGCCTTAAATCCTCTAAAAAGACAAAATTACCCTCAAGTGTGGCTGGTATCAAACAAAACGGAAGGTGGTTGGGCATCACATGGAAATGAAATTACTCAGCCATATCAATTTGGAAGCCTTTTGTATTGAATTAATTTGTCATAGTCACAAAAATCGAACAAGATCTTTGTAATCTTACAATCCCCTACTGTTCTTAAGTTATTATTAAAGGAATCTTTATTTGATCTAATGTACTAAAATAAGTTCATGTACATGGCATTTGTTTCCTGATGTCTTTTGTCAGTGTCACTGATATCTCTCTAATAGTTTTCTAGGCATCTTTATTTGATCTGGATATGAAACCTTTGAAGATGAATTAGACCAGTCAGATAGTCCGTCCCTACCCGGGGTGTTGCTGTGTGTGTGTATATATATATATATATATATAGAGAGAGAGAGAGAGAGAGAGAGAGGACGGTGACGGTTGTCCAGACCATCACAGCCGCCGTATAATCTATTGAGAGAGAAGGTATTAGATATTAGGTATTGTGAGAGAAGAGACTCTTTCTTCTTTTTTTTTTTCTTTTTTTTATACATAAATTGTTCATGAGGGTTAATTGGTCCAATTTATTACAGTACATTATAAAGTTAAAATGGTTTCTTAAACGATCAAAGTGTAATTTAGTCAATTTCTTATGTTTAGAGATGTCTTTGTCAATTTTTTAATCTTTAAAGGATGTCTTTATTCAAAAAAATAATAAATTTTACTTGTGTATCTTTTTATAAACCTCGTAAAATATTATTGTACCCGTTTATCTTTTTCTTTTATTTTCTTTTTGAACGTTGAGAATTTAGCACTAACCTTGAACACGGTACAAGTTGGTATCCGCCTTTTTGAACGTGGCATTCTTATAACAAGTGTGGGTATGGTATTCCACTTCTACCCTTTCATGAATAGCATAAACCCTGTAAACAAACGCTGGCTTACAAATTTGTTGAAGGCCCTGTATCCGTCAAAAGGGCAAAACAAAGACGCCAAATTGCGAGAAGCTCCAACCTGTAAAGAACCATCTCAGAGGTTCTTTCTTTCCTTCCTTCCCTGCTTCACTCATCCATCTTTTCAGGTAAAATCCTAATTTTGATTTTCGATTTGACATCTGATCAGTTTTTTTATTTACGAGTCTATATTTGTTAGGGTTTTACTTCTCGGATCTATAAATGAAGTCGTGCAAATGATGGGTCAGTCATTGGTCACATTATGTGCAAGACTTTTGTAATGGTTCTTTCTTCTTTAAGTGTTGATACTGTTGTCTTCTTTTGTCGATCTGAAATCTATTATACTCCCTTCTTTTGTATCATCGCTATATGTATATTTCTATTATTGTGTGCGTATATATATATATGCATAATTGTTTTAATTGATATCTAATGGTTTATTTGTTGATAATGTATACTTTTGTCGATTCTAGTTGTTCTTTTAATATGACTTGCACTGCTGACTGATATTGAATTTTTTGTGTTAAACTGATCTCTGTAAACTAAGTTCTGGTAACCTAGAAATGTCCAAATTGGTGTCTAATAGATGTCTACATATTTCATTTAAATGATTGCATCTGTGTGTGTGTGTGAGAGAGAGAGAATTATATCAGGAAAATTCTAAAAGTCCTTATGAAAATAATACCAAATGTTTTAAGAGGTCATATTTTTTTAAACTAATTGAAAAATAATTGATTTGATTCTGAGGATTGTGGCAAATGTTTAAAATAGGTGTACACAACCCATTTTTGGTTGAGGCTAGCCCTTATGCCTCACAATTCAAATGCATCGAGTAAGCCCCAGGATAGTCAACAAGAAGCTCAATTCTGGGACCCATCACATTGGCCAAATCACATTCCTTTGAAAATGGTCCCACCTTGTTCCTCTAGATTTATCTTAAATTTTAGTATATGATTGATAGATTCATTTGAAAATCTTTTAACATTGAAAAAAGCTTTAAAAATTAAAACTTAATGCAATTGCATTGGACAATCCTTGATGCAAAATGGCACCTTGGAATGACTCTTGACAATTAAAAGGCATTGTGATTGGTTGAATGGAGGTTAACCATATTAAAATTTTGTTGAATTTTACATGGTTTTGCATTACTTAGAGGTTCATTAAAAAATTTATTGATTTTTCAGTTCCTTAAAGATGGAAATTATAGGCCTGTTTGGTTTTTTTTCTTTGTAAACAGTTTTCTATTTTTAGAGAATTGGATACCCGAAAATACTAATATAGATATTTGTTTGGTTTACAGTTTTCTAAAAGCTCAATTAAAAAAAGGCCTATATTTGAAGAAAAATATTTTATGGTTTCCTTAAAACAGTTTCAATATTCCAAGTTTTTGAGAATGATATTCAGAAAACTGACCAAAACCGGCCCCATTGTTTTAAAACAATAGTGGACCCAGCTTCCCAAGCATTAGCTTGGAGGTTTGGCTTCATGATAACAAGCTTGATCAACTTGATGAAGTTGATAGAAATGGTTGCAATACATTCTGATCCAACTGATTATGTGAAACCTGATTACAAGGAAGAAATTATTATCATTTTGCTGCTATTATGTGGAATCAAGCCTTGGATTTACCGGTGGAAGTTTATCCAAGATTCTGTTGGTGTGATTCAGCTTCTCATCAAATGCTTTTTGCATCATATCATTCTTTTGGTGTTTCTTGGATTCTGACGATTTTGTTCCCGTCGATGAATTTGCTTGGGAATTTGTGGAATTCCCAGATTCTGAGATAGGATTGCAAGTAAAGCATTGCTTTGATATCAAGAAATTTTTGAAAAAGAACACCCTCAACACACTGCTAAACACAATGATCAATTGTGTAGATGGAATTCAGGGAACCTGTTATCTTATAAAAATGTACTTAATGACGTGGAATATTTTATCTAGATTATTCCTTGCCTCCTTGGCAAATTTTAGCTTGTTGATATTGAAACTGAATGATTCAAGAAAATAAGCTAGAATTCGGACTTGGATATTTTAATCTGCTAAAAGACTGTCAAAATTATGATAGACAATCTTATAGCATGATAAACTTAAAATGAAACAAAGTTTAATAAACAAGCTCCACTATAACATGTCTTATATCAACTATTTTGGATTCGTTACATGACTAATATTTGTGTTTTGTCACTACATGACTTATAGTTTCCTAAAGGTGTATTGTGTGGTAGGAGGGTTGTCGAACCCTTCATCTTATTTCCCTTCGTTGTTTGGTTACTAGAGAATTGTGGGAGAAATATCGTGTTGTAGTCCTTTTCATTCCTAGGAATCACAGATACTTCCCCAAGGTTGTCGTGGCTGTATCAGACAAGTATCTGACATGTATACGCACCAGTTCATATTTCCCTTCATTGTTTGGTTACTAGAGAGTTGTGGGAGAAATATTGTGTTTTAGTCCTTTGCATTCCTAGGAAGCACAAAGACTTCCCCAAGGTTGTCGTGGTTGTATCGGACAATTATTCGACGCTGTTACGCGCCAGTTACATGTCCAATACTGCTGGGGAATATCCATAATTTTAATATATATATATATATATATATAGAGAGAGAGAGAGAGAGAGTAGGTGATTTGGCATGTAATAGAAAAGTTTGGAGAGAGAGAATCATATGGTCATATGGGACTAAGGCAAGGATGATGATGATGATCAATGTATATATTTTTCAAATCGGATACTTCTGGGATACGGTAGGGATATAGGTGGGAAATTTGTAAATATTTTTATTAAAAACGGGGGTTTTGTTGTCATAATAAAAAAAAGATTTAAAAGGCCAAATCGACACTAATTGACACTCATCCACGCATAGAGAGAGAGATAGAGAGTTTGAATTAATTTGGGTTATTCAAGTTCTAGGTCTAGGGTTAGGGTTTTTCTTTTTCTATCTTTTTGTTTTATATAATTGTGTCTCACAAGGTTATGGAAAACAAATCAACAATTAATGTGTTTTTTTCTTTTTTTAACATCCCTTACCCTTTTCCATGATTTTTGGGTGCATAGGACAAAGTTGGAGTTTATACAGTAGCTTCCTTTTATGGAGTAAAAGGAAATGATGCTGGATACCTTTTGTATCAATCAGCTGGCCCTTCTATCAATCATTCTGTTTCAGGCCCTTAATCCAATCCACTTGCATTACTTTGTACATTTCTTGTGTACTTGGGCTTCTCTCTTTCTTCTTTTAACGAGATTTATGTTCATAAAAATATTTAATCGAAGCCCGTCATACCTTTGCTTGCAACTGAAAGCAATGTTCTTATCTGCCTTCAATATCACTGTAATGCAGTAAACTCAAACTCAATCTCTCACCATATCACCTGTTTGGCGTCATTGTGCACTTTGTTATGCTCATCTACTTCAAATTAAAAAAATTCTGAAAGAGCTTCGTCATACTCAATGAAAGTATTCATGCACCTGAATCGGATTTATTTGGATGGAAAATTTCACTTGTTCTCTTTGAAATTTTGCTTTCTTTTCTCTCCTTGAAATTTAGAAAATTGTGAAAATTTACTAATTTAGCTATTCGGCTAAAAATCTTGATAGGAACATTGGTAAATGAAGTAAACTTAGGAAGGGCCAAGCAAATTATTTATATATTAGGATGGTTAGCCGAATATGCTGAATGGACTAGTTTAAATTCAAGCTGATATCTCTACTTGAATAATTCAGGCCTGGTGTGAGGCTGATTTTGGCCACACCTGGGAGACTTTATTGTCACCTTGATTGAAGTACTGATACTAGCTTATCTGAAGGTTTCGGTTTGTCTGGATTGTGATTGATATTAATCAGATACCTATTATCTGTAACAAGTAGTTTTTTTTTTCAGTTACCTTTAAACCTTTTCTCTTCTATTTTACCTTCCTCTTTTTTTCCCGATCCAGTATGTTGAACTAATATGAATGGAGTGCTTATATGGTGATAGTGCTTTATGGTGTTTCTACACTTCCGTGAGAAAAAATATGTTTTGTTTGTTAATTGCAGATTTACAAGCTTCTAATTAGTGAAGTAAAATGGCTGCCCATAAGGTTGCTCATGCCACTTTGAAAGGACCAAGTGTGGTGAAGGAGATAATTATTGGACTCGCACTTGGCTTGGCTGCAGGTGGCCTATGGAAGATGCATCACTGGAATGAGCAGAGGAAGACAAGGGCATTCTATGACTTGCTAGAGAAAGGTGAGATCAGCGTCGTTGCTGAAGAATAAATATTTCTTAGCTTCTATAGTGATTCTACCCACACTTTTGGTAACCTGATGTTTTGTATCCCTGTCTATTGGCTCTTGAATCTGAAATGAGCATACTTAATTCCAGTTTCTAAAAAAATAAATTTATTGTACTGAATCCAGTGTGGGCACATTATTGCTCAAAAAAACCTTCCGGTTTTATGATTCTATGTTTTGTTTAATGGCGGTTTGACTCGAGATGTTTTCTTCATAGCTACTGCTTGTTTGCAGTTTGCCTTCTAGTGTAGGCTTGTTCATAGTTGAACGGTATTCCTAAATGTTTAGTTTCAATTGTAGCTTCATGAGTTGTGAAAAATGTGGAGTTTATGAATTATTGGCTGCTGAAGACTTGCAGCTATCTGACTAAATGCTGGCTTCATTTATGGAATAATACCAAGCAAGCCTTTGAAGGCTGTGGCTTGAAAAACTGATAGATGGTCCCTGAAGGATATTGTCTAGTGATAAATATATCTTTCTTCAGTTTTTATCTTGTTCCTTGACATTGATTTTTCAGTCTTTACTACCAAGTGTGTTATGCATATTTCTACATTGTTTTATTACTCATGAAACCCTAGGGAGTTTGTTATTTTCATGACTTCTATCAATGCTTTTTATAGTTGCCTATAAAATAAGAAAAAGGATAAGAAACAAGGTTGTCATATTGTTCATATTATTCTGAAGTACGTGAAACAAGTGACAAGACATTGTCATGCATGTTTTATATCGCTATTTTCTAGCACTTACGTTCGTTGTGTAAAGTAAACTATGTCATTTAAGCAAAATTACGGCAACTTAACAGGATAATTATAATCACTATTATTATTTGAAGGGTATAATGATTTTTTTTTTTTTTGTGTGGTGTGTGTGCGCGAGTGTGAAGAGAACATTTAGCTGCAATTGAGTCGCACTATTTGTGGTATTTGTAGGTGACAATTTGTTAATGGCTGATGATCATATTTGAACTACAAGACTTGCTGCTGCTTTTTCTTTTTCAGAAAGCCAAAAACTGTTTGTAGAAAGGGGGTAAGCCTCTTACTCTGTTGGATTGAGTAGAGGTTACCCCTTGAAAATTCTATTGGTTTTAACTTTTAGGAGTGTAGCTCTGTATTTGTGGATACTCCAGTGGTGTGTAGTTTGTTTTATTTATATATTCATAATTACCAAAAGAGTAGGGGGAAAAAAACGATTGGTATTGCTTTTGCAAATTGCAGTAATTAATCTCATCAACCAAGGTGTTAAGGAGAGGTTGAGGATTTAAGGACCAAAAAAAAAAGTAGTCTGAGTCAATTAACAAGCACTGTGAAGACGCACAGGCATGCCGCAACAGCAACATCTAAAAGCGATGTCTTCTTTTATCATTATACGGAATTCCCCGCTAAATTGTGGTAGAGGTGAAGACGTTTATTTTTAATAATTTAAAATAAATTCTATAAATTGGTGCTACTTAACGCAATTCTGAATTCAGTGGTGTAGATTTTTCAGGTGGTGACAATCGAACCTGTTTCTATACAATTTTCTTACCGCTTTATTTGGTCCAAGAAATATTTGGGATGGCTTTGGAAAATAAACTGTTATTTTAAATGCTTTAGGAGGGAGTGATGGGGAAAAATAAGGGCCGTTGAAGCAATTGATTTTTGCAGTGTATTGACATGATTCTAGTAGTAGGGAGAAAGAGGGACTTTGACCAACTGATATTTCCATATAAAAATCTCGAAATAGGTGGTGATGTGGAAGCTCATGATTGGCAGTGAGTTGATAGGATGTGTGTGTTCACAAAGCATTACAGCCCCCAATTATATTGCCTCACATATTTTATCACAACCGCAAAACTAAACACAAGTGACAGACAACAATGGCGACGATAGCTGGTGTGAGCCTCTCAACCCCAAGAGTCTTGGCCAAGGCCTCAGCAGACTCACCCAAGGCCCAGACCATGAGGCCGAACCTGCTGCATCCATGGAAGAGGTCGTCTACTCATTTCGGAGCAGGTCGCATGCGCTTGCGACCCGTGGCTGCAGCACCGGAGAGCATCTCGGAGAAAGTGGAGGAGAGCATCAAGCATGCGGAGGAAGCATGCTCCGGTGACCCGGTGAGCGGAGAGTGTGTGGCCGCATGGGATGAGGTGGAGGAGCTGAGTGCAGCGGCTAGCCATGCACGGGACAAGAAGAAAGACTCCGATCCACTTGAAGCTTACTGTAAGGATAACCCCGAAACCGATGAATGCCGCACTTACGAAGATTGAGATGTTATTAGTTGGTGGTGCATGGGTCGTCTATTGATATCATGCCTTTTTATCTTAAAAATGAACCTTTTTTTTTTTAGTGTTGTTTATGGGCTGATGCATATTAGACTTCCTTGTATGAAGAAACTTGTACTATTGTTTATTTGACCAGATACTATATTTTATATATATACCATCTGGAACAGTATATTTATTCCATGGATGATATAACTAGTTTTTAGTTTCTGAATTTATTTATATTTGAGCAGTCTCATGGGTCTTTCGATCTCCTTTTGATAAGGATAAGTAGAATTAAAACTATTTGTTGTGATGCTTAATTAGTATTTGACGTTCACGCTAATATTGTCTTCCATTTGACAGTCAATACCAATCCCACATAACATAAATTTGGGTGACGGATAAAGTCAGGTCAAGTGCGCGGCTTCAATGACAAGTTCATTTTTAGGTTAAAAACTGGCTCAATGACCTATTTGGTGGGAGCTCAAATTTGTACAGAGTATATGCAATTATTTTTTTCATTTAAAAAATATATATGTTATTGTTTTTCCTACAATAGTTCCAATTGTTTGTAACATAAAGAACTAATTCTTGCACTCTTACTTAGTTCCCTCAGCTGATCATCCTTCCTAGTCTCTCAATTGTAGTCTATCATCCAACAAGCATTCCGAGTTGTGCGTAGAGCGTGTCCTCAATAGTTGAGCGGTAGAAGAGAAGAATCTCTCTCTCATTTGTTGTGCTTTTGCCCAAATTTGCTAGCTTTGTGTGGAGAGCGTGTCCATTTGAGGGTGGACTTTGGTTCTAAGCAAGTGTAGATTTATCTTCATAATATGTGGGAAGGGTTGGATAATGCTGATGATTATTTTTCTTTGGATCGAGTTATGATGCAATATTATGAATTTCATAATTTGGCAAGACAGGATAATATTCCTTATTCATTATTTGCCTCGTAATGATCTTCAACCAATTCTCGGCCGAAAAGCTCCCCACATGGGGTTGTTAATATTGGTGATGCTGAAGCTGCAGAATCTGTCATTCTAAAGGAGGGGTTGAAACTCATGCTACGTTGGGGCTACAATCGTATTGTAACAATTGAGGACGACTGTAAAAATGCCTCGTCTCTAAATTCTACCAATTGTTGTATTACACAATTAGTGCATCATTTTACTAACAAAGTTTGTAATGAGATGGCTCCTGCTTTGAGTAGATGGGTTGCCCATAACCAAATAGGGGAGTTTGATTGAAATGTTTGGCCCCTGGTTGTTGGAGGTCCTGACCGTTTAAAGGTCCGCAATTCAAAGCAATGCAACACGAATGAATTGGACTAGAAGAATCTAAAGTTGGGGTATCCATCAATCTAACATTTCCATCACTGCGTCCTTTGCACACCCAGTGCAATCACAACTCACAAAAAAGTTTTATTTCTGGTGGGACAATTGGGCTCCTGGTGGCCCTCTTTGTTCTAGATTCCCAATTGCACTACTCATTGATGCTGGAATAGATGAGGATAGCACAGTGGAGAGGTTCTTAACCACCTCATCATGGTCCTTCCCACCTTCACTCACTGCTGCCATTCCTGAGCTCCTCTTTCTCCAACAGTCTTGTCTCTCCAGGTCTGATACAAAGCAATGGACTGCATCTTCCTCAGGTCAATTCCACTTGAAGCACACATCATTATTCCTGGCCCCTCGCTCTGATCCTGCTCCTTGGTACAGTCTTGTTTGGCACTCCCCTACAATCCCTCATATGAAGTTTAATTTATGTTTGGCAGTGCAAGGTAGACTCCCAACATTGGATTGCAAATCCATGGCAAAACATCATAACTTGTGTTCTCTTTGTCACAATAGCCCTGAATCTCATGATCATTTGTTCATCAACTGCTGTTTCATCTCCCCAATTTGGAGGTTCCTTAAGTTCAAATGCAAGTTCCGCACTTCAATCACAAATTGGAAAGCCTTGATTTCTTGGATCAGCAGCAATTGGAAGAGGAAGACTCCTATGAACTTCATTCGCAAGATTTGCTTCTCAGCCATGGTATACCACACTTGGGAAGAACGGAACGAAAGGGTCTTCAAGCAGAACACTCTGCACAGAGGATCGTCCTCCGGAAAATTTGCTCCACTGTGTCTTCAATTCTGAAGTTGGGATTTCTTAAAGAATGCTCAGGGTCCAGAAGAATCCTCTCCGACTGGAACGTGTCTCCATCTTACTGTCGCCCCCCTCCATGGCCTTCGGACTAGCTCTCGCCGGAGTTGAGCTCCTTGCTTGGTCTTACCGGATCGCTCACTAACACCCTCCTTTAACAGTTTCTTATTAGTGTTAATGGAGGTCATTAGTTTCTGGGTTGGGTTTCTCTCTTGTTGGCCCTCTTGGGCTTGTTTCTTGGTCCAAATGGACTTCATGGCCTATTGGCCCACATTGTAATTTCCTCCTTTTTTATTAATATTTTTCAGTAGCTTTAAAATCCCCAAAAAAAAAAGAAAAAAAAAAGAAGAAATCACCATCCCTCCCGGCCTATAGTTTACTGTTAATAACTTCCTTTCTCAGATGTTCTCAGATGCATGGTCAGAGCTCTCAGAAGTATGTAGATAATACAATCTTTTCATAAAAATCTGTATGTTTGTGTAATCAATCACCAGTTATTCATTCCATGTCTTTTCATAAAAATCACCAGTTATTCATTCCATGTTAAACTTCAACCGTCTCAAAGCATTTTAAGCCTGTTTATTTCAGTTATATGGAAACATCAACGTCAAAAGGGAATGTGTTTTGAATAATTATATAAAAACATTCATCTGTAAAGTTTCCAACTTAGTATTTAGAGAACAATTTTTTAAAATATCTCCGAATCATTTACTGTTTTATTATTAGAAATTCGAGAACAAAAGATGCCCCTTACTTCTTTCTTTTTTATTCTCCCAAGCTAATGATCATACCATTTGGACTAATGCCCATTGGTGGAAAGCTTATAAGCTCAAGCACCTTGGAACTTAAGATGCAGAATCAACCCTAACCCCCCACACACAAATGTTATACAATAAAGGCCAATGCTTTGCCACTACACCATCAAAATTTTATAATATCATGCAAAACCAACACACAAGTTAGATTCAGGCTGTTCTACAAACAAAGAACACAGTTGCAGCATAACTTTAAAGATCCACAAACCAATTATCCCATAACAAATAAAAGAGGACAGCCAATATATAGAAAATGACTAGATTACTTGACCTTCAAAGAACACAAATTTAAGCTAAATAGCGCTCCCACACTTAGAAATTACAAGGCACCAGAACAGACACATAAGAAGCTCAACAGATAGACAAGACACATAATAACCATAAACAAAACAAAGACAGAGACCAGACAGATACAGAAACAAACTTAAAACATATAAAACCATAACAGAAGAGTCTCACAATGATGACTTCTCCAACTACTGATGGGAGTGTTCAATACTGAAACATGTTAGCAGATGCTGTGATAGGCTGTATCGAACAAGGGAATTGCCACGGTTCCATCAAAATGTCCGGGAGTTGAGGAATGTCCATTGCAAACCCGCTAACCTCCTCTGCGATCTCCAGCACCGAATTCAATGAGCTCAGCCTATCAGTTAATTCGGCAAGTCGAGCTCTGAGAACATTGTTCTCAGATTCAACCCCAACGTACATTTGGGAGGCAGCATCGATCTTCTGAGAAACATGATTGTTCTCCTTCTGCAACTGGCTCATTTGGCCAATCAGATCATCCAAATGCTGTTGCTTCCTCATCCGAGACCTCCTAGCTGATTCTCGGTTCGATATCATCCTCTTCCTCTTCTTCTCGTCCACCTTACCATTTCGCGGATCCACATCCGAACCAGAACCAGAACTTGCCTGACGTTGCATTGAAGCCATTTTTTTCTGATTTCTTTTTCCCAGAAAACTATCCAATCCAACCTTGATTTATAAGTGAATAATGTAGATTTGAGTTGGTGTGTTTACAAGGGACGTCAATAATTAGGGTTTTGAATTACAAATTTGAGAAACAGGTGAAAAAAATTGAGGACTTGAAACCAAAAACAATGATCAATCGACAAGGTTAATTCATGAAAAGACGTAGAACCAGTAAAGAAACACAACGGAGAAGGAGTGGAGAATGCGAATCCGACGAATGAGGATAGCGTACGTCATATGTGGGGTTCCCACAGACCAGAATCTAAAACCATGAGTCCAACCCTAAATTTCCAATCCGAGAAATGGAATCGAACAAAATTTAATTATGTGATAACAAAATTGAGAAAGGATCCGATTTGAAATTGAAATTAGAGTATGATAGACAAGAAACGAACCGATCGGCGACCAAGATGGATCCGAACAAAATAACTCAATGGATCGACAACGGATTCAGGGAAAATCAATCGAGATAATTCAATATCGATCTGATAAGAAAACAACAAAAAAGATCATTCAAATTGACGCATCAAGAAAACAAATCCCAAATGGCATAAATCGAAATGGATAGAGACGAAAAGAAAATGAAAGAGACGCGGACTTACCAGGAGGCGATACGACCAATTGTTGGGTAAAAGAAGGTTGGCGAAACACCACAAATTCGGCTTTTATAGCCGGAAAAACGCGTTTTATTGAATTTTTTAATTCATTTTTTTAATAATATTTGTTAGGTTAGTTGCGCTTACGAGTTTGTGTGAGTTGTGTGACTAAGTGCGTCGGTGGAATTACAGGTGTGCAGCGTGAAAGACAGCGAAGCTTTAAAGCCAGTTGGCATATTTTGACCCTTCACTAAGTAAGAAAATCTTATTTAAAAAACAGAGGGCTGCTAGCTGGAGTCATTCGACTTCGATTGTAGAAGGACCGTCCCCTTTTTATTGGTTGAAAACCTATCATAAAAAGTGTAATTAATGCATTTTTTTTTTTTTTGTATTTCCGTTAAACTTTAAAATTTAACATTTTATGAACTTTAAAACTTAACATTTTAAGATTAAATTTACCTATACAATTTAACATTTTAAGATTAAATTTACCGTTACAACTTAACATTTTGTCTCTTACCATACGTAATCTTCTTTCTTTCATTTATTAGATATACATTACCTTCATTCTATCTTTATATTTTTTTAATAGTTCTTAACTGTTTTTATATATATATATATATGCACTCAATATTATGTGAAAAAAATAAATAAATAAATACTAATGTGAATAGATTATTTCCTTTCCTTTTTCTTTTTTTCAATTCTTTTCCTTTTATTCGATATATATATACACACACACATACGTATGAACATATATACGTATGAATTATAAAACCATTCTTATTTTTCTTTTACACATTAACTAAAACTCAAATTTTATAATTTTAATTTAATTAAAACTTAATCTCATAATATTACTTCAATTAAAACTTAATAATGATGAAAACTAAAGATTCCATCCTTGTGACTTTGTAAGCATGCACATATATATAATCATATATATATATATATAGACAATTGTACAAAAAGATAAATAATGAAAGTTATATACATGTATGTATATATACAAATGGGGAAAAAAATAAAGATATAGAATTTTAAAGACTAATTTAGTCCTACAATGTTAAGTTTTAAAGTTCAATTAAATAATTATACCTTTTATGATTGATTTTTCAACCATTCTATAGTCGCATGGCTATATCGGTAATAAAAAAATAATTATAAATAAATCAAATATTTGGATGTACTTGCCTAGGCTGGGTCCTGCTTAGGAAGTTCCTGGTGCCAACAAAATATATATATATATTTGGATGTATTTGCCTCATAATACAATTATTATTAATTTTTTTTAGTCCGGCAATTGTTAGTAGTTAGTTGGGGAAAGCCAGAATCCAACCAAATGATTAATAGGGTGGGGTACACTTTAGACTGATCCAAGTGATTATTTGACGGGTTATTACATAAATTATCCTTATTGTAATATATATATATATATATATATATATTTTTTAATTGAACAAATTTATCCCCAACCTTAAATACTTTTGTTGTCTGGCAATAGAGGATAAGATGAAGACAATGAGGGAAGTGCAAACAAGATGTGTGTATGTGTGTATACATGTAAATGTAAATCTATAGAAATTATAATTATGGATATAATATACTTAGTTTTGTGTAGAAATTATAATAATGGATATGATATACTTAGTTTTGTGCTTAGCATGTTTTTTGATTATGGTGAAAAGCTGTAAAAAAAAAAAATTTGAAAAAAAAAAAAGAGATTAATAAAGAAATTCTAAATTTAAGATATAAGGTTATTAAAGAATTTCTAATTTTTTAAATGGTAAGTTGCAAACAAAAAAGGAAAAAAAAGAACAAAAAAGAGAAAGGAGAATGAATCAATAATTTTGTTATCTAGAATTTATTTTTAGAATATTTTATAAACAAGTAAATATTTTTTTTTTTGACCAAATTGCCCTCAAATGGTCACTTATTAGTAATTAAGTTTTAAAATTGGTCAACTATCCATTATTTCTTGACTCTAAGGTCACTTTTGTTTACTTTTGGTCACCAACATCTAATTTTCCCAATAAGAAAATTCTTAGTCTAGAAAAAGTCCAATTCTTAGACCCAATCCGATCAATGAAAAAATTTAATCCAATTCGTAAAATAACACATCAGATTGGATTCAATTTTCATCCATTCATAAAAATCGAATTGGGTTAAATTTAGCCTAATCCGATCCATGGTCACCCTTATGTAATATTCCGTCAATGTTTTTTTTAAATCTTTTGCCTCAAAATAATCTTATGGATTTTAAAATTTTTAAACCTTGAACTTTCAAATTTAAAGATTGTCAATTTGTCACTGTTAAGGGTAAATGCAAAAAACTCTTGTTATATACTAAAATGTACAAATATATGTTAAAAATATATATATTATACATTTTTTAAATCGAGCAAATAAGAGCATTATGGAAATACCTAAAATACACTTAAGATAAAATAAAAATAAAAGATACTAATTTCATAAAACATTGATTATTAAAAGTATTTTGGAATTATTTAAAAAAAATATTGTCAAATTTGACGATTAATGAGAAATTTGCGCATATTTTCAAATATTTGGGATTTATGTGCATGTACTAAATTGTAGGGGTATTTTTATAATTTTTACATAAATAGATTGGATTAAAATGTCTATTCCAACTTACATTTGTGTGGTGTGAAATTTAAAGTGGGAATAACTATTTCTTTGGAATACAGATTTATTTCATTTAATGAAAATCCATTCCACAATAAAACTTATGAAATGGTCATTCCCAATTAACTTTGTTAAAAAATTCGAGTTCAAAAAAAAAAAAAAAAAAAAAAAAAAAAAAAAAGAAACACCCCAAATCCAAAAACCACCACCGTCATTACCTTCCACAACCACCAATGTCATAGTTGTTGCCACCACCCACCTCCGCTGCTTTCCACCACCGTCACCATTATTGCCACCACTGTTGTCACCTTCCACCTACACCATTACTGTCGTCACCACCACAACTACCTCTATTATCTTTCACCACTGCCTTCAAGTCAGCTATGGAACAACTCCCTAAAAAAAATATATACTACATTCGTAATATGATAGAAATTTATTATATTTTTTTTCCCAAATTTGTTGCCTTAACAAATGTTATAACCTGGTTGAAATATTTGTTATAAGTGGTGGGAGGTGTTGGGTTGGGGTGGTGGTGATGAGCCCAGTGATTTGTTGAGAATGGCTATGATGGGTGCATATGCACAACTACTTTTATGGGTTATTTGGGGGTATTTTTGTCATAAAAAAGTTAAAATATCCTTTTTGTAAATCAACAGTAAATCAAAGGTTAACATAGTTATTTTGGATTTTAAAAATATTTTGATATATTTGAAAAGTGACATTTGGGTACAAGGAAAATACGAATCAATTATTCAAAATACGAGTATACATAAGTTAAAGCTAAAATATTCATTTGTGTGAGATTTGACTTAAACTAAGAAGGTGTCAGTGTAATTTACCATTTATTTAATAAAAGCAAAAGGAGCGTCCAGAAATTTAGAGGACAAATAACAACTCTTTTTTTTTTTTTTTTGCTAAGATAAATACAAATGGATATGCTAGTAATTTAATTGTTACTTACTATTTATTTTCTCTCCTTTTAATCTTTTGGTCCTTTACAAAGAAGAATACTATGATTTCATTTTTTAGTTAATTTCATTGACACCTTCTCAGGCCAAATATCACATTAAAATAACTTTCGAAAATTACTATCACTCACATCACAAATGTTTGGTCCGTTTTAGCTCATACCCCAAATGTCACTTTTCAATAGTACAAGAGCCATTTTTGTATGTAAAAGGACAGTGCTACCCTTTTAACTTTATGTTGATTTAAAAAAAGAAAAAGAAAAAGAAAAAAAGATTGAAATGATATGAATACCCTTTAACTATCATTGTATAAATTTAAAATTATTCTTTATATATATATATATATATATTTATATTTCTCATCATATACGGACTAATTCCACCACCACCACCACCAATTTTCGTAACCCAATTCCTATAATTAAAGATGCTAACCTGTTCCTCCTCTTTCTCCTCTTCTTCTATAATCAAAATAAAAGCAATAGAACTAGAATGCATCATTTCCATATTCGTTGGTGCAGTTGCCAATGACTATAACATAATTAGAATCCAAATAAAAGCAAGAAACCAAATAAATCAATTTTTATTTGATTATTTTTCTTTCAATATTTGAGTAATTAGTTAACAGGAGTAATTGTTTTAAGTGAATTGGCTTTCTTGGTAGATTTGAGCGTCAAAATAAAAAAATATATAGATACACATATATACATATAATTATATATATACAATACACACAGACATAAAAACTACAAATTTGGTCTGTATGATTCTTGTGGGCGTGGGTTACGCCACGTCAGCAAGTCAGCAATAGTGATCCTGACCAAACATTAGGAACAAAATACCAAGTAAATATTTTCAAACACTTGGTCGATAAACATGAAAAGACTAGCCAGACTCAAACAAGCGGTCCATTGATAGGCTTAGAGTCTAGATGTACCAAGTCACAAACTGTCCTTTTTGATCGATAGGTCAAAAACTTGGATCTGACCAAATTATAAATTCTCCATTGACAAGTCAGAATCTCAATTCGATCAAGTCACAAACTATCGATCGACCGGCCTATGACCTCGATCCGACTAAGTTACAAATTGTCCAACGACGGTCCTAGAACCTCAATCTGACCAAGCCACAAACAGTCCTAGAACCTCAATCTGTCCAAACCACAAACAGTCAATCGATCGATCCACAATTTGCCGATCGATGAACCTAAACCATCGGTCCAAGTACCTAAACGAAGACTAATGGTAAGACTTTTCAAAGCCATTTGGGAGCATTGAAGGGATTTCAGAATGGAGGATGGAGGATTAGCTTTAAGTCCTGTGAATAACAGACCCAATTTAGGAAAAAGCAAAAAGACAATCTGGAGTAAACATAGAGGCCTCCCAACCACCCTCTATCCAAGTTACAAGAGAAATGAGCCGCATAAAGAAATGGGCCCTGACTCGACCTTATTCACAGTCGGTGGATAAAATATTTGAATGACCTTGGGCTATAAATAGAGAGGGCTGAAAGGAGGTAAGGGACACAAAAATACCAGGCTCTGTCAACTGCAAGCAACATATTGGTCTGATCTACCATCGCTCTCAACCCTAATTTGGGCTGGCTCTCTCTCCCTCATTCTCTACTCTTCTGTTTTCCTTATATTGTTCCTAGTGATATTATCGATATATTTACATTGATAGGTTGACTCAAAGACAGATACAAACAATTCTCTCCCAAACATAAAGGACTTGTGGGATCATAAAGGACTTTTGTATGGTTCTCTCCCAAAAAAAATTTCTTATTATTTTTTCTTGTACCTTTTGTGTGTGCGTGTGTGTATATTGGAATTCATATTCTCATTTCAAAATGTTCAAATCAATTTTATGATGAAAAGTTTGGATTGAAGATTTTATTGGTATAGATTGTATAGTATTGTTGCGGCTGCGACTGCGACTGGAATGAATATTTAAATTATAAAAAAAAAAGAAAAAAAGAAAAAAAGAAAAAGAAAAAGGGAGTTCAACAATGGAAGTTATGTTCCATCACTGCACTTCTAGACCTCCAATGACAATGCCCTTCAAACAAGAGAAATATTTTGAATTTTCCTCGTGATTTTCAACACCAAAGAAACAAAAAATAAATAAATAAATAGAAATCCAGAAGCAGATTCAAAACATAAAGAGGAGAAGATGGGATCAGGGTTTGTTTTTGATGGAGGTAGTTGAAAAGTTGAGTTGGTTGGAAATTTGAGTTTTGGGTGTCGACGATAGTGTAAGTGTATAAAGTGAGAAAGAGTACTTGGGAAAGAAAGAGATAAAATAAGGGTACTTTAGTTATTTCAATTTTTTTTTTTTTTTATATTTTTAAATAAAAAAATATTAAAAAATTTAGGGTTAAAATTGTTTTTTCACCCATATTTACCGGTATCAAGAAAAAGTAAAATTAAATCTAAATGGTAATAATAATTAATCCTTCATTTTTTTATTCAAATTATTATTCCTTTTTCTTGCCAAAACTCCCGTATTCTCTTACATGGTATAAATGAAAAGACAAAAAAAAACAAAAAAACAAAACAAAAAATGGAAAGAAAAAAAGAAAAGATAAAAAGAACAGAAAAACATGATACTTTTTTTTTTCCCTCACAAACATAAAACAAAAATCTCTCCAAAATTAGATATATATCTAAAACTTCTCCTCAAACGTCATATTTTATAAAATTACTTTCAACCCCTACTTTTTTTGTAAAAGACAAATACATTTTGTAGAACTTTAATATGATGAATAAATTATAAAATAAAAATTCTTTAATAAAAATTTTAAAATGATAAATATTTGGTTTATACATAATATAGATAAATATTGTATTTGTATAGTTTTATAAATTTTTTACTTTGGGAACCAATAATTTTCTGTTTGTGATTTTTTTTTTCCTCTCTCTCCATCCAATTTTGAAGAGTTTTTAGTTTTGTGTTTGAGAGGGAAAAGAACACCAATTTTTTTTTTATTTTCTTTCCTTTTCATTCACACCATGTAAAAGAAAATTATTTCTTTTTTAATTCTATCATTACTCTTCATTTTTTAGGCTCAGTTTGGTAGAATGGAAATGGGAGGAAAGGGAAGGTAATGGAGGGTGATTAAAAAATTGTATTTGGGTAAAATGGGTGGAAGGAAATAAAAGAATAGGGAACGGTTTGGAGGATTATGTATAGCTTTGTACAGTAATTTGCTTATTCTTCAAAAAATTAAAACGGAAGGAAAGGGAATGCAATGACTGATGCAATATTTGCGATGCCAATTTTACTCTCAAAACATTATATATACAAGTTACAAACAAGTTAGCAGTTGCAGAAAGGATGAGAGTCGACGGGCAGCGGCTGAAGCTTGCGAACGGGGAACCGAACTGGAACAGCGGCAATGGAAACTGAAAGATATGAGTTTTGATTTTCTAAACAATTTGAATTTTTGTTTCTTGCGGACAGAAAGATAAGCTGAAATATGTGGGTTTAGATTTTGAACTTCTGATTCTTGTAGTGCAGAGAGAGAGAGAGAGAGGGAAAGGGCAACTTCAGAGTTGAGAACTAGAATAGAGATGGAGGTGAGATGGGGGACGCTGAAATGATTTGCCCTATTTATTTATTTATTTTTTTTCTTTTCTCGTGGCCCATGGAGACTATATATATATATATATAATAGAGATGAAAGCAAGATTAGAGAGGCTGAAATGATTTGGCTTAATTTTTTTTTTCTTTTCTTTTCTTGTGCCCCATGGAGACTATATATATATATAAATATAGAGATGGAGGTGAGATTGGGGAGGCTGAAATGATTTGCCCAAATTTTTTTTTTTTTTTTTTCTTTTCTTTTCTTGTGTAAGTATAAGAGACTATGTGTGTGTATATATATATATTTTTTTAAATATAAAAAATATAATAGTTAAATTTTTAAAATAATTTTTTATTATTATTATTATTTTATTTATTTTTTATTATCATTTCATTTATTTTTTTTTTGGTTAACTAAATTATCCTCCTCTTTTTTTTTTCCTTTCTTTCGTGACTAATGTTATACTCCCGCTTCATACCCACCGTCCCAAACATGCCTTCATCTTCTTTTTATCTGCGTTAAGACAAGCGAAGCCCTAAGAAGAACCATTTTCTTCTTTTTTTATTATTTCAATCCATTCACACTGCCGAGTTATTGAATTTAATCAGGTTATTAAATACTGTAAATATCAAGGAAAAAGAAAAGAAATATATTTTTTTTTTTTCTGAAGTAGTGTCTGTGTTTGTTGTTAAATTTGGGATCTACGAATTCATTGATAGTTTTTAGGAAGTGGAGAAAAAGATTGTCAGAAGGAAATAAAATGCCGGTAGACCAGGAAGTTGTTCCTCCGATGGACGATAAGGCGAAGAGGATGAGAGATCTGCTATCCAGCTTCTACTCTCCGGATCATTCTTCTTCTTCGATTCCCGCCAACACTTCTTCCAGATTTGCCACGCTCGACACCATCAATACCACCTCCTTCGATCCCGACCAGTACATGAATCTTCTCGTACGCCCCCTTCGCTTTTTCTCTCTCATTTTTCTTTTTCAAGATCCATCAATAATTGCACACACATACATATACGCATGAATATTATATGAATCATCTGTTGCAGATACGCTGCGGATTAGTCTCTCCGTATATTTTATTTGACTATCAGATCTTAATTGGAATGTTTTGTTAAGTCTATTTACTCAAATGATCTGCAATAATTTGTTTCTTTCCGTACTTATTGTTGTTTTATTCAGTGTGATTTACTCTACTACAAGTCTACAAGGGACGGAGTTCCTCTGTCTCTCTCTCTCTATATATAAATTGATAATTAATGTATTGAATGCTTCAAGTTTCATCAGTCCCAGTGGAGTTTTTCCTGAAAGAAAAGAAAATATAGAACTATTGTTTAAACATAACAAAAATATATTCAAAAGAGAAAATATAGAACTATTGTTTAAACATAACAAAAATATATTCAAAAGATTGTCTAGTACACTACGGCAAAATTTATTCAGATGCTGTGAGAAATAAAATGTAATTATTTTTAAATGTCAGTTGAAATAAAATGTTATCATTGTGTGGAATCTTAACATAGAATAAAGTTTAGTTGGGAACTATAACATATTTGACCGGGAATAACATACGATGGTAATTTCCGAAAAAAAAAAAATATATATGATGGCAAATAAAAGGGTTTCTTTTGTTTTGTAAATGATTAATAAAGGGTTAATGTTAATCCTTCTTCTTGGCCTGGGCTAGTTCTTTACAATGGAAGGCAATTAGCATGACTTAGTTTTCAAGATTCTCATGCACTTCAAAATGGATATGTGCATGTTTGCTTAGATGTAGCAGTACATACAGGTGACAAGAGAGTGAGAGTTTATTGATGTGATGAATTTGTTCATTGGAAGGAAGACCAACAATTGCATCAATAAGGTCTATGATTGAATTTCAACAACAACAACAATAACCAAGCCTTTTCCCAATTATTTGGGGTTGGCTACATGAATCTCATTTTTCCATTCCACTCTGTATGATTGAGTTACCAAAAAAAAAAAAAGGAGGCCCAGCTCTTTGCAATTGTTGAGTTTTGTAACTCTTTAGGTTGTTGGTATGTTAATTTACTTGTTGAACTGTAATAAACATTATCACAGCTCTTTGCAGCTACAAAATTCATAGTTATGTTCAAACTCTCATGTGGTTTTGACTTAATATTGTTGCCAAGTGACAACGCAAAACAACGTCCTTTGTATTGGGTTAGTATTCTCTTTGCACAGAGCTAGCAAAATTTAGGTCCAGATCAATGCAGATATTTGTTGCTTTTCAGCTTCTGCTGTAAATAAATCATTTTAAGAATCAGAACTTCCAACAGTAACCACATGCATTATCTGGTGCTGGGGTTTGTACAACACTGAATTTGCCGTGTTTGACGTATATCTCTAATCTTCTGATGTGGGTTTGATAATTATTATTCTATTTTTCTACTAAATTGTGCAGATACAAAAGTCAAATGTGGAGGGACTGCTTCAGAGACATGTCGAAATGGCTGCTGAGATAAAGAACCTTGACACTGACTTGCAAATGCTAGTATATGAAAATTACAACAAATTTATCAGTGCCACAGAGACCATTAAAAGGTAACGTTCCTCTTTTTTCACACGGTTTATGAACTGTTATTTCGACATTTTATCATTCTTTGGTAGAAATACAGGAAGAATACCTTAGTAGCTCTATATGGCTATCTAATTGAAATGTGTACATTTGCATATTGTTGAATATGTTCAGAGTTTACAATGTCAATGTCCAATGTCTTACAAAAATAAAAACTAGTGTATTGGCTCTTCTTGACAAAATTTCTGTGTTAATCTCACTAATGTTATTACTAGATCTTTGTCCATTGCAAAGCAGGTAGTAATTTTTTGGGAATGTTAAATGGTCCTCAGATGAAAAACTCTTGTTCAATATTTTCCTTTTCAGGATGAAAAACAATATTGGGGGCATGGAATCAAATATGGAAAAGCTGCTTGAAAAGGTATTTTTGGAAAACATTTATTTCTGTTGTTGTATCAGTGCATCCAGATCAAGAAAAAAAAAGAAAAAAGGAACAAGAGCGGGAAGAGAGAGAGAGAGAGAGAGCGAAAGAAAAAAAAAAAGAAGCAGTGCTATATAGAATCACATCTTCCTCATTGTTGTTGCAGATAATGTCGGTGCAATCTAGAAGTGATGGGGTCAACACTTCTCTTTTTGAAAAGAGAGAGCATATAGAGAAATTGCATCGCACACGTAACCTTTTGCGTAAAGTTCAGGTATTTAAATTGATGTATCAAACTATTTGTGCTTGTATCTCTAGTTTTGCTGCTATATACTGCATGATAACATATTTGATAGGTTATTAACTTTCCCACCCGTGGGGGCCTAGACCTGTCTTTTTGAGTGAGGTAAGGTTGCCATCCAAGAGAGAACAAAAGTGATGATCTCTTCATTTGCTTCGCATCTGTGTAATCCAAGTAATTTCAACTTGTGGCCCAGTTGCTCTCCAACCTCTCCAATGAGTGGTGTGGTATAAACCTTGTGTGATTGAACTGAGGGGGATGAAGGTTACTTGTCAGTCAATAGTGACAATTACACATTAGTGAAACAGTTGTCTTAAAAATAACCATATGGTAATGAAGTTATCATTTTACCAGTTATATAGGCTTATTAGTTAATTTTTTGTGGTTCATTTTTCATGGGGATGGAAATAGTCTTATTTCACGTCCTATATATTATGTAAAATTTTGTTTTGGTCATGTATGAGTTACACAAATTTCATCTTCTGTGGAAAAGAGTAGTTCATATATGATCTTCCTACTAGACTCGGAAAGTATATCAAATCAGAAGCTTATGCTGATGCAGTCATGCTTTCCAACCTCTCCAATGAGTGGTGTGGTATAAACCTTGTGTGATTGAACTGAGGGGGATGAAGGTTACTTGTCAGTCAATAGTGACAATTACACATTAGTGAAACAGTTGTCTTAAAAATAACCATATGGTAATGAGATTTTCATTTTGCTGGTTATATAGGCTTATGAGTTAATTTTTTGTGGTTCATTTTGCATGGGGATGGAAAGAGTCTTATTTCAAGTCCTATATATTATGTAAATTTTTGTTTTGGTCATGTATGAGTTACACAGATTTCATCTTCTGTGGAAAAGAGCAGTTCATATATGATCTTCCTACTAGACTCGGAAAGTGTATCATATCAGAAGCTTTTGCTAATGCAGTCATGCTCTCCAACCTCTCCAATGAGTGGTGTGGTATAAACCTTGTGTGATTGAACTGAGGGGACGAAGGTTACTTGTCAGTCAATAGTGACAATTACACATTAGTGAACACAGTTGTCTTAAAAATAACCATATGGTAATGAAGTTATCATTTTGCCGGTTATATAGGGTTATGAGTTAATTTTTTGTGGTTCATTTTGCATGGGGATGGAAATAGTCTTATTTCACGTCCTATATATTATGTAAAATTTTGTTTTGGTCATGTATGAGTTACACAGATTTCATCTTCTGTGGAAAAGAGCAGTTCATATATGATCTTCCTACTAGACTTGGAAAGTGTATCAAATCAGAAGCTTATGCTGATGCAGTCAGGTTCTACACTGGAGCCATGCCAATTTTTAAGGTTACTTTCTTCTTTCTTATAAAAAAAAAAAAAAGGTTTACTTTCTTCTTACTTGGTCCTGTGTTGGTTGGTGTCATTTTCCTTTCTTGGTATGTTGTCAATGTTTCCTCTTAAGTCTCTCTTTCAGCTATGACATGCCTACTTGACTTTTTCTTCTCAATAGGCGTACGGGGACTCATCGTTCCAGGATTGTAAAAGGGCATCTGAAGAAGCAGTGGCCATAATTACAAAAAACTTACAGGTAAGTTTTTGTTTGCTTTTAATGGTGTTTTCATTTGGATTAACCAACTTCACTATTTGAGGACATGATGGGAGAGATATTGAGATCGTTCAGTTGTGTGCAATGAAGATTGGTCAAAGCACATGTGAATAGAGTGATTTTATCTAAGTTGACAATGCTGCAAGAAACTGGAGCCAAGAAGGAAGTTGGTTGAGGTTGGTAGAACTACACAATAGCTTATGGTTTAGCAGAAAATATGGCTGTAGTAGATCCGAAAAGAAAAAGTGTACTTGTGTAGATGGCCTTGAGTAGTTTACATTCAAGGCTTTGTTGAGCTGATTGTAGTCTTGTGTGTTTGCGTGTCAGCAACTACTGGATGCTGTTACATTTAGTTGCTGATTGTGGGAAGTGTGGGAGACGAGGAGTTATGTACAGTTGCCTTCTAGTAATCCTTTGTCTACTTTTGTAGGGACAGTAGGAACTAGGAAGCAAGACATCTAGAAGTGGATGTGGAATGTTTCGAAAATATCTTAATCTTTCCTTGTTGGATTTGTTTCCATTGGAGGTTATCTCAACCAAATTCATTCTTAATTATTTGGAATTAGAAATTGTGAAGATTATTATTTTATTATTATTATTTTTCAAAATTTGAGTTGTACAAGTATGTTGCATAAGTTGTACTTGGACATTTCCATAACCAGCCGTTAGATTATAAATTAATTTAATATATTTTTTCCTGTATCTATTAAGATATACCTCGATTGATGTTATCCTCCTGTTGCATGAAGGGCCATAATGGGTGTTTCTTGTGTTTTAAGAATAAATTAGAATAAGTAACCTATTAAATTACTTATGACTGTTTGCGGCATATACTTTAATATGTATATGCATGTATGATGCTAAATAAAAATTATTCAACCATCATATTGAGGAGAGCAAGACTTGTTACATATGTTGTCATCATTATTGCAGATTCTGACTTCTATAAACAGTAGAAGTAACTGAGTTTTTTCTTGCAAGCTTATTACTCCAATCCCCTTCAATTGCCATGGGTATCACAATTTTTTGAGAATGTTTAACATGCATGGCAATATACCAATTTAGAAAATTAGAAGAAAGAAATGGACCTCCAGGCCCCTAGACCAAGTTGTAGTACGATACCCTTAGAGAATAGAATGATTCTTACAGAATAAACGTTTGAGATTGGACAAAGGCATTTAATGAGCTGTGAGCCTAAGGTTGAGAATTCTTTGAGATGAGACTTAAATTGTAATTGTCATATGTTTTCTGTTTGGGTTATGGTTTGTGGCCTCCTTGCTTAATGCTTTTAACCTATGGCTAGGCAGTACAGTAGAAGAATAGGTCTTGCCATACATGAGGATGGATGTTCTGTTGATATACTGGTAGGGCCATGTTGTTAACCATATTCACTGAGAGGAAATTATCAAGTAGCCATAAATGATGATTAAGAAGTGTAATTGCTCACTGTATAACTTGCTGACTTTGTTTTTGCTGATTCCATAAAAAATGGAAGAAGAAAAGATATATCGAAAAAATAACCATCACGAGTTGTTTTTTCAGGGTAAGCTATTTTCAGATTCTGAATCAATACAGGCAAGGACTGAGGCTGTAATGCTTCTTAAGCAGTTGGATTTCCCGGTTTGTAATTTTCTGCCTTCATTCTCAATTAAGCTTTTCTGTTACTTGTTTTATGTGTCTATCCTTAAAGGAAAGCACACATCATGGTAATCACTACAGTGACTACACGATGACTGTTGCTGAATATTAAAATGTTAAAACATAGAACGATGGAAAATTACATGTCAGTTAGTTGGAATCTCATTAATGTGTAGGGATTGTGGGATAAATGTAGAATCCTTTGTTTGCAGTGGTATTAAATTCTTCTTAATGCAAGTATGCTGAGAGAAAAATCCTTTAATTTTCTTATGTGTCGTTTGATTGTATCTGATATATTGATGTGCGTGCCATGACATTTTAACCGTGTTTTGACAGGTTGACAACTTGAAGGTGAAACTACTTGAAAAGCTAGAACAGTGCCTTGTGGACCTTAATCTTGAATCTAGAGAAATAAGCAATGCTTCAGGGAATCCTGATGAACCTACAAAACAAGGAAATCTTTCTGAATCAGTTCCTGCTACTGTTCATGCGGTAAGTAAAAGCAATATGTCTTATACAAATTTTTACAGGGGAAAAAGATATCATGGGTTGCTCCACTGTGAGGGTGCCCTCTTAAATGTAGATGTTTTTGTACATAGGTGAACAGCATTCTGATTCAGAGTAATAGTTGAAAACAAGAAACTTAAATGCCAACATTTCTTCTGATTGAAAAATCGTTAACTTCAGTTCCCTAAAAATATCTTGTGTAAATGTTTTACTTGTTTTACAAATCCTTTATCTTATATCTGCATTATTTATTGGTGAATTAGAAAGAAAAAAAGAATGATTTGCAGAAAATTCCTGATGTTGAAGGAACCTGTTTCGCTAATGACCTATGCCCTTTACTGTTGATACTTAAAATGCTTTATAGAGAGAGAATTCATTAGGAATCCTGTGTCTACGATTCTACAGCTTTTATGCATGACCCTTGAGTTTTCAACATAGTTGCCAGGCATTTGCTGTTTGAATTTGTTTGGTTGGCAGGATCCTCTATTTGTCAGGAAATTTAGCAAAAACTGACACTAGGACCGGTAGTAGGTAATGCACAAAGGAATTAGTGTGCCCATTGGATCTAGTCCCAAAACTCTATTAACTCCAATTGCAAGTGGGGATGGTCAGGGTCCTTCTAATTCCTTTTTGGACTTCATGTATGAAATAAAGATGATTGATGTGCAAATTGTAACTCGTAGTTATCTGTATAATCTTGTAGCTCTCTTAGACTGCCTATGAACTTATTCCCTCTTGAAGTAAGTTGCTAATGCCTTTATGATGAAAGGGCATTGGCAATTTGAGTACTCTAGTAGATGCTATTTACAGCGGCAATTATTGAGTTCATATATGTACAGAGCCTCCAGAAGATGGACTGAATTGATTTTGTGTAATCAATACCTGGAGCTAGCCTTATTCTCTTTGTGCTACATTGCAAAATGTAATTCCACTCTCAGCATTCAATAATTTCTTGATATGCCTAATCTTTTATGTGCCTTCCCCTGCATCTTGGTTTGTGGCAGTGTAATAACGACATTTACATGGTAGTGAGTGTTGACATGGTTATGAGGTTTCCTTCAAACCTTGACACTGTGACCTTTGTAAATCTCAAATGCACTTTAGCTATGACAGAGATAAATGTTGTTGTCTGATATGTATATAGGTCACCAAGAGCTGGTGGTAAAAATTAATATAATAAGTCCTTGCTCTGCGACCACACCGAGTTATGGTCTTTTTAGCTTTTATGTGCTTATTCTCTTTGTGCTACATTGTAAAATGTAATTCCACTCTCAGCATTCAATAATTTCTTGATATACCTAATTTTTTATGTGCCTTCCCCTGCATCTTGGCTTGTGGCAGTGTAATAACGACATTCACATGGTAGTGAGTGTTGACATGGGTATGAGGTTTCCTTCAAACCTTGACACTGTGACCTTTTTAAATCTCAAATGCACTTTAGCTATGATAAAGAGATAAATGTTGTTGTCTGATATGTATATAGGTCACCAATAGCTGGTGGTAAAAATTAATATAATAAGTCCTTGCTCTGCGACCACACCGAGTTATGGTCTTTTTAGCTTTTATGTGCTTCTTGATAACTATTTCCTTCTTGTTACATCTTTCTGTTTACTTTTTGGCATGTGTATTATTGATTATCGCACTAATGGACCATTATGCTGCTCTCAAAATATTCTAAACTTAGGCTTCTACACGTGAGTTTGCGGAAGCTATACGTGCTTGCCGAGTGATATTTCCTGATTCAGAACAGGAACTAATTAAACTTGTGCAAGACCTAATTACCAAGTATGATCTATTTTTCATCATATTTTTATCAATAAGTTTAGTATGTGCTGTTTTCTTTTCTTGAGCGTAAAATTTGAAAGCACAACCACATTTTGCTCATAGAATGTGCTGGTAATTTGTTTGCTTAGGCACTTTGAAGCCACTCAACAATATATCAACAAACGGATTTGTTCGTCAGATCTTTTGGGAATGCTTCGTAAGTTCGATACACCTGCTAGTACACCGTCATTATTTATAATTTTGGAACTTTAATTTCTTGCTCAAGTGATTGCAATATTTATTTTATGACTGATCAAATTTTCTTTTGGGTAAATGTTTTTAATGCTTCTACCAATTATTTTGTGCATGACATAGATTTGTAGATTTATCAGAGGGGTTTTTTATATTCAACAAATACATGAGTGTATAACTTGGTTTGGGTGTTTGCTACTGAGGGCATTGAATGCACCACCAAGGACTGTTATGAATCAAGTTGCAGGTACCTATAAGGTTAAGAGAAAAGGCAAAAAATTACTTAGTTCGAGTTGGTGAGGAACTCATGATTCTGGTATTTAACCTTGAGTTGAGTTGAATAAGTATGTTTCTTTAACTTATGCAAATCAGCAAGTGCTCAGATGAATATGATCCCCAGGTCTTGCATGAATGCTTCTGTGAGTTCTTGTAAAGCCAGGCGGTTAACTACTTTGATAATGGTCTAGGCTGAAGGTTGTTGGGTCTTGTAAGTTTTTTTTATCATTAGGTTACTGCCTAAGCACTTGGACAGCCAATGTGAAAGTGCAGTAGGGGTTGCATAGACCTCCTTTTGGCTAAGGATTTGTTTAGTTATCATTCATCAGACCTGGGAGTAAACAATTACAAGGAGTTGATTAATAATACACAACTACACAAGTGAATCTCTTTGTTGACAGGTTGAGTGATCTGTAAGAACCTTCTTCTTCTTCTTCTTCTTCTTCTTCTTCTTCTTCTTCTTCTTCTTTTTTATTTATTTATTTATTTTTATTTTTTTCTGGGTATAAATTTGTTAAATGATCTGTAAGAATCTTTTTATTTCCTTTTCTAGGTATAAATTTTAACATGTTAGATGCCCTTGAGCCAGGCTTAGGCAAATCTATTGGGTGAGATTCCATCATATTTAAGCCAGTGTTCTAGTATCATAGAGGGGACTTGTACCACTAAAATTTTGTTTATTAAACTTAAATATGAAAAAATTTCATTTGTTTTTCCCAATATTTTCATCACTAAATTAGTTTTGGTCAGGCTTTACCAGAATATCTAGAATTTTTAATGTTGAAAATAATGTCATGTTCTAGCATTTAGCATCATAGAATGTGAAAATAATTTTTCATGTTCTAGTATTTACCATTTTCATGCAGGGATTATTTGGACTGATGTGGTCCTGATGGATGAAGTGTTACCTGAGGCTGCTCTCCCTGATTTCTTTTTGGAGGTCATTATTGTTCTTTTAAATTTACAATTAATGAATCTCTCTTTTTTGCATCTCATGTTCGTGCTAGGTGAAGTTTGGTGCACTAAATAATCCTCTGTGATATCAGGCTGCCCATGTTGCTGTCAAACAGTATGTTGCTAGCACATTCTCCCGTCTGTTAAATGATATTTCAGGTTAGTCTTATTGTGATAATTTAGAAAAGGTAAAAATGTTCATTTCTTCAGATTCAGTTTCCCAATAAAATGTTGGTTGCAAGTCCCACGGTGGTCATCTTACCTTAAAAGTGAGAATGTACCGAAATTCTTATCAGCGCCCACAAATACGAATGAAAAAGAAACAAAAAAAAAAAAAATCCAAAGCGTGCATATGTTGAAACAAATGGCAGTTTACTACTTTAAAAAAGAGACAGATGTCAGTTTGTCGATAACATGGATAATAGCTCTAAAAGAAGGATATACAGTGGCATAGGCTCTTAGATTTTTTACCACCTGAGGATTTTTGAATGAATTGTGTTCAGCTTACTGGGAACATGATTTTTATTAAGCATGTGATGTTAACAATGACAGCATGTTTGCATGAGATTCACTTCATCCTTAGATATGAATGTCTGATTGAAATTCTGTTTGAACCGGAAGATGCCCTTATAAAAGTACAAGGTAGACAGAAGGAGGGAGCAGAAGTAGAATATTCTTTGCAAGCTGCACTTGAATCCAGCAAAAAGGCAGTAATCCAGGGCTGCATGGATGTCTTACTGGTAAAATATGATCTTCCATGAAAACTGCACACGTCTGCTTTAATTTCGGGATAATTGACCTTTTACTTTCTGGTAGGTAATGTGAATATCATTGATATTTCCGCTATCTTTGCCTATTATTCGTGAACTGATTTCACCATAAATACTTAAGATTTTGTTAGTGCTGTTATGGTTGCACCTCTCTTTTCTCTCTCACTGTCTCTTGCCTTTTCATTAGGAAGGTATGCTTGGAAATATTGTTGATAATTTGCTAAATACTTGGGCATAAATCAGTTTTATTAGAGAAACAATACTATGCAGTGATCTATATAATCTGGGTAGTGCTATTAGCATGCTGAAACTTTGTGCTCTGGAAATCAGATTTTGACAATCCAAAGGAATTTCATATTTTTTTCCCTTATTTTTCCTTTCCTTTAAGGCAATATGTTAAATAATGTCTTCATCTTGAAAGTGTGTAGACCGTTAATCGAGGCTCTGAGTGTGAGTGGTGAATTTGTTCTGGGGGGGTGGGTTGAATAGGTTTTATGGATATATTCCCGCTTTTAACTATCATTGTAAAAATCTGTTAATCCTTTTTTAAATTTCATTTAGTTATTTGTGAATATTGATATTTCAATTATAGTTAAGCTTCAATTTCAATCAACCAGCTCACAATTAAGCAATACACAGAAAGTAAAGTAGAGAAGAATAAAGATACCAGATTTTTACTTATCAAAAAAAAAATCCAGATTTTTTTGTGGAAAACCCAAAAAGGAAAAAATTATGAGACCTAATCCAAACAGGCACAATCCACTGTCGGGAAAGAGATGGCAACTAGGTTAACAGTTTACTCATGCTCGAACCCCTATTTACCTCTAAACACAAATGACTGACAAACTTTTTCCTAAAAATCTCCAAGTTGTCCATTTGTTCGTCTATAACATCCGCTTCTCATGAATCTGCTTCTCTAGTGATTGCTCGCCCATGTCTTCTCGGATTTGCTAAGTTGAATAGGATCGGATTGATGATCTTCTTCTTGATGAATATTCAATCACACACAATTTAGTCTATGTAAACCATAGATTGAATAAAACAAAAAAAAAATTCTCTCAAGGACTCTTATCTCTATGGATGATTAGCGATTCTCAACCCATACCTAAACTAGTTATAACCCCCCATATTTATAGCCAATATAAGAGTCCCATACGTTTTAGTTAGTTAAATCCTTGTAAAATTGTATTTTGAGACAGTTTCCAAAAATTCATGTTCGACAGGTTCGGTTGTTTGAGCCTTCGATCAAACTGCACCCGATACCTTTCGATCGATTGACACTTTGATCGATGGATTCTTCTTTTGAAAACAAATTTACTTTTAACGTTTCGATCGACCATTTGATTGATGCACACTGCTTTCCAGTTTGAAAACCAGTTGTGAAAAGAATAGATAAGACTTAAATTTTGAAAAGCCAATTTTTAGAAACACTTTCAAAACATATTATGAGCCCAACCAAGATCAAATTAGGTCAAGCTAAGGTCTTACTAATGTCAAATTACCTGTGACCTAGATGTGTGACTGAGTATGTGATATTCCACCTTGATCTTCACACTTTGTCTGCCTTGTCTTCAATAGATGCCCTCGAACGACTCAAGAGACTTTGATTCATTCCAGCACAGATTTTAAGTAGGAATATGTCAACACGACTGATATACCTAACACATTCTAATAGAGTATGAAATTCTGTAGAATGAATGGCAAGCAAAGAAATGACATTTTGATCTTATAAAGTTAATTTATATTGAACGAACTTGTGAAGGTGCTTAGTGAACCTGTTGATTCTGAGGTAATCTTTCCATGTCTTCTCTTGATTGAAGAGAACCCTAATGCGTACAAAATTAGAGTAATTTTCTACACAAAACATCTCCCATTCCATTTACTGGTATGACCAGGCATGATTTACCTGTCATGTTCCTTCTAGCACAATGAACCAAATTCAGAGTATTCTGACATGAAATTTTGTAATTCAGTTAGCTTACTTGTATTCTCAACTTTGTCATTTTGATCTCTTTTGTTATAATTTTTGGAGTTCTTACACTTTATCATGTTAAATGGGTATTTTGCTATAGGTTACTTCTTTTATGTTACTTCATTTTGCTTTTCTGTCTCTTATTCTATTTGTATATTATAGGATTTCAGCCAGCTTCTTGACAACAACTTAGGACTGCTAGTGAAGTTGCCAACCTTGATTATTGACTGGGTACAAGAAGGATTTCAAGACTTCTTCAGGAAGCTTGACTATCACTTCCTCATACTCTCAGGAAAGAGTAACCCAACCAGTCAAGATCAAGATTTGACAGAAGGAAAACAAGGAGACAGAGTTCATGCTGGGCTAGTTCTTGTGCTGGCTCAGCTTTCTGTTTTTATTGAACAGAGTGCAATCCCAAGAATTACGGAGGTAAAAGCCATATTATACTTGCATGTTCAACATTTTTCAAGTTTTAATTACTATAATTATAGTCCTCTTCATAACCTTAGCTGCTTTTTTTGTACTTCTGTTTCAATTAATCAGGAAATAGCTTCTTCTTTTTCTGGTGGTGGCGTTCGAGGCTATGAGTATGGGCCTGCATTTGTTCCTGCAGAAATTTGTCGCATATTTCGGTCAGCTGGTGAAAAATTTCTGCACCATGTATGAGTGCTCAATTCTGAATTTACGAGGATTTGAAATTGATGTTTGTTTCTGGCTAGCAGTCTAGTAGGTTTATGAAGCCAATTTATTATGAAATTGCTAATGGAAACTAAAGTCACACCAATATGCCTGTTCTGTGTGGTCTGTGATTTTATTTGTCTGGTATAACTAGAAATTACTTGAGATAACACTTTAATAAGGCAACACATGGCCTACAGCTCATTTCATAGTGGATGATAATAATATCAATTTCTAATGTTCAGATTGAAGTAATCTCATCAATACCAAAACATCTGTTCTTGTCTCATCATTATTGTTGAAACCTGTCTCCGCAACATAGTATTTACATGTTTTTTAAGCTAGGTACTTTTTTTTTTCCCCCTGATATTTTACCCCCAAAAAATGGTCACTTGTGTTCTCAACCATGTGCTCATTCCATTTCCAATCCGTTTCAGCCTCTGCAGTTTTGGGTGCCAAAAAATGATATATTGAATATATTGTTGACATTCTATGAATAAATTTTAGTGCTGTGGAGCACCTAAATTTTGAGCGTCCAGCATACAGTTTTAGTTTAATATGTAGGTGAATACCTCATAATGTACAATTTAATGTTGATGCAACTTAATATAAGATGTCGTGTCACTTGTATGCACAACCCAACTATCAGGTCCGATTTCACATAAATACGAGGATTCAGAATAAACCCCCTTTGGGGGAAATATGATGATTACATTCTTAGCCTTGTGATTATAAATTTAATTTAATACTTTTAGCGTTTATGTATATAAACTGAGGCTTAACAAGCTGTTGATTTTGTGTATGCATACAAACTGAGGCTTAACAAGCTGTTGATTTTTTGCAGTGGATAAAAAAATTTGGATATTTGCAGTTTGTGTATGAATTAAGTAATAAATTATCTCTGCATGATCATTTAGTTAGCTCTGCTTCCATGATTTTAATTAGTAATTTGTTGAATATAACTTATCAAAAAAAAAAAAATTAGTAATTTGTTGAATATAGCAAGTTGAAGATACACAACTAATAGCATCTTGTTTGTATTATATTAATCATACTTTTATATCATCCATGACGGTGCTGTTGATAATTTCAAGTTGGAAACTGTTTTTTCTTTTTTCTCTGTACTTTATACTGATTTTCTTATTAATATGTTTTTCATTTTATGAATTTTTCGTGTTGATGTTTATATATTTTATATTAGCCATGTATATTTTTTTATTTTATCTTTTGTAATTTGAAAACACCAATATCCTAGACTATTTGCACTTGCTTTGGTATCTTTATATCCTCTTCACCTCCTGTAACACAAGGACTTAGAAGGAACAGTCTAGAGGGTTAGACTTTGGGGCGAATTATTATTCTTGTCTCTCTCCTATTGCAAATTGAATCATAAAATGTTGTTTATGTAAGATGAAATTATTGTCCATTAACCAGAGTTGAGCATTGAAATGGAATCACACAACAATATTGCTGTTTTTGCACCCATTTGGTTTGGATAGGCATGGGAGAGAAATTAAATGATATGAGGAAAGGCTGAATAGTATTTGGCTTTTATAAACTTGTCGAATGCAACTTTTATATAAATAGAATGGTATATAATTTGGCTCTTTCAGATTAACTATGACGTGAGACTGAGATTGTTGCCTCTCTGAGTCCATTTGCTATCTCTGGCAAGATGCAACATAAAAATTGTAGTCTATATTGACTTTAAGTGCCTTCAATATGTAAAATATAAAATAAAAATGATAACTGATCTCAGTGCCACTTCCTTTTTCAGTACATAAATATGAGAACTCAAAAAATATCAGTCCTTTTGAGAAAGAGGTTCACAACACCAAATTGGGTGAAGGTCAGTACAGTTTGTGACATCATTTTGCGACTTTGAAGCTTGAGAATGGCACATTATATAATTTCTCTATTAATTCTGCTCATTTTTTCTCCCAGCACAAGGAACCCAGAGAAGTTCATATGTTTGTTGATTTATTTCTTCAAGAGGTAAATACTTGTGTTCTTTGTGGTTCTTGTATGTTCTGATTTATGAGTTGGGCTGGCAATTTGGGGTTTTTTTAATCATGCTTGTTTCAATATTAGTTTTATATCATATTGTGTTCCAAGAAATGCGTTGATATTTTGTCTTTCAAAAATTGTGTTATAGTTGAAAGCAATAGGAACTGAAGTGAAGCAGATTTTACCTCAAGGGCTCCATCATAAACATCGTCGAACTGACAGTAATGGGAGCACCACTTCTTCACGCAGCAATCCATTACGGGATGATAAATTAAGCCGGTCAAATACCCAAAAGGCCAGGAGCCAACTTCTGGAAACCCATCTAGCGAAATTGTTCAAGCAAAAAATGGAAATTTTCACAAAAGTTGAATATACACAGGTTTGAGTACTCTCTGTTGGTAGAAAAGTGACAGATATTGTTATTGGAACAAAATAACATTTCTTATTTAAATTGCAGGAATCAGTTGTAACAACTATAGTAAAACTTTGCCTGAAGAGTTTGCAAGAGTTTGTTAGACTCCAGACCTTTAACCGAAGTGGATTCCAGCAAATTCAGTTGGACATTCAATTCCTGAGGACTACTCTAAAGGAAACTGTTGAAGATGAAGCTGCCGTTGATTTCTTGCTTGATGAGGTAATAGGAAGTTTGTTGTATAGTTTCAGTCTGTGTGATTTGAAGTTTGAATCATTTACATTTCTTAAAATTATTTTTTGTTCTTTTCTTTGATTATCTTGGTCAGTACAAGTTTGTTTTTATACTAGCTAAGCTTTGAACAAGGAAATAAACATGGGTTTCTCTTGTTGAGCAGGTCATTGTTGCTGCTGCAGAGCGTTGTCTTGATCCAATTCCCTTGGAGCCCTCCATCTTGGACAAACTTATACAAGCTAAGTTGGCAAAGACCTCGGAACAGAACCCAATTTCTTCCTAAAGCAAAAAAGAAGTGTAATATATACTTAACGATGCAAATTTTACCCCTAAAGAAGTTTGTTTGTTTGTCTGTTTGTTTTTTTTTTTTTTCTTTTTTTCTTTTTATTTTTGTGTGTGGCCAAGGGAAACCCAATAACTATTATGATTTCTTGTAGTTTGAATATCTCTGATACAGACCCCCTTGATGTATTTAATTTTTGGTAATAAAGTGATGCATAGATAACATAAGAGTAATTTACATATGTACAAGGGGCATGCCCCAGGAGCCCGATCTAGATAAACAAAAAAATTCTAACCCAAAAGAAACCAAACAAAAGGCCAAAAATATTTTTTTTCTATATTGTCCAAATATTGGCCCAATGTGGATACCAGTTAGTTCTCATGCATAAATCATTAACATAGGCGGGATTCCATCAACAAACTCATAAAACATCTGGCTATGGCGGATGCAATTGGGGAGATGATGCGTTTGGAAAGGTGAAGAAAGGGTATGAGTGGAATTGTTCATGGAACGATGTAGGAGGTCTGCATTGGAGGTATACAGACCCCTTGTTCCTTTTTGTGATATATAATTTGATTGTGCATACATTTTCAGTGAATTTTGCAATAGTTTGCATCAAATAAAGACTCTGAATTCCAAGTTAATCCAAAATAACGTGGGAGTAAGATCCTCTCCGTTTCTCCTTACTCCTGTTCAAGTTTTGGGCGATGGAGATAGCCTGCCACAAAAGAATTCTGAAATGGCATATCATCTTCCTCAGCCGCTTGGGCTTATTCTCCCGGGAATGATTTTATGAAGCATTTTCATAGACCTATGAATCAGACCGGAATAAACCGACTGACCGCTCTCCGTGCCCTCCCGGAGTGGCCAAAAGTGCTCAACATTAACATGTATCAATCAATTCATCATCACATGACAAAAAAATAATAATAAATAAATAAATAAAACATAATCATCTCAGATAATTAAAAAACATGAATCATCATCATCCATTATTATTTTCCAGAAAGCAAAAACTCATTCACTCCAGTACTTCTCGTCACCATCTTTACCGGTTTCTCTCTCATCATCTTCCATCAAACTCATCTTAAACTTCCTCACATCCTCAACTGCAGCACTCCTGAACATCCCCACATCAACCGCACCAGACACCATGTGATATCCCCTCATCCTCATCTCATCTGGACTGTCGTGCGGCATAGCAAAACCGCCCAAATAGGCTTCGCCGCCGCCTTCGCCTTTTTTACCCGTACCCAGCACCGCCTTCTCCGCCGATCGAAGTACTTCCCTCACTTTCTTGTTTCCCGGGTCCCACAGGTACCCCATGCTTCCACTCAGATCCAACGGCCCCATCTGAATGCAGTCCACCCCATCAACGCTCGCGATTTCTTCGATCTTCTTCACTCCGTCTTCCGACTCAACCTGGCACATGATCAGCAGTTCATCCTCGTAATTACTCAAATACCCCACGTCGATGCCGTAATCAGAAGCCCTAACCACCGTATGGGCCGATCCACGCACTCCGTTGGGCGGAAACCGGCAATACGAGACGGCTTTACGGGCCAATTTTGGGCTGTCCACCATGGGGAACATGATGCCCTGCGGGCCGAGATCGAGGGCCTTTTTGGCCCATGTAGGGCAAGTCTCCGGAAGGCGAAGGATAGCCGGAGTTCTGGTGGCGGCGAGGGCTCGGAGACAATGGAGGGCGTCGGAAATGCCCCCGTGGCCATGCTCCATGTCGACGACGACGAAGTCGTAGCCAGCGAGGCCGGCGATCTCAGCCAAAGTAGGGGAGAAGCTGAGGAGGAAGATGCCGTAGAGGGTTTCGCCATTGTGTAGACGTGATTTGAGGGATAGTGGGGAGGAGGTGGTGGATGTCGACAGAGAGAGGTCGGAGGAGACGGGAGACTTGGAGGATCGGAGAGGGATGAGGTTTGGGAAGGTGGTGGTTAGGGTTTTGAGGGTTGAAGGTGGTTTTGAGTAATAGGATGACGGAAGTGAGAGCTGTCTTCTAAGGTTGGAAAGCGAAGAAGGAAAATAGGTTGGACAATTGAGGGTGGCCATGGCTGTGGTGGGAGTTTCGGGATTGCAGAAGGATTGGATATTCATCCTGGACAGTACGCCTCTGTGCTGGAGAAGAGAGAGAGTGTGTTGTGTGTGAGATGCAGTGGAACAGGGTGAGAAAATTATACTCGAACCAAAGTGGTAGCGGCCGTCACGGGCAGGGAAATAATTTTGGTCCTTCTTAGTAATTTCACATGCATATATAATAAGCGTATATGCATCATATATCCAATGCCAATTTTTTATTATTATTTTTTTTTCAATGCAATTTTATGTAACTCTCGTATATAATAACCAAATAAGCATATACATTAATGCAATACATTTTTAAAATTGTAGCATCGGACGTGTTATATTAAAATGTAATACTATTAACGCTACTGAATAAAAAATGCACAATTTTACATCCTTGAGTTGTATTGGAAATGATTTCTTTTCCTTACCATCATATATAAATGGGTAAATTGTAAAAACTTTCTGAGCATTGCTTGAATTTTCAAACAACCCTCTAAATGTTACAAAATATAATAATATATATATTATGTTTCATTAAATGATTATAATACTTTTTTTATTTAATTAAAGTTTATTTATTTTTATTTAATATAAGTTATGAAAAAAGAAATATACTAATTTGATGACATATTCACCATTAAATTTGCATAAATTTTTCTTAATTTTTTTAAAATACTTGTTTAAATAAAAAAATTTAGGAGAATTTTTTAATTAATTCTTAATTTTTAACGAATATATTAAATGAAAAGAAGATATTTTTATTTAAGCAATTTATTAATTTTTCATTAATATATTGTCTGAAAAAATGTATTTTTCTACAGTAAAAATTTTAAACGGGTTATAATAAGTTTTATTATAAATAATAAATTTTAATTGATACTAATAATAAAATTAAGGTAAATAAAATAATTAATATTTAAATAAGAGAAAAGATAATAAGAATAATTTAATAAGAAATAAAAATTTAAATGATAAAGGGTAAAATAGTCTTTTATGATTGAGTTTGTCATTAATTTTAATAAATCAATAATTTTTAATTTAATGGAGTTATTTGCACAAGAGCTTGGTTTTTTTTTTTTTTTGGTACTTTATCCTAAATAAATGGACTATTTTTAAAATTACAATTAAATCAAATATAAAGTACAGAAAAATAAATTTTGTAATAGGACAAGGATGTGATAAAATTTATTATTATTATTAAGGATAAAGTACAATGACACCTTGAGTTTGTCATAAGAATAAACATATACAAGTTACTTTTTTTTTTTTTTTTTTTTTTTTTAAAATTAACACCCTCATGTTTGATAAAATTGACAAAAACACCTAATAATGATAAATTAATTTTATTATCCTTTGACACATTAAATTATAAATTTAAACAATGCAATTATTTTGAATTAACTTAAATATCCTTAAATCAAATGGGTGTAAATGATCACGGCGTACAACCTATGAGGAACCAATTTTTCTCTCTCCTCACTCACTTATTCTCTCTCTCCTCTCAAACCAAACAAGCCGCCACTACATCTCCCTCAAACCCATCACCAAATCCCTAACCTTCTTCGCCCCTAAACCCCTCACCACCATCGTCTCCATCTCTAGAACCACCCACCACTGTATTCACCCACTACCATTGCCACCGCCACCACAACCAGCGTCGCTAGCTATGAGAGACCTAGAATACCTGGTGCCTAAAAAATTGAAATTATCATTACCTCAGTGGCCTTGTGCACGTCGACCCTAATTCAAACCTCAATTTCAACAATCACAATCACCATCGCCCAAAACCCTAATTTCTGCGCGGTGGTGAAGGTGTGATAGAAGGCGGTAGGGCCTTCAAGCTTAAGAATGGAGTCGAGGGATTGCCGGAGAGTGATAGTTGAAGGTGAAACCAAAGACCCGATGCGTGTTCGCGAATAGTGCATCACCTCTTTTTGCTACAAATCCCCCAAGCTCCACCGTCCGGTGAATGCAAGGCAAAGATGACAAGCTCACTCCAGTGGTATTGAAAGAAATCCAAAAGATTGATATCCAATTCCATGTGCGACTATTAGTGATAATTGAAAACCACCCACCACTGTATTCACCCACCACTGCGACGAAGGGTGATTGGTATCACCGACGTCCTCCACCTACCGTGTTCACAGTGGTTCGGGTTTGGGTCACTACCGGTCATTCCTTGCTCTTCCCGGCCTTGTCATAGCCACCGTCCGTTGTCCTCATCACCACTCACCACCACTACCCACCGCAACCACGCCATGAACCACCATAACCACTACCACCGCCGTCTTCCTCATCTTTCTGGCTATCACTACTACCCAACGCCACCATGCCATGAACCGCCAGCATCATTGCCTCCGCCGGCATCCACCCACGGCCTCTGCCGTCCTCATATCTCTCTATGTAATGAGCAAGAAATTATTAGATGGTCATTAGCACTTGGACCAATTAAATACAGGCTCTAAATTGCAAAGTTTCATTATTCAAGAGTTTTTATTGAATTAATTCACAAGCGTCAAATAGACCAGATCATCTAATAATTTATAGTAATGCTAAAATTAACTCAGCAGTAATTTGTTCTTACAATAAATTTGATTTTAATATGGGCGATTTGCAAAAAAAAACCTTTATGAATATCATTAGCAATTAACTCCCCTCAACTATCACGAGGGGATCATTTTAACTAACCACTGTTGAAGTGATTGTACGAGGAAATTTTTTGAAAGGAGGCCTCTGATTTTTTTCTTTGAAAATGCTCTTGCATTTGGAATATATATATAGTAATATAGTAGTTATTTATCAAATGTTAACTTAAATTGATTTTGATGGAAAAAAATAAAAATAAAAACTTGTACCATTAAATATCCGTTTGAGTGGTTGTGTAATAAAATTTTTAGACAAAATTATTCTTAAAATCAAAACCAAATATTAGTATTACTAAAGTACCCACCACTCACTTTTTTTTTTCTTTTTTTTTTTTAATATTGCATAAAACACTAAAACGAAGCCTCTAATTTTGAAACGAGGCCTTTTATTTTTTCTTTGGAAATGTTCTTGCATTTGGAATATATATATACTAATATAGTAGTTATTTATCAAATGTCAACTTAAATTGATTTTGATGGGAAAAAAATAAAAATAAAAACTTGTACCATGATTTTTTTAAAAAAATTAAAAATAAAAATTTATCAAACTATGTGGCAAAATCATCTCATAATTTGGAGGAAGTGGCTTTTTTCATTTATATGTGTGTGTGTGTGTGTGAGAGTAGCATATCACAATTTAATACTAGTAGAAAAGTATTGGGATTAAGATTGATGATATTGAAATAAATCAAATTTTATGTCATAATAAATGTTTGTTCTACAGAATAAATAAATAATTAAAGATAATCCAAACAAATATTTGTTAATATTTAAGTGAAATATCTTTTGACTAAAAAAAAAAAAAAAGTGTGTGAAATATGTTTTGGAGGTAGGGGAGGGGGGGTTTTGTTTTGATATTATGGTGAACACCACTGGATTTTTTTGGGGTAAGCTATATCCATAATTTTTTAGAATCTTATAAATTTCTACTTTTAAATTTTATAAAAAAATACGGTACTGATATTTTTAGATCTCTCGTATATATCTTTTTCTTTATCTTAGTTTATAAAAAATCATGGTACTAGTTTTTTTTTTTTTTTTACCAAAATCAATTTAAGTTGACATATGATAAATAACTATCATATTACTTTATATGTTCCAAATGCAACAATATTTCGAAAGAAAAAATCAAAGGACTAGTTTCAAAATAAGAGGTCTCGTTTTAGTATTTTATGCGGTTAAAAAAATAAAAATAAAGTGAGTGGCGAGTACTTTATTAATATTAATGTATTGTTTTGATTTTAAGGGTAATTTCGTCCAAAAAATTTATCACGCAATCAATTAGAGGTTAGTTAAAATGACCCGATAGTTGAGGGGGATTAATTGCTAAAAATATTCATAAAGGGTTTTTTTTTGCAAACAGGTGAAAGTCGAGGGGGGTATTTTGTAATTCGTCCTTTTAATATTAATGAGTAATTTCCTCTTTTTAGATCATTAAGGCCTTGTGTAACAAGGGTCATTTTGTCCCACATCGGAATCGGATGGGAAAGAGATTGGGTATAAATGGGTGGGTATGCAGCCTTACCTAACAGTTCGAGCTTTTGGGTAAATGGGCAAGCGCCCACCCGTTACAGTTGGTATCAGAGCCAAACCCAGTCCTTGATCCGGTGCCAAGCCAAGTGCCCGACCCGGAAGGCGTCCGGGTGAGTCCACCCGGGTAGGCAGGGTAGCCCAACCGCAACGAGGGCGTTGCGAGTTTGGGTGGGGGAGAATGTAACAAGGGTCATTTTGTCCCACATTGGAATCGGATGGGAAAGAGATTGGGTATAAATGGGTGAGTATGTAGCCTTACCTAACAGTTCGAGTTTTTGGATAAATGGGCAAGCGCCCACCCGTTACACCTTGTTTGATGGAATTTTTTATAGGGGTGTCCAAAAATAAGTAACTTGTATATGTCTATCATTGTATTTACCTATTACGAACCTTAAAAGAAAGAAAAAAAAGATCGCGTTTGAATTAGACTAATTAACTTTTTTTTTGGTTGATAGACTTTTGGTAATATATAAAAGGGTTAATTACAATGACACCCCTTAAAGTTTACTATAATAACAAGTATATACAAGTTGAGCTATTTTTAAACAATGACACCACCTCAAAATTTGATAAAGGTAATAAAGACACCCCAATGATGGCATGCCACCTCTGAATTGACAAATTTACCCTTTGACTTATTAATTGACCAAATTGAGTGATGAAATTACCTTTCTAACCTTTATCAATAAAATAAAATTAGAAAAAAAAAAAAACAAAAAAACAAAACAAACTATTTTCTTTCCTATTCTCTCCTGTACCGTTTCTGTCAGTAAAATCTCGCCAATCAGGGCAAAAAGTTCCTCCAATTAAGTATCCAAGCTTTCTTCCCCCTTCTCTTTCTTGCCCGCATAGACACCTGATGAAAATAAGGAATTGCTTCTTTTTAGTTGTTGCAAATCCATGGAAATGGTCCGGACTCAGGAGTCAAAAATCCAACCCTTTCACTATGAGGGGTTGTTCTATCAAGGAGCATCGACGTGATTATTGCAATTCAAATCAAAATCAATTCTAAAGATGAGTATTAGAATTTGTAGTGGTAAAAGAAAAGAAGAGTAGGTATCATCAACCAGATTTATAATGTTATGCAATAAAAATAACAAGAGTTTTATAGACTTAATTTAGTCTACTCCAGTATCTTAGTTGTTTTCCTCTTGTTTTCTTAGTTTTTTTTTTTACTCCTAAAATATAATAAAAGTTAAAAACATCAGTAAAGATTGAAATGGTTGATGCGTAGATATACAATTAAGTAAACATTGTCATTTGTTTTACAATTCATAAAAAAAAATAATAATAATAAAAATAAAAAAAAATAAAAAAAAAACATTCACATTAAACCAAATCCAAAATGAAGCATAAAATTATGTATATAAGAAGTTCATATGAAACCAAACAAAGAACCCTGTAGGCTTATAGAAAAAATGAATGTTGAAAAATTAGTTTTTATGATTGAACTATTTTGATGTTGCTTTTGGTGTTCGGACAGGGTGGACTTGTCGATACTTTCATGGATCTCATCTTCTGATAGCCCATGATCTTCTGATAGTCAAAAATCTAACCCTTCCATTTGTGGATTTCGATTTAAAAGATGTTAGGCCGGTTCCTCATGTGCCTAAGAAGTAATCCGGCGAACCACCACCCACCTTCGTCACCATCCACCACTAATGGAGCCGTCGTCGGTGGCGGCGGATGGGGACACCAACGAGACAGACAAGTCGAATCGTTCTTCTCGCCGATCTCCGAGATCTGCAATGTGAAGCCAGTACCTGGAAGCAGATTGAGAACAAAAGTGAGGAACTCCGACAACTCGTCAGCAATCAGCAACGCAATCTCAGCGACTCCGCCGACTCTATCGTCCAGATGAAAGCCTTATGCGCATCCATATCCGCCATCCTCCACTCCTAGAGAGAGGAGGGCTTCTGATGAAAGAAGGCGAGAGAGGAGAGAGATTGGTAAGGTTTTGATGGGTAAATGTGTCATTTAAGAATTTAGAGATTTTATAATAAAATATTTAAGGGTAATATTGACATTTTACATCTTTTAAGGGATTGTTTGGGTCCATTTTTTTATAAGGGGTGTCATTATTAAAAAAACACTCAACTTATATATGATTGTCATTACAGCAAACTTCAGGATGTCATTGTAATTAACCCCATACAAAACTATTGGGTTGCTATTTAAATATAGCAAAGTGTAATTGGGGAGGAGGGTTTTAGACATTTTGATACTTCGTCTTCTCCCATTCAAGCAGATAGAGACAGCGAGTAGCGCTTATCGACGTTGAAGTCGCTTGCCCACCAGGTTACTCTCTCTCTCTCTCTCTCTCTCTCTTCTTTTTCTCCACAAACTCGTTAAAGAATATATATATAATATCGCCAATAATATCAGATATGAAGTTTATAGAATTAGGGTATTAGATTTTGCAACTTCAAAACTTTTGTACAGGTGTGAATTATTTTATTCTTGTATTGCTCTGGATCCCTAAATTGATACAGGGCCGGCCCTGGCCCAAGGCGACCAGGCGATTGCCTTGGGCCTCAGATTTTAAAGGGCCTCAAATTTTGAGGCCCATAGGGGATGGAAAAATAAAATAAAAATAAGTTAGGGCAAGTTTCAGACGACACAATCTGCTTCGACACTCCACAGGGCTATCGCCTCCGCTATCGCCTCAGGTGACAAGGTATGTTCATCATCTCTCTCTCTCTTCTATCTCCTTTTGCTTGAATCGATTTTTTATATATGTTTCTTTGTTTCGCTCATCTCATCGTTTGATTTGTTCTAACCTTGGTTCGTTTGATTCGGGCCTCTACCTTTGTTCCAATAGTGAAAAGTAGCTAGGGTTTTTGTGTGTGTGTGTCAGTGTGTGATGGCTATCAAAAGCTGAATGAATATATTATGGCTCTCTTAGTATTTTAATAAATGTGTACCTTTCTACATGCGTCTTTCATGGCGATCGAGTCCATAAACTATGGCAGGTACTTTTTTTTTTTCCTCTCCCCAAGTCCACTCCAATCTCACAACAGCAGCAACCATTCCCCTTTTCCTCATAATTTTTTGCATTTCACATTCAATCCCAAGAAAATTAAGGATCCCTTCTACTAGTGCGTTGAGGTAATAATGTACTTTTTCGATCTCTAAATTATGCTCATACTTAAAAGTGCCAAATTAAGGGTTTTTTTATTTTTATATGAAGATGCATACCACCATTATTGATGTTATTTGAAGTTGGCTCAGCTAGAATTTCGGTTAATAATACTGTCAAAGCACTTGCCATCAGAATGTACAAGCACATGGAAATCAAGAGCAGGCTTTAACAAAACAAAAGTTAATGGTTTTTTCTATCAATTTGCACAGGTCTTCTGTAGCAATGATCAATCAATCACTGCGGGTAATTGGCTCCCAAAAAAAACACAAAGAAAGTATAGTGTAGTTAATATAAAGAGTGAAAGACAAAACTATATATGATAGTGGATGCCACATTTAACCTAAAAGGCCCACTACTTCTTCAGTACCACAAGTTCTGCCTCCTATATATATATATATATATATATATAGTCACTCTCATCTCCACATATTTTTGTCATCTGTAATCATCAAATTTTAGTAGCTATATAAACAATGAATGTAAAAGAAGCTGCAGTTTTCTGTTCTCTGGTAATCTGTTCTATTCATTTTTTATTTTGTGCCTGTGAAAATTTTGCACTCTTTAATTTATAAATTTATTGTTATTAGTTAGCTGTCTTGTGCACATTGCACATGCGTACAATTTGCGCACAATTATTTATTGGTGGTGATAAAAATTTATAGTTATTAGTTAGTTGTCTTAAGCACACTGCACAGACGCACAATTATATTAGCTATAGAAATTGAAAACATCATTTCGCACTCTTATAATTTTTTTTTGTGCGTGTGAAACTCAAGGGCCTCACATTTGAAAGTTCACCTAGGGCCTCTCAAAATATTTGAAATCTCTAGGCCGGCCCTGAATTGATACTACATACCAGCCTATTTGTAATCTATCAAAATCTGTAGTTTAGATTAGAACAAGGTTCCCTTGAGCTGCAATATTGTTTAATCTAGTTCCGGTTTTGGGGTAATTGGAACATCGACTTGTGATTGGTTTATAATTTTCCATTAATCATAATAATATTATGTTTTCATGAGTAGTTGGGAGTAGCATAATCGCATTGCATTTGAGCACCTACACGCTTGCTATGAAATTCATGAGTAGTTGGAGTAGCATAATCGCATAGCCAGTGGTGTTTGTCTTTTGAGAAATTGGACTTATTATTATTATTATTATTTTGTGTATCTAAGAAAGTTAGAATTATTGTCCAAGGGCTTGCTAAATCTGTAGTGTGGGATCAGACTAGACTAGACTAGACTGACCACATTCACTTTTTTCAGTGGTAGTGGTATCACACTGATGTAGGACATCAACAGCAGCCTTAAATAGCTAAAACTTGCTAAATTCAGTGGCTAAAAGTTCAACAATCAGGGCTGAAATTTGAGGTTTGATAGTAGAGATGTAGAACAAACAATGAGAAAGAGTAATAGCCCATTGGAGTCACGCTGACAGGTAGGTCTAGGCATCACACCTAGAGAAGGTCTCACACCGTTATATTTTGTGAATCACTCACAAGTCACAATGAAATTTCATACACTATTATTTATTCATTCGTTCACTGATCAACCCCATCCCTCCCTTTTATAGGATTCTGCTCTTGCCTCTTAGACTTAGGTGGAGCTTAACTCCTGACTTTTGAACTTTCCTCATAATTGATGAGAACTCGTGACTTTTGAACTTTCCTCATAATTGAGGTCATCAATAAGTCTCACAACTCTTCAAATTCATAATTCATATCTTAATAGCATAAATAAAACCCAGCTTTCATTGCATCATGATGCCCACCAAGTTCATATACACCTTCAAAGATTGTTGCCATTGATCTCCATCACACACCGTTAATTTTAAAATAATAAGATAAGTTATGTGCATTGCATTGCGTACCTCTTTTCCCAAGAACCTGGACTTGATATCATCTGGCAATTTGTGTATGGTATGATGTTAACTTTATTGTCCATAAATGTTGATACTTAAAACCTCACATAACTACTTCATTGTCTCTGGTAACCCACTTTCTGTTTATAAAAGATTACTGCCTAGAACATAAACTCAATCCTTATAAATATTACCCAAGAAAATGGGAAAAGGAAATCTTGAATTTAGTTTCTGGGTTAGACCATTTATATTAAAATTTCTCGTAATCTAGTTAACAAATGGGTTTAATTCAATTGTTGTCTTGCTTATATATATATTTTTTTATTTAGTCCATGCTAGAGAAAGGTGAGCTTGGGCAAGTAATTAGTTTATTGAAGTTAGAATTGAATTTTGAATGATATGCAGGGGTTCTGGATATATGACGGAGGCTCAATCTTGTGAGAATGCTTCTCCTGGCACCCGGGTTAAAGCTACATTTGTCCTTGGATCAGAAACATATCCTGTTCATGTAAACAAAGGAATTCTTTCTGAGCAATTGGTTTCAATGAAGGAAGAGAGCATGAGCGTACTGAAGGACTTCATCACCAAACATAATGTTCCAAATGATGTCCCCGATGAACCAGAGGAAATCTCTTCAGAAGATGATGGTGAAATCCCTGAAAAAGTTCATGTGAAGTCGAAAAAGAGGAAATAATTTCTTTTTCCTCCCGTAGACGCACATTTAAATTCCAGGAAATGTAATAGACTGCATAAAATTCAGTGTCAAGCATGTTACTCCATTAACAATTTATACGCTCTTTCCTTGCTATATTTTATTTTTATTCTTCCTCTTTTTTCTTTGAACAACATGAATCAATAATAAAGGGCAAAGATAAAACACTGCGAGGATACATACATATGTTCCATATCGCTGTTTGCCAAACCCCTCCTCTAAGAGCAAGTTCTTCCTGCTACCTCTATGGGCTGGTGTAAAACCTCACATGATATAAGCTGAAGATTGAAGGTTTTAATAATGACGAAAGAATTCAATGTGCTGAAAATGTCTGCATAACCCAGGGAAAACTCTCTGTATTTGCATGGAATACAATTAATTAATTAATTAATTATATATATATATATATATATATATATTGTATAATCTAATAACTTCATCAAAAGAATAGACACAATGTACACGAGTACTACAAATTAAAGGTAAAAGAGAAATATAGATACTAATGTTAGTATCTCATATTTTACTATGGATGTATGTGATGGCTTCCAATAGTTGTTCCTTTTTCAGAGGTTTGGGCAAGTGAAAATCCATTCCAGCCCTCATCATCCGTTCTGCTTCCTCACCTATTGTATGAGCAGTCAATGCAATGATGGGTACGTGAACACCGTACTGTGTTTCCTCCTCCCGTATACGTCTTGTTGCCTCAAACCCATCCATTACCGGCATCTGTCAAATAAAAGAATAGTATTTATATTTCAAGCTAAAAAGGATGCCTAGCATCCTTCCTTGATAACTGAATGCAACTATATATGCACAATTTGGGTATGGGTTTGGAATATCGTCACCAAGAAATTATACTATGTATGTGTATTAATTAAGTAGAACTAGCCATACGATATATGTAAAGAGATGCATGGTAAAAAATAAAAAAATAAAAAATCTTTTACCTCACAGTCCATTAATATATAGTCATAAGGAAGAACTCCAAAAGCTTTGCTTGTCCTTTGATCACTTAGACCTTTGCAAACTAATTCGAAGGCAGCTTTTCCATTTTTACAGTGTTCAACAGCTGCACCGAGTTTAGAAAGATTAGACATAACCACTTGGCTCATCACAGTATTATCCTCAGCAACCAACACCTTCTTCCCACTTAAGGGTTTCTGATCACTTCTGGTGCCACCGTGCTCTTGTATTTCTCCCCGTTGGATTGGGAGGTTGTGAACTGCAAATAAAACATTTTTCCCACTTAAACGTTTCTCACGACTTGGGTCGACATGTTCTTGTATCTCTCGCCTTTGGACTGGGAGGTTTTGAGTCGGAGAATTCCTCAACCTCATACGCGCATGGCTTTCTGAACAACCGGACTCGGAAGAAACTTTTTCAACTCGATACTTGCTTTTTGTTGAATCACCCGGCAATGTACCTCCAAACTCCGGTAGAAGTCCTATCAAATGATACAAGCGAGAACCATGTAACGGCTTAGATATGATGAGATCGGTTGGAGGGAGCTTTTCCTCGTTGAGGCCTTTCAAATGGATGCTATGAGCACCGGGTTTATCTATCCAAACGACCCTACAACAGGTATTGTAAAGGTCTCTTCTGAATTCAGCCACAGCCTTGCTTAATTCCCGAAAAGGTCCAGCATTAGTATCAATCACAATTAGTATGAAGTTGGGCACAGCTCTATAACTAATCCTCCTGTGAAGGGGTGGTATCTGGTCTGTCCCATCCAAGGCACTTAAAGGTAAATCCTTTGCTCTAATACTAGAGCTGTGCGATCCCGGTCTGCTCATACAGTCGCTCCTCATGCTCACATCTGATCTTCCTGAAGAGCTGTGCCGCGAAAAGTTCAGTTTATGTTTTATCTTCTTAAAGGTATGAGGAAGTTGCTCCCATTGTTTTACTGCACATACTTTTATCCCCAGGCTCTCCATGAATTTTTGTGAAGTTCTTTGCCGTTCATAACTTTGAATGAAGAGTATGACTTGGGACAACTCTGGCTTTGGGATAGGGCTAGGGGAGCGATGATTACTTGGCTCTGAGTGTTGATTCATATAACTGGATATGGAACCACCATTTGATTTAACATCACCTTCTCTTGCATAGCTACTGCTTGAGTTAATCCCACATGTAGTGAGGAAGGCATTGAAACTGAAGACAGTTCCCTTTTCACCAATTTCCTTATCCACAATTCGTATCTCTCCACCCATTAGACGTACCTAGTGTGAAAATTTTCTGAATTAAAAATCATTCAAGTCATTTTGAAGTATTGACAACTAATTGATGAAAAAAATCTGAACAAATAATGAAATAAAAATCTAATAAATTCTTCACCAAAGTATAATACATGCAAATAACAGGTAATTTTAATTAACATCCCTCTTGACATGAATTTTCTGAAAAACAAAGACCAAGGGGCCGGGCTGCCACATAAAAATCATTCAGGATTACTTTTATCTATAGAGAACAAATGCAACAAGATTGAGTACTATATAATTCACAGATTGAAACAGGAAAAAAAATTAAAGAATAAAAGTAGCGTAACTTTTGTTGAAATTATTAGGACTAACTATTTACGTACCAAAGATTGAACAATACCAAGTCCTAAGCCAGTGCCTCCTTGTCCAAGAGCTGTCTCTTTGACCTGAACATAGTTTTCAAATACAGAATTTTGCTTCTCTTTTGGAATTCCTTTTCCTGTATCATCCACCTCGAATACAAATTCCATAGAATTCGGGTTTTGTTGAATTGTGTTCATGGCTTCAAGGTCATTGTATGCTTCATTATTTTTGAAAAATAAGCATGATATGCAACTCAATGATCTGTTCCTATTGGAACCAAGTATGGAATTCTTGAAGCTAGGTTTCTTTGCCCAAGCTCGTACTGCTACATGTCCCTCGGGGGTAAATTTGATAGCATTGCTCACTAAGTTACACAATATCTGTTTCAACTTTCCCCTGTCTCCTTTAACGAGTGTATTGTTAGAAATGGAACCATCGCAAGGGTCCAACACCACATCTACCCCTTTTTTCATACCTACAGGATAATATAAGTCAACTGCATCTTCAAGTAACTTGGCCAAATCAAATTCTTCTTCTTCAAGTTGCATCTTGCCAGCTTCAATTTTACTTGTATCAAGAATTGAATTCAATAAACCTGGATAAGCACATTATAGATTTCAAAAGATTAATGATATAAATTTCTATGAGTGTACAACTATTATTACCAGTTGAAAATGTTATGAAGAAATAAAAAAACTAGTTAGTAAACATACCTAAAAGGTCCTTTATACAAACTTCCATTTGCATTAAATTTGTCTCAAATTCTGACCCAGGAGCAACTTCATCACGACATATATCTATCAAACCAGTAATTCCTGCTAGAGAGGCACGCACGTCATGGCTTGCACTTGCAAATGCGAGACTCTTATTCATACTCTTTCTTTCTGCTTGTTGAGTTGATTCCATTTGTCTTATGAGTGTAGAACATAAATGCATCTCCCTTCTAGCTGCTCTAACAATTAAGAACACGAAGGTGACAATGGATATAACCATAGTGCAGATCATTATAACAAGTAGCATGAATGCAAACTTGATATTCTTGTGAACAATGCTCTCTTGTTCCCTATGTGGTAAAGCCAATGCATATACCTGAAACCTAGATAAGTTAGCATTAGTTTTAAAAATAACAAAGAATAGTACAATCATGTTTATAATGCATTTTACTTGCCCAAAAATAATAATAAAAAAAAATAACGTTTATAATGCAATTTCACTCTATTTTGTGTAACCATAAGTCGAGTAAGAACATGTACGCATGGTCAGTGGTTCTTTAGAAATGTTTTATATGTTATAGAGACACCTTGTCACCTTGTGATTTAATTCAAGGGCATACCTAATATAAGCATAAACTAAGTCAACATTACAGATTCCAGATTACAGATTGTTCATGAAGAAGGGAAGTAAATTCTAACAAGAGCGAGCCATCAACTGAAAATATTCAAAAACATATCATAGATATACTACAGTCTTGCTTTATTCCTGATGATGTTTATTACGCATGATATATATATATATATTATTGATCACAGCTGTTTAAGTGACCTAATAATCAAGATAATTGTGTCTCAAGTTTGATTTCTGGACTCTTACTTTGAGGCTTTAAAAGTTTTCTAAAACAATGGACAATTAATAGAACAACAGAATATGCATTCACTTATTCTGGAAAGAAGCATTACATTGCTTTATAACAGATATTGAAGAAAACTTTATCAAATAAAAGCAAATGCTATGAGGCATGTAAACTTTCATGTGAAAGCAAAACATGTACACAATATTCTACATACAAAGAAACTTATGAGCATTACGTATATTGTGATAAATACTAAGAGAAGAAGTTCATTGTGATGAAAGGGACCATACCGATTGCAGCCCAACAATTTCAATTGGTGAGCAGAAAAACATGTATTTTCTTTCCCAAATGTCCAACACAGAAGGTTTTAATGTGCCATTATAGGGTTCACAAGTAACATTACCAATATTACCTATGTGATCACCATTTGGTTTCAACATCTGAAATGAAACTGAGTTACCAACAAGGACCATGTGAGTGTTTTGGATCCCATCAGTGAGTACTTTCCCATCTTTTGTGGCCAAATACAAGCTCCCACCATGAAGTTTTTTGCTAGAGAAGAAACCAACTAATGATTCAACCGGAAACCCTAAAGAGATAGCTCCTCTTCCATCCACACCAGCTGTCCTAAGGAATAGGAGATCTTTAGCACCATTCCACCCCATTCCTATTGAAGAATACCCATTTGTACTATTTAAGGCTTCTTGAATCCAACTTGCATTCGCATTAAACCAAGGATGGGAAATAACAGCTTCTCCGAATGGCCTTCCAGTGTTTTGATTTACAGGCTGAGTGTACCACGTGTACTTTGTTGTGGCATTTGGAGTAATTGGATAAACTGAAAATGAATTGTTTGAATACACAGCAAAAGATTGATTGGCTTTGGTGTAGTATGAGAAGAACAATCCATCCAATCCAGTATATGAAATCTGTGACAATTGCGGAATAGTCAACAATGCTTGAAACAGTATAGGGGCCACCTGCAATATCAAACTATTAATCATGAGTTGTTTTTGTTCAAACTTAATTATATCTAATTAACAATTCTTTCTCAGCAAGAGGAGCAGATAGATACAAACCTTAGTTTCAATATTAGAGAATGAAAGTCGAATGCCATTAAGAGATGAGCTCAAAAGAGTTGCTAGAGTCGTGGCTGACGTAATCTTTGGAAGTAACAAATTTGCAATGTTTTCAATTTCCAATGGTAGCTCTTCACTGACATTGAGGGAAATCAACTTCACCTCTCGTTGGATTGTTTTAGCCTTAATAATCCAAAATGGGAACAACAAACTGGGGAGTAGCAGCATTACCAGTGCCTGTACCATGCAATTAGGTCAGTCTTAATTTTCAAGAGGGAAATAAATGATCATAACCAATACTATTACACTAATATATATTTAACAAGAAAAAGTTACCTAAGGTATTACTGAAAAGCATAGTTTATACATTATAAGTATGGTGTTTTGGAAGATTTTGCAACTGTATTAATTTATATGTATATATGCTCAATTCATGCCAGGGATATGAGGGAAAATGGAGATTTTGGAATCTTGAACAACTTAAGTTTCCATTTTTTTGTTCTTCTTCTGCACTCAACCAAGAAATAAAGATTACGAAACATTGAGACCAGTGAACTAATTACCAGAATGATGAAGAAACAAACAGGCCGCAACACTATCAATGAGCTGACCTTCATTGTAGTTGATGAGTTTGACATATGAAAAGGCCAATGTCAGCTCTGCATTGACATGAAAATATAGGAAATTAATTTTGAGATATGCAAAATTAATGTCCCAAGTATGGAAAGTGTATCTGCGCCTCTCTCTCTCTTATATTAACTGAAGAAGGCATGTCTAAAGGAAATCCCTGACTCTCCGGCTAACTTTTTTATAAATATTTATGTGAAACATTCCCTTAATTATGCAAATATATATATATATATATATATATATATATATATATATATATTATTGGCAATACAAAAAAAATAAAAAATAAAAAATAAAAAATCACGCGTACATCAAAAAGTTGGAATGAATTGAATAAGAGCAAGAGAAACAGAAATTAAATTTTCTAATTTCATTTTTAGAAGCTTCCAATTAACTTATTTTCCATAAAGGATTGTACTAATTTTCCATAAATCATTGCTGAGAATCAAAACACAGACCTAAAGAAAGAAGAAGGTTGAGAAAAATAATATGAACAAGAACACTAATAACCATAGAGACTAGTAATATGAGACATTACAGAAACCTTGAACCGTTGATTTTTTGGGTTGATAAAAAGTTGTCCCAGATTTTGAAGTTTGGCCCATACTCTTCACATCTGATCATCAAAGGATTATACATGCATTAATGTTATTGCATGTCCAAAAGAATTCTTCTTCTTTCTCTGCAACCAATCGGAAAGGAAACCCAAGGAGATATGAGAACAAAAGGAAAACAAATTAAAGAAGTGGTTGAATTCTAATTCCCATCCTTCCACTAGTGCTTAGGTATGTGTACACACACACACACACATATATATATATGAGCTTTAGTTGTTTGAGATCACATTTTGCTTTTCATTTTCTTCTGTGGATTCTCTACATATCCTGTCTTCTCTTCACTGGAGCACGAGAGTTGGAGAAGTAGACATGGCTGATTACCCTAGAGAGAGAGAGACCTATGACTTGCCTTTCTAATACATGAAATCTTTTTCTTCTTCTATTTTTCTGTTTTTTGCAGGCAAAAACACAATCAATATATTTTATTCTCCAGGAATATTTATCATGAGATAAGAGCAGAAGTTGACATTTATCTAAAAAATTAACTGACATAATCACCCTTGTAACGCGTATAAAAGAGCTAAGTTCTCAACTCACAAAAGGGAGGTTCTGCGGATAAAAATGGTAATTGATAGGCTATTTTTGGTATTTTCACTCAATTAGTTTTCTTAATTATTAAATGAGCACCAAAGAATCTACTGCAAACAGATTAACATTTATTACGAAAATTGTTATACTGTTGGCATTTGGGTTGGCACTGACTGTAAATAGTACCATGTATGAACTTGATTAACAAGAGAGAAGCTCCATGCAGCACAGAAAAAACCATTCACCACCGTATAGTTGTTAATTACTGTTGAATAATAAACCATTTACCAAAATTGTAATCTGTAATCCTTTGTTTTATAAGAGTAGATTAGTACAGTCCTAAAACTTGTATTCTGTTCTCTGATCAAATTAATTTCATTAAATTATTAGAATATTTTAGTAATTTTGCACCCTATGTTGTGTCAGTAATGGAACAATTGAATAACCCAGATTTTTAGCCAATATATATATATATATATATATATATATATATATATATATATATATATATATATATATTTCCAGAGATTTTAGCCAATATATTTCAATAAATGAAAATGGTAATAATATCATCACCTTTTGTATTGAATCATTTAAATTATTGGGAATTTGAGTTAAAACACTTGTCACTAAATGCATCCAGCAAAGACTTAAAAATCAAAATTTAAATATAAAAAATTATATCTATATGTACATATATACACACAAACACTCATTCTGAACATGTTGGCAGTCTGGGATTTAGAAGAAGTGATGGACATTAGTAGTCTCCAAAAGAAAGCTTGAGAACCTGATGGTTGACATATAATGTAGTTGGGAGTTGTTTCCATCAGCATGTTTGATTCATCAGTAATTGCATATTCCTTCCAAAATTAAATTTCCTGAATCACTGCTAAACCATTCAATTATGAGTTGTCTACCCGAATAGCAATGGTAACAGAGTCTCCTCCGCTCATTCTGTGTTCTACATTGTCATGTAAAAGTGAAAAAAATAACGAGTACCATATATATATATAAATAAATAAAAGAGCATCTAAGAAACAAACCTGAAACAGTGACAAACAATGGTTTATATTGCACAGAAGTAAATGTCAAATGGCACACCACAACAACGGATAAATTGATAAAATTTTGAAATACTAATAAGGTTGTAACAAGAAACAAATACAATTGAGACAACTACGGGTCTCAATTTGCCCAAACAACATGTGATAGGGGTAAATCTTCTTCTGTTGAGTGCTTGAACAAGCGATAGTAGTTAATCCAAGGTCCAAGTGCCATGTAAAGACCACAAAAATATTATTCTTCAGCGAGTAACTCAAGCACATTACCTCTCAGCTGTAACAGGATCTCTTCTTTTAACCCTTTTCTTCATCATCTCAGCCCATCTTGCAAAGAAATTGGAGGTCTCAAACTTCCCTGAAAACTTCATCTTTTGAGCCAACTCCTCGAGTACATCAGGTTTGCCAGCTCTTGAGAAATCAGCAGCAAACTTGTTGTAATCAAGTTGAGGAGCCTTCATTCCTTTTTCTATCATTTCCTCTAAATATTTACAAGCCTCCTCCGATCTTCCCTGTCTTATAAGCCCTCCAATGAGAACAATATAAGAATTATCATCAGGGCAACACCCCTTTCGACTCATCTCCTCCCAAACTGCACAACCCATTTCATAATTTTTCGTCACGAAGTAAGATTTCATCATCATGTTATAAGTGTGTATTGTTGGTTGAAATCCACTTTGAACCATCTTTTTGTAAATCCTAACCGCATCATCTGGCATTTGCCGATTTGTCATCAATTTGATCAGGGCATTGTATAAACGCACATCCGGTGGACATCCTTTTTCTTTCATCTCCTTCAATAATCCATAGACTTTGTCCATCTTTTTCTGATTCCCAAAGCCTGTAATCAAACAAGTATAAGCAGCAGCATCTGGCTGGCAGCCAGAACCAAGCATCTGCTCGAAGTATTCAACAGCTTCTCTCATTTTTGTTTGCTTGCAGAACTCCTTAATTAAGATTGTATAACTTCGAACAGTAGGAGTTGGGCCCTTGGCTTTCATAACGTCAAACAACTTGATTGCATCACACCTCTGTTTACCCCTTAACAAACCTTCCAGCAGTGTATTATGGGCAACAATGTCAGGCTTAAAACCTTTATCAATCATCTCATTCCATACCTTCCCCGCCTCCATCAAATTCCTCCCCCTGCACCAACCATTTAGCAACACTGTGTAGGTCCTTAAATTCGGGGTAAACCTCTCTTTCAACTTGTCAAACAAAGCTTGAGCTTCCTTCCCAAGCTTTGCCCTCCCAAGTTCATCTAGCAAGCAATTGATAGTATCAGCCCCAATTTTAAACTTGTACTTCTTCATCAACTCGAAAATTCCAACTGCTTTCTTCCTCTCTTTGGAAGCTGCAAAAGCTTTAATGGCAATCTTAAATGTCTCCAATGTGAGAAGCCCTTTCTCACCCATTTCTTCAAGCACTGAAACCATGGTCTCAAATTGCCTTGTCTTCCCTAATATCGCCATCATCTTGTTATATGTCCTTGAATCATGAGCAAACCCAGGCATCTGTCCTGCCCAGCAAAAGAACCGAAACGCCGGCTTCCTGGCATGCCGAAACCGTTCCAATACTTCAACAACCAAATCGTGAGTCAAGTTGATTCCACTATCATCCAAAACCGCCTCCATGTTCCTATCCAATGCGAACAATTCATCGATCACCTTACAGACCCTATCAACCTCTTTCGGATCCACCTCCGACCTAACATTATCACCTTCGCTCTCAACACCATCAGCGTCCGACTCAGCATCGGAATCATCTCCATCTACATCTGAAACCCTACAGAAACCTCTAGAATTCAAATATAACGATTTTGCGTGCAAATCATGATTGGGGAATAGTGGGATTCTAGAATTGACAAGGCTAGGGTTTGGTGCTGGGGCTAACACTTTTTCTTGTAGAAGAGGGAGGAGAGAGAGTGAAAAGGGGTGTGACAGAAGATGTGGAATTTGACAACGAGGACGATGGAGACTGCGATGAGGATGAGGATGAAGCAGACGAGACAGGGGCAGAGAGCTGCCATTAAAGAAGCGCACCTGCTGTCCACAACGCCCTCGTCGTTGTCGTCTTCGCCATGAGGTTTGTCTATCATCCACGGAGGGTAGGTCGATGGCGGCGGAGCAGTGGAAGAAGAGTTGGCCATTGATGTTGAAATTTGAACACAATAGAGTTCTAAAAACTCTAAATTTTTTGAGTTTTTTCAGAACAAGATTCATTTCAGCGCCATTAAAATGTAGGATTACGAAGAAAAAGATGACGACGAGGAAGTGGCAACGACGACGGATGCTGAAGATCGGAGTGTGATGCAGTATTGGTAGGATGGTGACCGGCTACCGGAAGGTTGGTGCCCCCAACAAACAGCCTGTCGGGTCCTTGTTAGGATTGGGCCTGGCCCAATGTGTTAACTACCTAAGTTGGCCTGACTTGTATATGTAATTCAGCCCGGCTAATGTCAACTCAACTATTCGCGTATACTGATGGGAAATTATATTATAATAAAACCATGAAAATAATAGATTTTCCTTTTGTTTTTACTCTTTCTCCTGTAAATATATATATTTTTTTGGGTTATACAATATTCGATTGGACAAAGAAAGGATGGAAATATGATGAAATAAATGGGGGAAGAGGACAAATATTCTTTCTTTTTGCCCCGGTAAAATTAATGCTCTCTCTTTGGTATTGAGTCGACCTACAATCCATCCCATGCAATAGACAGAACATCAACTCCGATAAGTGATTATATGAGCAATGCAACTCCATAATCCATATGGTGGTTTATGGTTGATAAATTCTTAGACACAGATAACTAAATCCAACAAGACTTAATTGGAATAAAACTAAAATAATTAAATGAATAAATTTTAACCTACATGCCCAATTTTAAGAACTTAATGGAATTTTCTGGTTGCTACCTGAATTTTCTAATTTTTTATTTATTTTAAACCTTTTAAAATAAATAAAAAATCATCTTTGAGTAATCCACAAGAAGGAGCAGGACCGAGTAACCAAGTAGTTTTTGGGAGATTATACACGCACTACATTTTTTTACGTTTATACTCCACTTTTCTTTTTTCGTTATTGTGAATGACAAAAAAAAAAAATCATAAACTAATTAATGCATCACTTTCTTATTTTATTATTCCATAACTACTCTTTACATTATAAACTTTCTGTTTTTACCTTCTTTACTTACTCTAAAATTATAGTTTAAGGTGGCAATAAACCAATTGTCCTCCTTAGTGTTAGGTGGAATATTAAATGCACTGAATAATTTTAGATAAAACTATCGTTTCATCGTCATCTTCTTCACCCATTTTTCTTTCTATATCATTTATTCATTTAGTTGAAAATTCCTTTTTCTATAAAATACTTTTCTTGAAAACTCTATTGCAGTTAATGATTTTTTTTTTCCCTGCTTTTTTCAATTAATTAATATTATATCTTGTTAATCTTTCAAAAAAAAAAATTATACCCCAAGGAGAAAAAAAGAAAGGAGAAAATATTTTGAAGATGAATTCTATAGATGTAGGTTTTGACATATTAATAATATGCATCTCTTTTTTTTTTCTTCATAAAATCTCCATTTTTGAAATTTTATTGTCAAAATAGTTAGGGCTTTTCTCATCAACAAGAAAAACTTCAAAATTTAAATACATTTCAAATTAATTCTTAAAAATCATGTGAAGAAAAAAATTTGAAATTAAACTCAAAACACACAATACAAAAGGAAAAATAAAAGAAAAAATTACCATCACCATTCGCATCAATGGTGTCCAATGGCTCATGAAGTATTGATAATTCTTATATGCTTTCAGTACTAATCTATCTTACATGCTTTCAGTACTAATCTTCCATTGTTACATACAAAAATTAATATTAAGCCCTAACTGAAAGAGATGGAGAGAGTGAGAGAAATATATATTTCTATAATTGAAAGAGTAATTGTGGTATTTGAGAAAAATAATTAATTATTTATAAAATTAGGGATGGAAGTTTCATTTCTTTAAAAATGTAGTGTAATTGTAGAAAAGTGGAGTGCAAATATCGTCTCCCTTATTTTATTTTTATATTCTTTAATGAAAGGTCTGGTTTTGTCATTTTAATTTGATTATATTTAATGGTAATGAAAATAATGGGTAAGTTTCTTAAAATAGGAAAAGTAATTCAGTGCCCTCATATTAGATCAAGAATTATTCCCTACCAATCAGGAGTTGTCGAACACTGCTGATATAATTTCTATATAATTTGTGTGTCCGTGTATATATATATTAATAAAGTATGTTGCAAAAAGAATTACCATAATAATTACCATTTTTTTTTTAATTTGAATTTTTAAAAGCAAAAGATTTGTTGAACTTTGAAAGGGGTTACAAGCAATTTTATTTGCAAACCATAATTAATAACTATAAATAGAATATTTTAAAAAATAAAATAAAATTGGGAGGCCAACTTAAATGAGATAGTTACATTTTTTATTTATTTTTTGACACAAGATAGTTACATTTACCTCACATGTAGATTGTCTAAATAATATGGACTTCTTTTATAATTTCACATATAAAACTGACTTTCCCTTTGATTAAGTCTGAGTAACACTCACCTGTAGCTGCCCGCAAGATTACCACAATTACCCCATTAGGGGCCATATGTGCACAAAAAAATTCACGAATATAATAATATGAATAATAATGCTCCAAAAACTTTATAAGTTACAAGTATCCATAAAATGATAAAACTGCAAATAGTTCTTGTGAATGCCATAAAATAAGAGCAAATAAATAAATAAACCTCCCACTATCCAAGTATATTAAAAGAATTCACCAAACATCCCATCTATGGCTTAAAACAAATACTGAGAAAGTGGTTCTCGTTGGCTACACTTCCGACTGGGTCAAGATTTGATATCATTGTAATAGCATATTCCACTAGGGCTGCAAATGAACAGAGCCGAGCTGAGCTTTGGCTTGCTCGGACTCGGCTCGTCAACTTCAGAGCGGTGCTCGAGCTCGGGCTCAGTAAAGATTCAACAAGCTCCGACTCAACTCGATTAACTACACAGCATTTACCGATTCAAGAAATCACCATGATTTCTTCAATGAAATCTGATTATCTCAGACAAAAAAAGAAAAAAATGTGATCTCCATCTCCAATTAGAAAGAAAAATAAAATCTACAGATTATATTTTCAAAATGAAACCAAAGCTAACAACATTTTATCAACTTTGTACACATCACTGTTGAACCTTAAGAAATATTTGGGAGGGAGAATTCTGTATCGCATGAGAAGAGTCAGAGAGATCGCTCGACGAAGCTCTAAAGTCTGAAAAAGAAGAAGTCGTGCCGCCGCTGTACACACTCAGTTCTAGGTTTATTCTTATATCAGGGAACCAACTGCTAAGATGTATTGAAGTCTAATGGTTGAGATTAAATGCGACTTGCATGATGGGCTAATGAATTATATAATTGTCGGGCCTTATTAATGAATTGATGGGGTTGGGTCAAACTTATATTCATATAGGCTAAAACATTTTTAATATAGAATGAAAAATACAAATGGGCCTTTTAAGTTAACGAGCTTGTTCATGAGCCTAACGAACCGAGCTCAATGTTGTTTAAGCTCGATTCGTTTACTAAACGAGCCTATAATTTGAGCTCGAGCTCGGCTTATTTACTAAATAAACGAGCTCAAACCGAGCTTTTAACGATCCGCGTCCGAGCTGTTCATGAGCAATTCGGTTCATTTGCAGCCCTACACTCCACCATATGATATGATATTGTCCACTTTGGGTTCAAACCCTCTTACCATTTGGAGATGGCGCTTGTGATGTCCCAAATTTTTCTAGATCTTTTTATTTTATTTATTTTACGCACTCGTTTTGTGTGCCACGTAAGCCCCGAGGTCCGTTTCGGTCATTTTTCAAGTTGAGGGCTTTAGAAATGTATTTTTTATTATTTTAAGTCAATTAGAAGTGATGGTGTCATTTTTTATAATTTTTTGGAAGTGGGGACGATTTTTTGGCTAGGGAATTTCTCCCGGTTTTGTCATGTTAAGTGAGAGGCATTGTGATCTTTTTGCACGTATATACATATACATGTATCTATATATTATAGGAGATATTTTGTGGGACGATATTAGCATTGTGGTGGATGAATGAAGGCATGTTGGTAACTTCACATGAAGTTAGATTTGACCGTTGGTTGACAAGTGGCAAGGTTAGAGCCACATTTTGGGTTGCAAGACTAACTTTTTCCTCATTTCTTTCCCAATTTCGGCCAAAGTTCTTCCACCCTCTAGTTCTTTTTTCTTTTTTTCTATATTTATATACACATATGCTTCAAGGCCATTTTTTAGAGGGTTATAGTGAGTTTTTTAAGATGACCAAGAAGGGAAATTTGGAGAGCACGTCAAGATATTTCATTTGACACCATTCATGCATGGGCTTAGAGGAGTTTCGAATTTGGCTTAGCCTTAGGGCTTGTTTGGCTAGAATAAATTGAGGTAGATGTCTTCCTAAGGCTAAGCTAAATTCTGAATAAATTGAGGTAGATGTCTTCCTAATACTTTATACTTTACTTCTCATTGAGCATTTTGCTTATTCTTATCGGGAAATTCATGTTTTTAATGCAAGATTATGACTTGTTGTTTGATAAATGATATGACTTGATATTGTGTTCTAAACATGCTTACATGAAATGAATGAGTGTTTTCTATGCTAAATGTTAATTGATATAATGATGAAAATGATGAGAATTGTACTAAAAAACATGCTTGTTGTTGTGTGAAGTAGAAATATCATGATTATAGTTGCTTGGTTGTGAATGTTATGCTTATAGTTAAATTATGCAAATTGCTATGTCTAAAGCTCTTACATTGAGAACGCTATGCAAATTCCATCATTGTCTTGTAAATGAAATTGATGTTATGTAGATGAGAAATGATGCATTGCATTGGATGGCGGGGAAGGAAATGAAAAAGAGTTTGAAAAGAAAGTTTTTGCAAAAAAGGGAAGTTTTTACAAATGAACCGAATTTCGCGAGTCCGGTACTAACTTGATCTAGAGGGATCGCAGTCCGGTATAGGACATAAAAAAGTTGATAAGTCCCAAATGGTTGCCGGACTTAGAACCAGGGATAGTTATCAATCTCACATCGATAAAGTCAGTTAGCGATTTTCGGTGTGAGTTTGGGTTAGTAGAGACCAAAGTAGGGAAGCAATGTGCATTTCATTTCATTTCATGCACATTGGCATTTGAGTTATGAGATTGATATTGATTGACTTACTTTTATACTGTAAACGTGTTAAGTACCCTAATGCATGACCCCGGTATTCTTTTATCCTGTTATGTATAGTATGGCTCAAGGGAGTCCAAAGTTGACGCCTTAGA